GTCATCACCGATAAGCGACTAACCTGGCAGCAGCAATTTACACAAGCTACCCGCTGCTATGCGCAATAAACTGCACCTATAAAGTATTCGTGCGCTCTATTATCCACTACGCATTTGTTGCTTGGACATATGAAAAACCGGCCACGGTAGCACTCCTCCAAACGCAGCAAGACCAAGCCCTTGTGACTAGTGACCGGCGCACCTTGTTTAGTGCGGAACGACACGTTGCACAGCGAACTGGAATTTGGAACTACATTAAGCCTTATTCCGAAATGCAGCCACTGTTTCTCGCTTCCGGTGACCCTCGATGCGCTTTGAGCGCACAATTACGGTTTTGTTATATCTTTACACGCATATGAGTTAATTATGAGATGAGCTGCCGAAAATGAATATGTTCCAAGCCTAGCAAAATAAATTCTTCCGAAATTAAACAGTCTGCGCTCCACGTAGGAAATAAGTGGTTTTCCAGTCTTTTTTCGGCTAAGTTAAAGGTAATTTCAACTACCTTAATATCCTGCAGAGAAAGCAATGCTACTGGTAGTGTAGAATGCTTCGTTTAAATGGGAAAGCAAAACTCGTGCGCTAGTATAAAGTTGATTCGGGTGATACACCGCGGAGATGCTTAAGTTGATTGGCGCATTGGCGAGATTGCTTTTCGGTAAATATGATTATCAACTCTTTTGCGTTAAAATTAACTCCAGCAACCTCTGTTTTTAGCATTCGAGAACAGTAATCAGGTGTGTAGCGCAAACGTATTCTAGGTCCTTCAGACCCTTAAACTTGATCAAGAGATACGTCGTACTGAGTAACTGTCTTTGTGTGATCAGTGAAAGTAGTATAGGCGCTTAAATATGATCCCGCTCTCAATCGGGAAGCATAAAAAACCAGGCGTGATAACGGCAGGACCTGAAGTGATCAATGGGCGGTGTGGCCGAGTAGATCTATCAGCTGCCAAAGACCTCCGCGTATAACACTTGTAGCCTTGATAGTTAAAGGTGTAAGCTTCATCACAATTCGCACCTCTATCAGGCATCCTCGCGTTTTGGGGCCTCCTGTTACCTGGTAAATTTAAATTATCTACTAGAAAACAAGCGGCTTTAATTCAATCTGCTAAGGAACTAGTTGTAAACTGTTGTATTTATATGAACTATTAAATCTTTAATATATGATAAACCTTATTTTAAAAAAAATTTTAAGAAGTCTAAATAATATAATAAAGTTTTCAGTTAAAGTAGATTCTGAAAATTTATTGATATAATGTTATTTAAAAAAAATTAGTGAAACATATAAACGGGTTAAATTATGCATTAAAAATATATGTATTCGCTATATTTAAAAAAAAAATTTATCACAATACTATTCAGTGCTTTATAGAGTTTAGCACAAAAAAAATTTAAAAAAATGTATATACAATAGAAAATCTATTAGGGGGTGAACTCTCAGCGGTTAACTTTACATTTAATATTAAAAAAAATAAAAACTAAGTTTTTTTTATGAACCCCAAAAATGATTAATAGTTTCTATTATAAAAATTTTTAAATAAATCTGTTAAATTAGTATATACTAAAAGTTGTTTTTGGTATACACCTTGATAAGCGTTACCAACACGCCTACATTACCATGATACAAGTTACAATAAAGGTTATCGAGAGTTTCTGTTATTTTAAACAGTGTTTTTAAGACCCTTAGTTAATTTTGACAAGCGTAAGATGATTGATGAGTGGTTTATAGGACAGCTAGCATTTGAAGCCAACCAGGGTTCAACTAGCGGGCTAACAGGGGTAAAAAGCTTTTTTTTTTTTTTTTTTTTTTTTTTGAAAATTCCACCATTAAGGTTATGGAGTCACAATAAGTCAAAAAGAAAAATACTTCCTCTCTTTCTCCAGACAGAAAGCAAAGACACAGTTTTACCAGTCATATGTATGACCATAGCTTAAAGTAAGCGAGGGCGCCCTCAAGTGGTGACATGGTTGTCATGCTCTAAAGTGAAGCGATCAGGTTAACGTTGACCCTAAGAGAGTCATCGGCGAGCTTGGATTGACATAGGTCGCCTATATCGTCAAGGGTGTAGAGACTTACCCCAAAATGTGCCCCCTATCCCAAGGGAGACTTTCTGTAGACAGATGGATAATTCAAGGTTACAAAACAGTTTGTGAAAGCCTATATCATGTGACTACTGCCTAGAGCATTATGGTCTGAAATAAGTCAAAAAGCTACGAAACTCTGATAATGTTAGGCAAGCATGATCAGCGCTCTTTAACGCCTTGATAGACTAATTTGTTTATCTTAAAATTACAATTCAAGGGTTTCAATATCGTTGACCCAACAGTTGTAATGCACACGCAATTAATTATTTTCTCTTCTTCACTTGTAGGTGTATGAATTTAGTCTTCTCCTTAAATGAAACGGATTTTTCTATATTCTTTATAATAAGGCGCTATCTATACGTTTCTTAAGTTCTGTTATTCTCGATTACAATTCTGCAAACTGGGAATCTTTAATGTCCTCGTTCACTTTTTTTTTTCTACGATCTAGTTTTACGTTCTTTGCTACCTTGCTGAAAGTAGTTCATTTTATCTAACATTGGTTACTCTCTATAATATGTTACTCGGTCACACATTCTTGTGCTTTTTATCTTAATAGGGATTTATAACCGGCTTGGTTATAACAGGTAAATAGCTAAGAAACTCTAATTTTTCCGCCTCTTACCCAAATTAGTTCAACAATTTGTGATAATAGAGTTTGAACATAAAGCTTCATAATAAAGAGTTATCGTATAATATTATTACAGGCGGTCATTAACATACATATGAGGCTATTTATATACATTAAAGAGGTTAATTTAAAAACGCAGCAATGGATGCGGTCATTTTTAAAAATCCAGTCATACACTGGACAGCAGTTTGTCTTCGTTAATTTTTTTAACGCAATGCCATCGCCACCTCGAACAGCTCAATTAACACACTAATTGACTACTTACAAATGAAGGCAATTACGAAGTCTGGGACGGCGCACGCTATCGCCAATAGTGTAACGGACTTTAAAATTTAAAATATGGGTTAGGAGTATTATTTATTTATTTATTAATGACAGCTCCTTGCTCAATCGTGTTAAAAACTTCGTATACTCGAGTTCACAGTCAGGAGTGATCGCCGACGGGAGGAGGGCCAAAAAAAAACATTTCAAGTCCGATTTTAGAAGTCAAAAACTCTAGAAACTAGGTTTGCACTGCAGTGGGTGACCAGAACCACGCACTGCTCTACCCCCTGAAAAATCGGGATAGTCATGAGCTTTTTCCTGGAGCTACGGGTGTCTACTTTCGCCCGGAGCAAGACTAAAAGTTTTGCGCTTGACTTATCGAGCATTCGTAGAAGTCATTGATATATATATATATGACTGCCTTAACACAACCTTAGAGCTAGGATCCAGTTGACAGCTTGCAAAATCGGTGTTTTCTTTTATGACTTTATTGAGCACCAGGAAATACTATTAATAAAAATAAAATGATTTTTTTCCCTGTCATTATGAGCCGCTCTTTTAATCTATGGGACCGGAGAGAAGTATTGTTTGAATGCGTAAAAAGCAAGTCCAAAACATTGTTTTGGTCTATAGGGCTAACAGTAGTATAATTGCTAACTGTTCAAAGGTTAATAAATAGAAGTCTAGCGTTTAGAGGGTGCGCGCACTATAAAGCTTAACAACCCAAGATTTAAATTAAAAATCAAGTCCTATCACACATACACGCACATCCTACCTTATAAGATTAAAACAAATTTATTACCTTATAGTTCAATACACACTATATTAAACATTCATTAAATTAAGTACTTAAAAGTGTTATTTGAAATGATGAATTCAAACTGGTGTGGCCATGACCTTTTAGCAATATATAATAAAGTTTGAAAAAGAAAAAATTTGAGCACAACCTCACATTTACTGCATATTTTCTGTGTTTATACCAGTGAGGTCATTTGCGGTTGTTTAATGTAGTTTTCCACCTTTCTATACCGAGTTGGTCGGAGTCGGGATAAAACGCCTCCGCTATTCCTTCCTTAATACTTACGTTAGTCACAATACTCCCTCGGGCGCCGAAATCAAGACTTAAGCGGTCTGTACTCGACTTTTCGACCAGCTCAGGTCGTTAAAAAGTTCTCCCATATTTTTTATAAAAAATTAAATCTACCAATAAACATTGGTTTAGTGTATTGTGAATTTTATTAAATAATTCTTATTTGCTTTGTTAAACTCCCGAAACGCTTACCTTTAAAAGATAGGGTATCATTTTATAAGGTAGTAAATCTCAACATACATTTCTTCTTTTGACCAATAAGGATACTCCTTAAATTCCTCTATTTTTCCATTTTTATTTATTTGGCCTTCAATTTTCTTAAATATTTTTTTTATCTTGTGCTTGTTGCCGAATTTGGTCTAACTGAGGTTATGTCTAAGCATTTCCTTTTTGTTCGGCTTCGCTAAACCATCTACTTTTAACAAATAAAATTTAGTTTCCTTTCGGAGCTTTAAATGGTCGGGCTGCAAATGTCAAGTCGGTAGTTTGATATAAATTATTTCGGCAAAGTTCCTAGATTATGCGGAACTCTTTTTTAAATCATGAAGCTTAGAATACAAAAATACATAGGTAACTAAACTCTTCAATTAAGTTCTCTAGTAGGTAGAGTCTAACAGAAAAAATTAAAAAAAAAATGCATTCATTTGTGTAGGCATTAAACTTACCATTTTTAATAACTTAAAACCACAAATTTTAACAATATTACAAGTTAATCTCTAATAGGGTAGAAGTAAACAGCAACTAAAGTAGAGCATTAGCCAGCTAACAAGACAATACACATTTAATTTCCTTTTATGGTTTTAATTTAAGCTATTTATTGTTTCAAGAATTTTAATTGGTTTTACCTCTTTTTAAAGTTTTTTTTATTTGGTTACTTATAAAGGTTTTAATTAGCCAAGGTGCGTGACGTTATCATTCCCTTTCTCCCTGTTTTGCTGTTTCTGCCGGTGCGCTTAGTTATGTCAAAATTTGTTCGTTCTTCAAAGTTCCGTCATGTTTATGGATCACCATTTAAGAGACAAGACTGTTACGACAATATTCGCGTAACACGGAATTCATGGGATTCTAATTATTGCGACGTTAACAATAAGTTTCTTGCAGTTATTACTGAATCATCTGGTGGCGGTGCCTTCATAGTTCTCCCCCTTGAAAAACAAGGTAAACTTAAAACCGACACGCCTATTGTAACGGGTCACACCAGTGCGGTTCTTGACGTTGCTTGGAATCCTTTCAATGATAACGAGTTGGCTTCCTGCGCTGAGGATGCAACTATAAGAATATGGACTATTCCTGATGGAGGTCTTACTGAGAATCTTAAGGAAGCTGATGTGGTTCTAAATGGCCACACTCGCAAGGTGGGCCAGATAGTATGGCATCCTACAGTTAGAGGTCTTTTATTTAGCGTCTCGAACGATACAACTGTGCGCGCTTGGAATTCCTCTACCGGTGAGCAGCTGAAACAATACGAAGGTTTCGGGGATGTTGTTTACTGCTTGTCCTTTAACTATAAAGGAAATAGATTTGCTGTAGTTTCTAAAGATAAAAAGCTACGGGTTTTCGACGTGCACTCAGAGAAGATGCTAAAGGTATAACTTTTCTTATTAAAGTAAACTTATTTTCTTATTCTTCCTCTGATATTAAGTACTCTAAAAAAAAATATCATAAGAGATATTTTAATATTTAATTACTTGTTTATTTATATCTAGCTTAGGACTTATAGGGTTAGAAAAAAATAAAATACAATTTAACTAATAAGTTGTTTAAGTATATTTAATGTATAAGTACTGATTTAATCTTGTCAAGCTTGATTCTAAAAATATTAATTTGCTTATATAAATAAAGTAACTGGAATTAACATCTATGTAGCTTATATTATTTAAACAGGATAGCTCTTTGGCTACCAAAGTGAAAATATGTAGGTTAGCACGTAAAAGTTTGAAGTAATATTTCAAGTGGGTTAATCATATTAGCAAGAAATTGAAAACTTTAAATTTCTTACTGACATATATTTTATAATAGATGAAAAACATACTGTTAAAAAGTATAATACATAACTTTATAACTTTCATAATTTGATATCAAGCAAGAGCTAGAGCTTAACATTTTATTCAAATTTAATAATTTCCTGCTCTAAGTTGTTCAACTAATAACATATATATCTCTGCAGGAAGTTTTGGCGCATAAAGGCTCAAAGGCCTCCCGTTGTGTATATTTGTCGGCAGCTAACGAAGAAGAGCTTGTTGTTACCACCGGATTTTCCGAGTCTTCCGAACGCCAGTGCACGCTCTGGAGCGAAGATTTAGAAGTGAAAGAGAGTCTTCGAATCGACACATCTTCTGGCCTGCTATTCCCGTTTTACGACCCTTACTTAAAGATTTTGTATCTTGCGGGTAAGGGAGATGGAAACATACGTTATTATGAAGTTACCAGAAATGCTCCATACATTCATTATTTATCTGAATTTAAGTCGGATAAACCTCAGCGGGGCTTCGGATTTCTTCCTAAGCGTGCTTGCCGCACAGAAGCCTGCGAAATTGCTCGATTTTATAAGCTTCATTCTACCAACTTTGTGGAGCCTATCCAGATGGTTGTCCCCAGGAAGTCGGAACTATTTCAAGATGACCTTTACCCTGAGTGTGCAGGCGATGAGCCTTCTCTAGAGATAGAGGACTTCTTGGCTGGAAAAGATGCCGCACCTAAACTTGTTTCTTTAAAAGAAGGCTTTTCTTCTCAAAAAGGAGTCGTTCAAGCAAGTCCTTCTCTAAATACTAATAAGAAAAATGAATTAAAAGACTTTGCAGATGATGTGGAACAGTTAAAGGAGCAACTTAAGTCCGCTCGACTTGAATTAAAAAAAAAAGACGCAGAGATCGCCAAACTTAGGGCAGAGTTAGGCGATAATAAGGGGATGTAATTTTTTATTAAAATTAAAGGCATTACTTCCTTCTGTATCTTTATTAGCTTTTTTAGTGTTTAAGGGTTGTCACATATTGTCTAATCTTACGAGTTTTAACTCTTTGCTCTACACACTGAAGTACTAGGGTTAACGTTACTTTTGGTTTTGCGCTGAGCTGTTCTGTAACTTTAAGTTTTAAAAATTAACTTTAGAAATATTAATATTATATGGAAATTTTTAATGTGATCTACGTGGTATCTTCTTTTGCTTTGCTGCTTCCAGATTTATAATTACAATTGTTTCGACGGTAAGTACGATAACCCTACTGTCTTGTATGCTAATTGTATTATCGACTGCACTACTGAATGACTTCCGTAAGTTTTATCCTTAACAATATGCTCTGTTCAGAAGTATATATATGGGTGTGTGAGGGGTTCCCGCCCAAAATTATGTTTAGTAGAACTAGCTAGTGTGTCAAAATAAAATATTTGATATATCAACTTCAGAATATTTAATAATATAATTTTACCTGATGAGTGTTTAATTAAATTTTTATTATGTTAACGTGTTCATCAACCTATCTCTTGGTTAATACATTTAAGGATTACTTTTACGATATTTGTTTTCTGTATAACCCCTTGTTGTTTTAACCCCTTATAAGTTACTGGTTACCATGTTTACCACTCGTCGCGTAGGTTCAGTTTGCAAAAATAGGTCTATGGAAATCGACCCTAACGGAAAACTCGGTTCTGAAACCATCTCTGGTAAGTTTGAGTACCATGTTCTAACTGATTAGGCAGCAACTAACAAAACATAAAAAGTGGTAAATTTAGTTACCAGTGAATGTTAAGTTGGGCATTGTGCGCGATTTTTTTGTTAAACAAAAGAGTGTTCATTCTGGATGTAAGAAGTTTATTTTTGGAAAGATAGGTTAAGTAAACTTTTGTTTTACTGTTTTATATTTAATATTAATTGGGATATATAGAATCATATATTGAAAACAGACATTGGAGAAAGTATACTGTCAACATAGGAAGTGATTTTTCAGAGAAAAACAGTTCGTTTTAAGCCCCAGAGTTTTGCCAGCTTTCTAATTAAATTTTTTTTTGTTCATTTCATAATGTTAGGAGGGTCACTTATTAAAAATTTTTGTTATTTTACTTTATGCGTATAGTTTTGTAGTATAGGCATGCTACGTCTCATCAATATATATAAAATATCTACTGGTTCATAGTTTATATTATCTCTCGTCGCAAATATGTACGCTTTGTCATTTTTAAATTAATTTTTTTTTTTTTTAAATTCTTAAGTAAAAAAAGGTTTAGTGTCTTTATGCTTTTCCAATTCGGTCTCAAAGAATAGGTAGTTTTTCTTAGTCATTTCCTTTTATGGAGCTGGGTCAATACACTCCTATGTAGTTATTTATTTGGTTTAAACTTATGGCTTGTAATCACAAAGGGTAATAATTTTATACAAAAAAATTGGACTATAAATTAAATACTAAAAACAAAATTATCTAAAATTCTATTAAGTAAGCATTTTTTTCTGAATTGATTTTAGCAAGGATATTGCTTCTACGTTTTACTTATTCCCACAATCTTTATTGTAAAATATTATATTTTAGAGAGCCTACCTTGCATGACGCTTCATTTTTATGAGCAAGGGGCTTGTATATGTAGTTTTAAAGTCTAGATAGTAATTTTTAAACTCAGTATTTTATGGACAGACTCAAATTCCTCAAAACTTAGTTTTAAAAAGTTTCGCACAACAGTTGTGTTTTAAAATATTTACAGCTTGCCAGAAACCTCTTTAATTTTTATAAACTTAGTGTCTAGTTTGGAGGTTGATACTTTCACAATACGTATTTTTTTTTAATTAAAATGTCTTATTTAAAATGTGTGGATTGACATTCACAGTGTTGTTATAAAGCAGTGATATTTCTACCTTTCAGATTTTATTAGTTTCATTTTCGTCTTGTCCGAGTTTTTTGGTAAAAGTTTTAATTTTTCGCTCTATTGTTTTGTTTAAAATACTAGCTTCTTACTCTTTTATAAAAATGACTTCGTGACTACAAAAAAAATTTTTTTTAAATAATTGATTTCGTGATTTTATATATGCGTAAAAAAGTGTTTCAAAATAAATAAAAAAGGTAAAGAGAATAACCGAGATTATTATTAAAATTAGTAACTTAAGGGATATGCGATTAATGAATTATTAAAAAGTGCACGCCAATATCCAAAAAATGATTTCTATGTTAAACTATATGTACGCTTGATTACAAGCTACGTCATCCCAAGACTTTCGTCTTTTGGTGTGGCGCAAGCTAATTCATTAAAGCTTTAACTCGCTTCCTCTTTAAGTGTTACGTTGGAGGCGGTATAGTAAATCAGTAAGAACTACACGTATAGGAGTCGGAAATAACAAAGGAGGGGCATAGTTTAAAGCATATGCACCGGCTTCAGTATTAAACCGAAGTACTAATTTGTTTTTTCAAGACAATGCATTTGCTAAACGGTTAAAAAATGATTTTCTAGCAGTAGCCATCTTTTAAGTTTACAAACAGTTTTACTGAATTTATACAACTAAAGTTTCTATTCATAATAGTTAAAATTTTTTATAAAATCACTCACCACTTTATTTCCTCATAAACACAAAACTAAGAGAGACTTGATCAGAACTTAGAATTGAGGATGTGCGAGGCAATTACTTACATAAGAATGAGTTTGCGCTCCTATTCCGGTGGAGAATATTAAATTGCATTGCTATGAAATTTTGTTTCGAGCCCCTGTAGTTGTTGCTGTCTAACAAAATCTTTCAAAGCACAAAGTTAATCTTTATTAATTTGAAAGCAAACTAAAATAACGCACTTCTGAACCATGGTTCCGTAATTTATATATATAGAATTTCGTCGGATAATTTTAAAATACATGAAATAATTATTCTGTATATTTTAAGATAATAGAATGGCGAATTTCACTTCAAATTTGATAATTTTTGTTTACTTTTTTGTTGAGGTTGTGTTCATGCTTGTGCTTTGGTGCTATGCTACCAAATAAATCATGTTTGTTGCATTTATACCAATAATACTGAAATTTGCACCATAGTAATAGTTGTTCCTAGACGAATGGGGCATAAGTTCCTAGTATATAGGATTATTAACTTTATAATTTAGCGTAGTACCATTAAAAGCGACGTTATTACCGTGGGTCACATACCCTCACATATTCTACCTTTAGAATAAATAATTTTTGCTCTTGTTTCTACATGAATAAAAAATGTGTTAACTCTTAACTAGTAACCAAAAATTTTGGGAAAACTGGGTATCCCAACGTTACTAGTTTTTTTTAAAGGTTCATAGCGAAAGACTGCGGTTATATTACATTTGCGAGGACACTGGATTTTTTTTTATTGCAGTACAAATAAAAAAACCCTTGCCAACTGGTTATAATTCTTGTGACATCCTGTGGAGTTACATAACATTGCCGGATTTTGGAGCACCCCAGAGCGTAGAACACTCCAAAAAAGTACTAGTAAGCTAGTAATATCCGATTGTGCTTTAGTGTAATGATTGCTCACTCGCTGCCACGTTGTTTCCTGGCTATATTTTTTTTAACCAGTAACATTTTAAATTAGGATCTTAAGGCTTTAATTGGAGCAAGGAGTAGTAAGGTTTTTTGGTTTGGACAGCTATAAACAAGCAACTTCGGAGAATTAGCTTCTTGAAGAAAGGAACAGGAGTATAATAGACCTTTTTTTTAATGGAAATATGACAGAATATCGTGTAAAACGTACTAAATACTTGTATAACAGGTTATTTATGCGAGTCAAATAGTGCAGTTTTCGCAATATCTGCGCAAACCAAAAAGCCATATTATAATATCTAGCGGAATTTTCGCAAATATATTTAAAAGTTAGAGTTACAAATTTTACCATTTACTGAAAATTTTCCATAAAAAAAGACTTTTAGAAAGCGGAGGTTAGTGCTTACTGCCTAGTCTTTCCGCACAAGCAGTAGATACAAGCCCTCTAGGTTACTAACAATTTTAGACAGACACTTATTTACTTTATCTGAAAGGTCATGTCGTCACAGAGCTCCGCACACAAACTAGCGCTAAATCGATTGCACTGGTGCATTCAAGGAAGCTTATGGCACGTTAAAATGTAGATGGAAGGTCAAACTGAGCTCTTTCGGGGAGAGGCGGTCGTTGCCCTTGCTCCTTTTCGAAAGCTATTAATGTGGCAGAAATTGCGGACATACGCCATGACCGCTCCTTCGCGAAGTCAATACTGTAGGCGAGGCTGATGAACAAAAGGCTACGCTTTTCGATAATTTTCCTGCTGCCCAGAAAAAGCTACTCTCTTAAGTGCCAGTGATGCACTCCCCCCGACTGAACTTCCTGAAGGATGCCAATGAGTCACTTGCGCTAGTTAAAACAGATAAAATTTAAGCGATTAGTAAGCGGTACGCAAACGAAAGGAGCCTGGCCTAATGGCATTACTAATGAGATGCTGAGAAAAATAACCTTTGGCAGCGATGCATTATTCGTGCCTACGTAATTCAGTGATGGCCCTTAAGGCCATCTACCACCTTGAAAGACGACGACTGTGATGCTGCTGCCGAAGACGACGATATTTCATTTTCGTAAATCGGGAAAGACTTACATAAAGTCGATCGTTTTCTGTGTTTTTACACCGACTCAAGCCCTGAACTATTTTTTTTCTTCAATAATAGGTTCGTCGGTAGGCTCTACGAAATCGATGAATATTATCGACTACACTTTTCCTTAAAATAAACTTAAATTTTTAAATTATTTATTTGCTTGCTTCACTTAGTGTTTTTCAATAAAATCGTTTAAAAGAGGTCAAGGTGTGTCAAATTGAATTTAATCACGTTTTTTTTTATATACAAAATTAAGCTTAAATAATCCTTTACTTTTTTAACGCTAATGTCCTCAAGTGATCACAGTACTTAATTTAAAGTTGAAGCCTTGAAACAATTCGCTGTCAAAATAAATCTTAGTGTTATGCTTAAAACAACAATTAATATTTTTTAAGTAAAACAGTTTATAAAGAATTTAGTTGTTATTCGCCATATCGCAGCAAAAAAATCTGTAATAGTAACTTAGCTCTTAGTAACTACTTTTTTACTTTTACCTCTGTTGATAAGATGAAGTTTATTATGTTAAAATAGCCAAAATTCTCTAGTCGGTTGTAAACCTTGAAGAATAAGTGAGTAAGTGATTGTTTTTAGTAAAATAGTTGTTCAAATTTAGTTTTAAACATAATAAACGTTTAAAATTTTGTTAATTGATAACTGGGACATAAAGATCAGAAAGTATATTGAACTACGCGTCTGGGAGTCGTTCAAAAGAGACACGCTAAAACGGAACTAGTACAAGACAAAGTAGGCAGCTAATCAAACCTGTGATCGCGATGCCAAATTCAGTTCAAAGACAGCACAAAAATTTTAATGATCCTAAAAGAGTTAGTATGCCTTATATTAACTGCGATAAAAGACAACCTTGAATTGGAATTTAATGTCAAGCTCGTGCTGGAACTAATAAGTGACGACCACTTTTATATATTATTATTATTAGAGGTCTATATGAAAATAACAATTGATACGTCCATATTTAGTTTTTGTTTAATTGCTCAGTTCTCTTATTTGCTTTTATTAGAAAGAGGTCTACGTTTTATCTAAAGTTTTTTTATATGGAAAATTTTTGCTACTTACTTTACCTTAGTAATATCCCAAGTTGTTAAATGTTAAATAGGTAAAAATTTTGTTAGAAAAGTAAGCGAAGAAGTTTATATTAAACTTTAAAATTCAATAGCAAAAAACTATAATTATTTTTCTGAACCGGTACGCGATTCACAACGTTTAATTTTAAAACCCGCTTATCATTTGTTCATGTAAAATTGTGAACTAAATTTATATAAATCACACAAGAAGTATTACATTATGTAAGACATATTAACTTCTAATAATTTTAAAGCGTTGATCTGTAAATATATATTATATAATATAACAATATTTATAAAATATCGATATATTTCATAGCGCGCAGATATCATTAATTTTTTATTACAACAATAATTACAGAAGAGAAACCCATGCCAACGAAATAACTATAGAATAAAAAGGCTTGAGCAGAAGACATCAGAGAGGGATAATTTATAACGAACAGGAGAAATATGGTCGTTAACTTGTAATGCAAAATGTATGAAGCTAAAACGTTACTACGTTGCAACCTAAAGTTATGCAAAAAAAAGTGTTCAATTAGTCGATCGCCAATAAGAAAAAATAACACTATTAGAATCTTACAGGGAAACTGTTCCAGCGACAGGTTGTTATTGGCAGCAACTTAAAAGTAAAAATTATTTATTATTTTTCAAAACTGGGGCAATAACCCCAGATATGTACCTTTAAGAAACTATCCATGGTACTTTGGGAATACAGCTAATATAGCTTTTTATGACCAAGACACAAGTAAAAAAGAGGACATATTGCAATTTTCAAATAAAAATTATGAAGAACTTACAGGTAAAATAATCTACAAATTTTAATATTTCATAAGAGGTGCGTGAAACACTTTATACCCTTAGTTACAGATCCTGCAGATCAAACATACGAGAGTCTTTTGCGATATGAAGTTTTGAGAGATGACCTTCAGCTTTTTAGCACCCATAGCATAACGGTCTATATGTTTATCCCCTTTTGGCTTATTTGTTTATCTCAATTTGGATATATAGCCCGCTGGAAAATCTATAACGAAAGACCTAAACGTTCTAAGATATTCTTGTCGAGGTCATATCCTATAAATAAGTGTATTTAGTAGTAAACCAAGAGTAAATGTTAGGTCCCCCGGTACAAGCAAATGTACAGGATTTCTCCCATCCGATAAGCCCAAACAGTCAAAAGTTGTTAATAGCTCCAAAAAGAGTTCCAAGAAAAATTTCGAAGGTACCTTTCAAGGTTCTTGATGCGCCCGAGTTACAAGTAAGTGATCTTCTCAGAAGATAAGTATATATTCTTTATAATCCTAAGATTTAGGATGATTTTTACCTCAACCTAGTGGATTGGTCTCAACAAAACGTATTGGCTGTAGGCTTGGGGACCTGTGTTTATTTGTGGAGCGCTTGCACAAGCCAGGTTCCAACTTTGTCGCGATTAAAAAGATGAAGTATTAATGTCTTGTGTAAAATGCAGGTTATCAAATTGTGTGATCTACGTGCTCATGCGGACTCAGTAACGTCTGTCAGTTGGATTGGAAAAGTAAGAAGATGCTAAAAGGCTGATAACATTATACAACATGTTTTTTAAGGGACAACACTTGGCAGTCGGAACGACGAACGGACTCGTACTGTTGTGGGACACGGTGAAATGTAAAACTATACGCGCCATGACAGGGCATGCCGCTCGAATTGGAACGATGGCCTCTAAAGCTTCTTTGCTTTTAACAGGTTGTTTACGGAAACGCATCTTTAAAATCAGAAGTAGCATCTAAAAATTATATTCAGGTAGTCGCGACAGGTCTATACTATACAGGGACATCCGAGCCCCTGAGCAATTTCTTGGAACGCTTCTGGGTCACAAGCAAGAGGTCAATTTTTCACCTTAAAAACGTTTTATCGCTGATTAAGTAGATGACAGGTTTGCGGAGTACGTTGGTCACCAGATAGACCCCTCATCGCCTCGGGGGGAAACGACAATAAGTTGTATGTGTGGGACATAAATAACTTTAGAACTGGCCCATGTATACAGTTCAACGAACACAAAGCAGCAGTTAAGGCATTGGCTTGGTCGCCTCACCAAGTAATGTCTGCATCTCCGTAATTAGCGAATTTTAATCGAATAATCAAGGGGTTAACAAAAAATTGCCCAAGCTTACAAACTATTCTAGCAATATGAACCAGTTCTGTATAATAAAAAATTGCCCCACAAAACTCAATTACATATTCATAAAAACATTAGGCTTAGTGTCAGCGAAATCATGTTTAAGCTTAATGAAGCTAAGTTAATCTTTTACGCAGAGTGGGTTACTAGCCTCGGGAGGAGGAACAGCTGATCGGAAAATTCGATTTTGGAGCACGCTGACAAGTCAGGCGCTGCAATGCATCGACACAGGAACGAGCTATACTTCTAATAAGTAAAAGGCGCCGGGAATATTTTTGTTACAATGTAAATAGGATCCCAAGTATGCAACCTTGCTTGGTCAACGGCCAGAAACGAGCTGGTAAGTACCCATGGCTATTCTCAAAACCAGATACTCATATGGAAGTACCCGTCCATGCGACAAATTGCTAAGCTTACTGGTAAAGCCTATCCATTTTATAGTATGACACACTCTTAAAAAGGTCTTAACTGGGGGGGAGGGGGAATAGGACACTCCACCAGGGTACTTTACCTGGCAATGTCGCCATGCGGTCAAACAATAGTGACCGGCGCTGGAGACGAGACGCTGCGATTTTGGACCGTATTTGACAAGGGCCATTCCCCCAGTCATAAAAACTCGATATTAACACCATTTACGCAGCTAAGGTGATTTAAAGGGACAGTTAAGCAAGGTACCTACGTGAAGAGCGGTCACGCTTTAAATTTTATAACGCGGCCACTGAGCTTTCTTAATTGCCCATAAAATTGTAACTGCAAATTTAATAATAAAGTACACATTACATAATTCAAATACAAGCCGCAAGAGTGGCTACTATTTGCTTACTCAGCTGCAGTATACCGCCCGCTCTTGGTATGCTTCTTTGAGCCAGCTGCGTGCTTGGTTGGCTCGGTCATCGGGAGAAGGATGCGTAGAGATATAAGTCATTGGCTCTGTCATGAGGATTTTTATATGTAAAAGTTGTAAACTCCACATAAAACGAAAAGACAAAAACCTTGCAAATTTTTTTGTAGTGCTTGCAGTTTTTCCCACATCCGAATTGCAGCAAATGGGTCAAAGCAAGCACGGGCCATCAAAATCATCCCTATGTGGTCTGCTTCCTTTTCGCTATTTTAGCAAAATTAACGTAATTGATAGCAAAATGCTGGATGTATACCATCTTCTGGAAAATGGTAGCTCGAGAAGCAGTTTTGTTGTTCCGGTAAGCAGTAGCGGATCGATATTAAATATTATACTGAGTTTAGAAAAAGTTCTAATTGGTAAAGCGTCCTGAGAATTAGTAATAAAAACAACCTAAATAGTGGATAAATAAATCGTGTCAGGATAGAAAAAGCTTGTTTTTCAGCACCATGGCGGGCTAGAACATGCCCAATCTGTAAAATTTAAAAAACGATCTGTCAATGCTAACAGCACCCAAAGCGTCTTTAAAGGAAGATGCACAGCAAAAAAAATTAATGAACCTCGTGTCCCAAGACCGCCGCTAAGGAATCGTTGTTATCCAAATAACGCAGTAAACCCGTGAAAAGAAAGACTTTCCCACCTAAAAACATGAACTTAGAAAAGCATATACCCTCTGATAAGAATTATCCAAAATAGCACTTATAGGGGTGAAGAAGACATTAAAAACCTGGAATCACAAAACAGTTAGGAATGTTGCTTTCCACAACGTGAAATTCCCAATGAAAATGTTGAAGGCCGCTTACCCTAGCGAGTTTGGTTCCAACATACTCAACTCTCTTATAAATCTTTTTAGAAAGAAAAAAGCAAGCTATTTATGCTTAATAAAAGAGAGAAAAGGTAAATTAACAATGCAGAGTGAGGGATTGACAACAGGGCTTCTAATATTATTTATAGGAACCAGTAATAATAAAGAAATAAATCAAATTATCATAAAGCCTTTTTTTCACATAACTAAAGAATTAAAAAGCGTCCGCCTTTAAAAAAGCACATTTTACACAAACAATTTGAAAATAGTATAACAGATACAAATAGAAAGGAAATTTATATAAGGATAAAACGATATACAAGACCATATATAAACATCTCTTACAGGATGATACTTTGGATAAATAAATCCTAATTTAGAAGGAAAAGTAAAAATATTTTTAGGAAATAGTTAGATTGCATGCAACCTCCAAGTTCCTTTAATAACTCTTTATAAATTGCTGCTCCAAGTCTGTAGAGGAGTAAAAAATTATAAATTACAGTATACAAGTTTATTAAAGTAAAGAAAAAAAAAATACTAAATACTTCATTTCATAACGCTCGCTAACGGGTAACAATCTCCTACGGCCTATTATTTTTCACGAACGTAAGTTATTTTTTTTAAAGCATGTAAAAACGTTAAAAAAATAAGTTCACATATATATATATATATATATGTAATATACGTTCACACCTGTAATGGGGACTACGTCATAACTGAATGCTAAATAGGAGGCGCTACAAATTGAGAAGGCCATTAAGATCTTAAAAGAATTTCTGTTGAATATTCCCTTCTTTTTAAATTTAATTACTTCATAGGGTAATAACTTCCTTGTAGCTTAAAATAATGTATAAGTTACAATAATAATAGCGAAGTAAGTTAGTAACCTTTCTTTGCATAACTTCTGAACAACAATTCATAACACTTATAAAGTTTAAAAGGAGACGGTTTAATAAAAAAGTATATAGTCAGTGGTTTTGACATAAATGGTACCACTGAAATAGGAAAAAAGTTTATTTTTTGTAATACATTAGTCATTAGCGCTCTGCGAATAAAAACCCCAAAGGTGAGCAGTCTACTTTCTTGGTTGATGTGATTTCAGTTGTGTCACGCACAAACCCTTAGTCAAAAAACTATTTGTTCTGACCATCTAATTTTTACTTACCTGGCCTTTAAATTAGGCTTTACTAGGCCAATGCTGAAAATTATTCTTCAAACAACTCGATATAATTAAGGATGATCAAGCTGTATAGGACAAGTCTTCAATATAGCACCATAAACCTATAAATCGTACATATCTTGTATCTTGTAACATCATTAAAAACTGGGTTCGTATCTGCACAAGTGGTTTTTTATATATTATTTTTTCGTCATTGTATAAAATAATAAAATTTAACGGTGCACTTTATTAAATAGCGACATCTTTCTTTCTTGTGCTGTGCAATCTTTTCCTTGGCCTTAAAACACTTAAGTTTTGTAATCCCTCTACTTTAAATCAAACAAGTTGCTGATTATATGGTCCAAATACAGTGCGCAGTTAAAAAAAGGGTAGATTCCACAGAAATGAGGGTATGCTCTTTGCATTTATATTAATTTTAACTTATAGATTAACTCTATCAAGAATATTTTAATATTGTGTATATATATTCATTTTAATTTAATAAAAAGGAGATTCGAACTTTTGTTTGTGGCGTCTTTCAGGCTATAGAGCTGTAATGAAGTTTTTAGCTTGTTTATCTAAAGAGCAAGTTTAATGTATTGTTTTGATCTACAGGGCCGAACAAAGTGTTGATAGTAACTGTCTACAGGTAGTTTATTAAGGGCTTAACGTCTAGAAGGCGTGCGTACTATTAAAAGAGCCTAACAACTTAAAAAAAATTTTAAATACAAGGGCAATTATGACAGAATGTACTTCTAAACAAAGAAGCTGGGCTTTTCATTATTCAACTTATATAGTTTAAATTTTTAAATGCTCTCAAAATTTTCCTGATTATGTCATGTAAATAATTTCTGCTAGTCCCCATAAGCAAGTTGTGCGTGCTTAAACTTGCATAAGAGATCGTGTAAAGTAAATAGTCTAGTGCTCAGTTGTATATATTAGGGGAGTAACGCAGTCAATAGTAAAAAACAGCTCTTAACAATATAAAAATATAAGTTGATACTAAACACAAACTAAAGCACAAAAGTATGATCACAAAAAATTGCCAAATATAGAATACCCACAAGCGAGGCAGCTTATTAACTGAAAAAAAATTTATTTTTACTACCCAAATTTTTTTTTCTTAATATAGTTGTAATAACAAGAAGCTCATTGGGTTAAAGGCTTAACGTTCATTGGTCGGTATATAGAAAGGAGTAACCAACTGATAAAAGACCTTTTATAGCAATTCGTTTTTACTAAAGTTTTTTCCTGCGCAAAAACAAAGTATTTAACATAGTAAAAAAATACTAATCTAAAGAGTAAGCCGTTCTGAGTAAACATGTAAATAAGATTGAAATAAAGTTAGTGCACATGTGTACTTTTAAATTGACCAAAGCTTCAGTCGCATAATAAAAAAGGAAAGAAATAGTGAGGAAAGTAAACAAGCGAGGAACCCCTTAAGCGCAAAAATTAGAAATTATCACCAGTACTTCTACTAAAGTTGACCGCGACTAAAAAGTGTTAAGTAACGAATTACCTTAGAATAATGTTGGCTACCATGATTAATCTAGTGTCCTGACTCAGGCTCAATACTAATATATATTTTTCTTGTAAAGCTCTACAAATTCCATTTATTGTTTTACTTCTTTCTCTAAATTACCCATTTTTTTCTTATTTTTTGAGGTCGTTTCGTTGATGTATTTTTAAATTATTTAAATGACCATTTATATTTGTAGAGCTTGCGAGCAAGCAGCGTATAAAACCTTAAAATAACTTACTTTCTTAAGAGATTATAATTTTTCTGTGTATTGCGAAGAAATTCAATACAGGGTTCTACTCCTTAAAAAAAGAAACTGTGGTTTGAGATTCCCACAGCGTAGTTTTTACGATTTAGCTGTGGTGTCTTAAATTACTTCGTCATTGGTTTTCACCTGGTTTGTACACGCAATCTTCAAATCTAACTTTGTACCCACCACATTTATTAGAAATGTACCAATGGAGTCAACTTAGCTAAAACGCACATAGCAAATGTAAGTTAAAATAATTATGACGCACATTAAGAGGGCCAGTGTTCATAAGAAAGCTAAGGTGGAATGTTAGACAGCGCATGTGTATGATAACTGTGACTTACTACGCGCTTGTTGGAGTAACGGTCTCCCGGTTGTAATGCATAGCAATTTAATAGAAGATCCTGATCTTACCCATTTCTTCACTACTTATTACTTAAGAGATGCTTTAGTTTCAACTAAAGTACTACTCGAAGGGCAGTTAGAAATAAAATTTTTTTAGGGCAAAGTACACCAACAAGGAAGTCAGTGGTGCGATATCTGAAAGTATTATTTAGCAGAATCCGAATAATTAGTTCTAATAGAGTGTACTTCCTAGGTAAAATACAATTACTCAAAACTAAGTAAAGACGAAAATAGTAGTTCCTCAAATTCGTGTCTTATTCCACGGAGCTCTTTTAATAAAGTTAAGCCCTCAAACTTTATTTTATTATTTCTTGTCGCAAATTATATTTACTTTAATATTCTTTGGTTAATAACTACAATCTTAAAATAAATTTATTGGATCAAAAAATACCCCTAGCGTCTCCGCCCACCTCGTAAGGGGCAGGATATTAAAATCTTAAATCTAGTTTTAGTTATTGTAGTATATATACTTTGTATTTCGGAATACCTATTTTATGCGTAAATTTTTTATCCACTAAATGCTTGGTTTACGTTTAAACTTTATACCTTAACAAATAATTTGCAATCTTTTTTTAATGGGCATCACTTTTTGGCTTGGTGGGAAATTTTACAGTTGAGAGTTCAATGCACTCTGGGCAAGCCTTTAAGTTTTATATAATATCGAAAGATGTATATAAAAATATATAATATTAATCATGACTCTAATATTATATCTAAAAATAAGAAAGGAAATACTAACGTTATAAATAAAGTAATATAGTATATTATATATATTTTTTAAAGAGATTTATTGACTGGTATACAATCCGGTTTATACTTTTAACAAAAGCACAAAATTAACTTCAAATATATATAAGAACTTAATCCTATTAAATTACTCAGAATTATTTATTAGTTTAATTTAAAAGAATACTTTTTTTGTTGGTGTAAAATTATTAGCTTGTTTCGTTTTTTATAGTTTTTTCCATTTAGTTTTAATAACTGTTTATAGTTAATTAAAAAAATATAGTTCGTTTGGCAACTTTTGGATCACTTTTAATAGAAGTTTTATGTTTTGTGTTTTCACGCTTTTGTGTATTTGATTCTTATGTTTTGCGCTTTTTGTGTTTTTATTTTTGTATATGATGTCTTGGTATACTATTCTTCAATATTGTTTGGTTATATCTCCCTTATAATACGCGTCTAATTTAATTTATGAAAGTGTACGTAAAAATGTCTGCTGGATTGTTTGTGAGTGGACATGGTTAATTTCGTAGTCGTTCCTTCTTTATTCTTTTTGGTGATATGAAAATTTTGACGGGTCTTAGTCTTACGTTTGTGCATCTTCTCTGCATATATTTTTTACTGCTTCGTTTACCCTGTAAAAAATTATTTTTAGACTCTCTTTCGACAGTAATTTGTTATCTCCATTCAAAGTTTAGAGTGTTTCTTGTTGTTGTTGAGTATAAATCTTCCCAGAACGGTAGTGTAAGCGATATCATTGTACTATCTCTTAAAGTAAATCACACAGTTTATATTTTGTACCTTTGTTTATTTTAATATTAGTGCATTTTAAGCAATACTATTACTATTATATATGGACCCTAAATTTACAATAAAGTGGCAAGCTTTTGCTTTCCTGTTGTTGGCCTCTTGTTCCTTGACCCCTTGTAAACAACGTTTGTCGATTATAGAGCCTGCACCCCGTCAGTGTTTAAGATCAGAATACTATATTTTTAACGCTATCAAATGTGGTTTTAAAAGCCCCAACAATTCAGCATTTGTATCAGCTTCACTCTGTTAGCCATGGGCGTGGTATACCTCGTATTAGAACGTTGAATGCTTAAGCTAGTTACGATTTCGGACCTTTTGGTTTCAGATCTCAAATTTCGTATATTAGTACCCGATATTGTTTCAATATAACAATTTAATTATGTTATTTTTTTAGGTTTTACAAAAATGTTTCGTGGTTTTTCCAATATTACAAATGGTCAACATAGACAGCAATAATTGTGATCAAAGTGTTTGGAGTAAATTATGCCTTCCTTTCTCTTTGCTCTGTATATAACCGTATTTTTTCTAGGTAAAAACTTTGCGAGAAAGACGAGCGAAGTCTTGTAAGCTATATAATGCAGCGTTCAGAGGAGTACACAATTTATCTGTTCTAAGTAGTGTCTAGTTCGTTGTTGCTCTCATTGTATTTTTAGGTGATCTTTGATTAGGTATAAACCTTGCGGTATATGGTAAACGCCAGTTTAATAAGTTTCGTATGTGAAAAGATTAGTAGTTCTTATAGGCGTTAAGGTTCCCAGTTAACAACAGTAACCTAAAATTTATTTGGATGACGCTAGTGCATAAGTTACCTGGCAGTGTACGCCTTTGGTTTCCTAAAACTTCTCGCAGTGAGTTTAGCTCTGTATAAATCTTTCTTATTTATATCTTAAAAACCTCCAAGAGGTAGTACTATTATTTTCATGTGGGAACCTTCTGTAAACATTCGAAATATAGATTCTTGAGAAAGTGGATAGGTAATAGTCCCTTTTAGGCTGCCGTCACGCACTGTGTTCTGTCGCTGGGGTGTTTAACTTCGTTAAAAGTTAAGTAAGTGATAGCAGGTAAATATTAATTGTTCTTTAGCTTTTATTTCAGAGCTAAACAAGATCTCAATTAATTGTTTTTTTGTTTTTATTGTTCTCTGAAGTGATAAATATATCAGTCATTCCATTAGTGTATCTTTCTTACTTAATTAACACTATCATCTCAGGTTGGTTTATAGTATCTGAGATGCTGTGGGGGTTGCCTGTTTTTATTGGGCCTTCCCACTCTTCATTATGTTCTAGATTTGCACTCAGTACTCCGTCGCGCATAGCTTCTGTCCAGTATATTATATTAAGGGTAATCCTGCTTTTCCAACCACAAGAGTCATGTTGCATATTGTTCGTACATTTCATTGACTCGGCAGGTTGCACGTCGTCTAAAGGTTTCCAAGACATATCCACAGGGGCCCCCTCTAAAACAGACTTTATAATCCATTTCATTCACTGTTAATACCAAACTTCAAATGATATATATCAACATTTAATGCCATTTCATCCATTAGTTATCGAAATAATGAAATTTTAGTTACTTAAACTATGGTATATATAAGATAATGGAAAAAAACTAATTTCATATGTCGATTAAGCATTGTTTTCGGTCGGAAGCATACCTTTCAAGCTCTGCAATCGCTTTAAAAGTGTTATAAGGAATATATCCGTCGAAAACAACGATTTGTTGGTGATTTGCAGGGAGGCCGCCTCATATATATATATGTACTAGTAAATAGCACTATTGTATATGTCCCCTTACCCAGTACCATACTAAACTGCTATCATTTATGAGAAGTAAGCATTACTTGATTCGCCTCAACGATCTATACCCTTGTCCAGAAAGATTTAGCCTATATTCATCTAAAAAATAGCCAAAATTCATCCAAACCTCATCAGCTCAGAGAGCACCTTTTCCAAAGACAGGAAATACAAACTAGCATAACACTTGAAAGACATAAAATTACCCATTTACATCTAGTGTAATAGTATCTGGATACAATGCCAATAATGCTATCTAAGTGCCATCCATTTAATCAGCATCGTAAAGACTATTCGCAAAATATACGAGGCATTATAACCTATTCCAGCTTTCCCGCAACTGTGAAAATAGATCTGGACAATTTAAAGCAAACACATGTTTTTAAATATGGACAGTCTGATGTTTATTTATGAAGTAAAAGAATTTTAACAATGCTGGATAATCATATTAAATGTTTACAAAAAAGCAAATACTAATTTTAAAATACTTTACTTTTGTTTTATTTATTACTCTCTTGATTTTTATCTTGTTACTGTACATTTTTTAATTCTTTTATACTTCTCTCCTTTTATTACAGCAATTCACACCCCTCCAAGCTCTCTCGTCATTCTTAAGGTTTTACCATTATTTAAAAAGTTTATTACAACCGTGCTTAAAGCAACTTTAGAGCCCTCCCAGGCCTTCTATTACCCTCGAACACAGTTAGTAAAGCGCGATAACCCTGGCCGTAGCTCACTGTGTTTGGTCATTCCTTTTAAGTGAAGGTACAAACTAGGAATCTAATAGCTTACTTTTCATTACTCAGTTAAAGTCAGAGGAGGCAGGTCGCTATAGTGGCTTTTTAACTAACATAATACTAAATTTTTGCCGTAATGTTTAGGAGGAATCAACCCTCGGATGGACAGCTAGCATGACGGATTTGTCATAAACGTAACACCTCCTTGCAGTTCGCCGGAAACAACCTTGAAGCAAAACTGCTAAATTTTATATATAGGTACGATCTTTATCGGAAACTATACTAGACCTAACCTAGAGACGCAAAGCAATCATCACTTTAAACAAGTGTAACACAGTGGCATAGTAATAACCATTCTTCTAAAGAACTTAATCTGTATTCCCCTCTTGAAAGAAGTCGAGGCATAAGCGCCCACTAGCGTTTCTTCCTAAAAGAATATTATGACTGCTCCGAGGAAGGGTACGAAACAGTGTAGAAATATCAGATCTAGACCCGCCATTTGGCCCAGAGTGGCGAAAAACAGCTTAAAACTACCACCAGGAGAGGCGAGTTCGAGAGCTAAGGAGACACAGGTTACTATCACTGACAGTCAGGCTCTTCAGCAGTATTTTAAAGAAGAAATTATATATTGAATACTCCTAATTAAAATTTAAATGTTTTAGGAATAATTGATTTTACAGGCCGGGAGCCCTTGAGAATAAATATGAAACAATATGTTATATATTATAACAATAATATACACTATAGACCTTAGCGTAATATAATTATGTAATCGAAGAACTGAAGCTCTGTAGGAATTTATTTGATTGTACTGGACTCTCTAGGAGCTCCAGGCCAACCTTACAAAACATATGAACAAGAGGATAAAAAAATTGTGGAAGCGACTGCATGGATCGCATTAATATAAGCATATGCATTCCTCGATTCTTCATACTATAAACAAAAAAATGAAAAAAAAAATTTCCTGTTAATTCTGCGTTCCACTCGCATTTATTAGTGACTGGTGTTTAAAATTCTAGAAAAGTTTAAAATGTATAACTTTGCATGCTTCTTCATTTTCCTTTCATTTAAATTTTCGAGTAAAGTACTTTAAATATAATAGAGAAAATATGTATTAAACTTTTTTAAAAATAAAAGCGAAAGAGTAAGTAATCGTTAGTAAACTTAAACCGAGTGGCAATAAGATATTAACTTTAGCTTAAGGGTAAAGTTTGAAAGGTTGGATTTGTTTCCTTTGTATTACCGCTTAAACGTTTTAGACAATCTACTTTTTGTAGACAATATAGAACATTTTAATGTAATTTAATACCAACGGAAGGATAATATAGGAGGACATGGTAGGGTGGGAGGGGGGTTTAGCTTAACATTAAAAGCATTTCTTTTTTCCTTTTTTAATATAAGTCAACTTTTGTAATTTTTATATAATTTTTAAGAGTTTATTATTTATAAATATTATATATAACTTCCAATTTATAAATCAAATCTCTACTAATAATCTCAGTTGTTTAGTTAAAACTGCTTGGTTGCAAAAAACAAATTTAAACCTAGAATTAAATCTTATTGACAGTACGGAGCTATAATTTAAAATAGTGAGGGTTAGCTAAAGTAATTGCAATTAAGTAGCTATATCTTTAGTATACCAATATATTTATTTATTTAAGAAAACAGCCAACTTCTCTGCTAATTGCTGAAATTTTGTACCGACAATATACGACACACCGTTATCGTTGAACAGAGAATACAAAGCACACGTACAAGAGCAAATTTCATTTCTTTTTAGCTGTAGGGGGTTCATTACTCATTTTGGTAGCCAACACGAATAAAGAGGTAATACAAGCTATAATCCACAAACTTAAAACTAGGAAGTGCATGGGTCTTAAAAATTACAGATGTAATGCTTGCAAACTTTCCCATAACCTTAATTAATTATCTTGCGGAGCTCATTAACTCTTTTAGTACCCATAGTTATTATCCTTTGAACTGGGAGCAATCTGGAGTTGTTTTTTATACCGTAAACTTCTCGTCCAAGCCACTATGCTAAAGGTGTCGCCTTATTAGTCTATCTTCCTGCTTAGAAAAGGTCGCAGAGCTCTACAAATTTTAAGGTTGGTTAAAAAGTACAACAAGGAATTTATCTGTAATGATTTCCTTGAACCTTTAGTGTAACGCACCAAAAGGTAATGTCACTTCTTTGAAGATGACTGAGAGTAGTATATAATAATATTTTATAAATAAATAAACCTTTACAAATTTATTTAATATGAGTGAAGTAAAAGGAAAAGATCAAGTATAGAAGCACATCAAGGCAACAGACCAGTACAAATACGGAACAGAACAACAAATCGACTAGAACAGAATTAAACATTTCATACTAGAACAAAGAGAGCAGAATAGAAACCGCAGCAAAAGAAAGAGGCACCTATACTATGAGGAAACTAATCGAGTCTGTAGACGGTGTATATACTTGTAAATGATTGGTTAACTATCACGTGCATTAATTTGACTGCTACAAGGGGGCGTAACCTAAGATGTGAGTTGGGCCTTACATTTGGAAAACTTTCGGCAAAATATGACATAATCCTCTCACATGAAATGATCAAATGTGTATTACCCGCATATTGTTACGAATTATAAAGTCATTTCTCAGCAGTAAATCCTTCATGGTCCGTATAAAATCAGAACAAATAACGCTGGTTATTAACAGCAGCTCAAAATCTCTACCTCTTGTAAATAAATATATGCAATCCTACCTTAACTCATTTGAAGATCATTTAACAAAGTGGAAAATAATCAAAAAAGAAAGAGAATAGATCCGCTGATGAGCTTCTTTTTTCTTCATTATTTCAATGAATTGACTTAGCTTTGTAACCCCCCTGGGTGACTCCCAAAGGCTTCTTATCTTAACGTACTAATGGGACTGACTTCCTTCCTCGTTGTACATAACTCAGTACCTTTTTATCTATCCCTCTATCTAACTTTCAACTAGGTCTCGACCTCCTGATGATTTGTTAGGGGGAGTTGCAAGACTATCTGAAGACTTAGTAGATTTTAACCATAAGGCCTTTGTGTGCTAATTCTTTTTTAGAGTGAGATTACTTGAATAGTTGGTTAACTTTAAACTTAAAAGGATAATTTTTAAAATATTAAAATAAAATGAAACACTCTATTTCAGTACGACTTAAAAATACTAGCAACCTTAAACTAAGGTAGAAAGAATTTATTTTTCGATTTAGACAATAGAAGTTTATATTTTTGCTTTTAGAATTTAGGTGGTAAACCTCGAAGAAAGAAACGAGTAAGACTACAGCCAGTAGAAGATCATAAAGATGGTTCGAAGGAATTCTATGGCTATGCCTAGAAGATATGCAATCAATTAAACTTAACCTAACTTGGTATCATCGTTGGTAAGAATCCTGCTTACTGTCTTTGTCACCTTTTGAGAGGAATTTGGTTAATAATTGTAAATACTGGGATATATTATAACTTGCTAAGCCTTTTTCTGAATGGTTCCACTGGAGGTAGCTCAATGGCTTAACTATGGAAGCATTATCTCATTGGATTCCTACCTTCCCTCGATGCTAATACTCTTAAGAAAAAAAATCTTTATATCCAGTTCATAAGCATAGTAAAATATAATTCTATGGTTGTCCTTCATCTTTAAAGAGCTTAATCACGGAGTTTATTGCTTAGTCTTGTTGAAATTAATCAAATCAACGGTTTTAATTAGGAACTACTCATATTTATAAATGACCAGGGAACTATAGTAAAATTATAATCACTCGTATTAAACAGCAAAATAAGCCTAATGAACAGTGAATTAGGAAGAATAACGAACTGTTGTCATCAGCAGCGAACAAATCTATGAAAATTTTAAGTTGTCTTTTAGCATCGGTAGTATGCACGATTCGAAATAATCCTTCTAATTGGTAAAGCGTAGGTTCCTTATTCGCAGCCTCTATTTTAATTGGTTTAGAAGCATAGAAAAATTTACCGCTAATTCCTATGCGAAACGAACGAGAGTGTTCGTTAAGTCTAATTAAAAGCAAAGAAGAACACTGTTGGAGAATACTTAAGTTTTTAGTTGGGGGTACACCTATTTTATTGGTACCATCTTTACCGCTTACTTTAGATTAAAGTGCTACTTCTTATAAATAGCTTATACAGTCTCTTTCTAGCAGTTACTGCCTACGTACGTCCTACTAGTATCCATGTGGGGCCTTTATTGTTCTCAGTAATCTCGTATAGTGTTAAATATGTTTACTAATAGCTTAATTCCCATGAATTGACTAATTTATTCTTGGTGATGGTAGTTTAGTTAGGAAAGAAATGTGTCACCGTGAGCTAAGGCGCTATGAAGCGTGTAAATCTACGACTTTGCCTTTGTATCTTTGGCTAAGAAGCTTGCATAATTAAGAATCCTTCATAACCTTAGAAGAATTGATTGAATCCTTTTCAGTATCGTAGAGGCTTTACTTAGTTAGGGCTTGTCGACTAACCTTAGTAGTAGCATAAAGTAATAAATTTTTATTAGCTAGGAGTATTGCATCATTAGGTGTGCTCAAACACAATCCTACTTAGCACTGAATTCGCTAGCTATACCAAATGTTGTACTCTTTTCAAAATCGTCTTAGATAAAAAGTGCAAGATCTTAACTTTAGTTTAATAAAAAAACCACTAATCCCTTTAGAATAGATACATTGTTTAACTCACCTTTTTGACTTGGCTTTTGTGTTCATATTAAATTGTAATTTTCGGTAAAAGTCGGCTCGAGTTATCATTCATGGTGAAGTATCAAGTAGCCTTTTTAAAGAGAGTGAATAAGACTTAAAAATAAAGTAGTAAAAATAAGCTCAAAAGTAAATTCCTGGTTTTAGTACATAGAACAAATTTCGGAATCATTTCCACTATGGAGTCAAGGTTCTACCAGTTGGAATCTTTAAATAATTTTTTATTCTTTGACTTTATTTGTAATGATTAACAATTACAAACACCCCTTCTCCCCTTGGTCCAATTGAACTTTTCATTTTTATAGTTAATTGGACCTTTTTGTTTCTAATTATTTAGGACTTCCTTTTTGCAACTCTAGCGCACTCCTATTGGTTTGAGCAAGATTATAAGGCTCATCCTTGTGCTTTATAGTAGGATGCTAACATTAATGAAAATTAAGTTTTATCTTTTTTAAGGGCATAAAGTACTCTTTGGCTTAGTGAGATTGACTAAAGTGAAAGAATAATAAGAATTATCACCTCAATGATGAATGAATTAATAATACCTTAACTGATGCTTCCTGTACGGGGCCTCCTTTCTTGACTTATCCACTAGTAAGTTTTCACTCTTTTTTTGGGTGTTTTAGTTGAACTACTACACCCTTCTAAGAGAAGAAGCTAGGTTAATCCTGGCCAATACCTTAGTGCTTGCTTGTCTTACTTGGTAATGATACTGATTGTCCCTCCAAAGTGGTCTTTTTAGATCATTAAGGTATCAAAAAGCATGTTTAAGATATACAATACAAGCTTGTTCGCTCGTACCTCGATTCGTGAACATGCTCCGTATGCTCTCTTTATCTTTAAATATCTTTTATATCTTTTATCTTAGTGCGGAATGTGCCCGGCATCCTAAGCGATGTAGACTTTACTCCGTCATCAAAAGATCCATTCATGGCAGCTGTGTAGGTGCTGCATTTTTGCTGATGGTTTATATCTTAAGAACCTCGCGATAGTATAGTACATTTTTTAGCGAAATCATGATTTCTGTTGGTGGCGGAGTCGCTATCTTAAAAAGTCCGAAAAAAAACGGACCTGGAGTAAAAATCAATAGGTTTACCATGGTAGTTTCCAGGGGACTGCAAGGAGTTGTCATTGATCTACCTCTTACTTTGACACGATATCAGTCATGCTCGCTATCCATACAGGAGTTGGTTTTACATTAGGAGTAGACACTAAAAAAACACGTTTTCTTACTATGCTAGATAACTAATTTAAAGATTTATACTTAAAAGTAATACAATTCAAATAATAAGTAAAATATTAATTAGTAATAATAATGATATAATTGTGATAATATCTATATTAATAACATTGAGTTTTATAAAATAATTTTTTAAAATTTTTTATCTATAAATTCAGGGAAGGCTTACTCACATAATCTAAATTTTAATAAATATCGTTATAAGGTAAAGTACACTCGACAGTTTTACTTTTACCAGCATAGTAACCCTCTTTGTGGACGATATACAATTGTTTACAAATGATGCAGAGAAGTCAAGAAGATCGAGTGCAGAGAGGTCACAGGAAGTAAGTTTATTGGATTCGACATCGAAGAAACCGAGCATACAATTTCTTTTTTCGGCAAAGCTTAATGATCGACAAAGCCTTAGGGGAGTTTGGCTTAAAAGAAGCAATATACCTTCTGTGTCATGAGCAACACAAAATGAAAGAAGTTGGGCCAAATTACTCATAACTTCCGTATAACGAACTCATAAGCTCATTATACTATATTTCCACCGGAACACAACAAGACATAGCCAATTCAGTAATTTTGCTGTCTCAACACCTAATAACATACGGCACAGAGTACTGGAAAGCGGATAAGCAACCATTACGGTATTTATCCGGGACAAAAGAGCTATCACTAAAAGTCAAGAGAGGAAAAGAATTGGTGTTCGAGTTGTACACGGACGCTTGTTAGGCATCTGAATATGACTTGAAGAGCAGATCTGGCAACATAATTAAACTGACTGGATGCTGAATAACTTGGAAATCCAAACGCTAGAAACAATTAAAGCTTTATCTTCAGCCGAAACTAAATACGTAGCTCTCGCCTCTTGTACTCGCAACGTGAAATGCATGCAAGAATTACTAGACGAGTTAAATGTATATCATGGAAATTTCATTGCTAACAATAATAAGCAACCGGCTATGCATACCACTGCAGGTGTTACTGAAGCAAAGTTATTAAACATACTGGCCGGATACTTCATATTTTAAAAGAAATCCTTGGGGAAGGTCGTATAAGCTTAAAGGAAGGTAGAAATGAAGACATGCTTGCTGACACCCTTACAAATATTATTTGAGGTGGAAAATTTACAAAACATAGAAGACCACCGCGAGGTGCGCGTGGGTGTTCCTTAAAGATACATTCTAATGTAAGCGGGTACAGGTTGGTCTGTTAGTGCTCAGGGTTATGCATTCTATTTTAATTTTGCTTTCGTCCGTTTCTTGAACCTAATTCATGAGCCTTCGCAGTAATTTGTACACTCTTTGAAGGAGCGAGGATTGCTTTCTGTCCCTAGACTGTCATCGTAAAGCATCCGAAAGAGATCGCGCCTATATATAAATTCGCGCTTAACTAAAGAGTTAGTCCTCGCGAGTGCCGGTTAGCTACCGTCTGTGATGCTCCGAGGTTATCATCCTAAGGCGGGATAACGTATTAATGTAGGCGCCCTCCACTTTCCAAAGGAGTTAGCTACTGTAGCTTTGGGCTTAAATGTCAAGAAAAAGGATCAAACTCAATCTTGGCTAATAGGTTTGAAGAAGTCGTAACACGTAAACTTAGAAGAATCTGAGGTTGGAAGATAAATAATTTAAGGAAAACATTGACTTTTGCAAGGTTAGGAAGGTAACTCGGTACCATCAGTTTAAAAATTTAATAATTTTACATAAAATGATATAAATTAATAAAATAAACAATTTAATAATAAAACCTTGAACCTGACTTTGAGATTTAATGTTGTTTGTTAGCCTGTGCTCTATAATAAAATACATCACTCATCACTAGGTCTAACTTCCGATTTAGTATTTTTTACTATAATAATCAATCACCGTTTCTACGTATAAGGGGATCTCTTGTAGCGGCCCTCGTTCCTTAGCGCCTGCGCCAACGCTTTGTCCTATCTTTTAGATGCTACAATCTTACCAACTTGAGCGCTTACCTTGCGCTACCATCTAGAACTTTTCGGTGACTGCAGCAAGTTATTCCTGTTTGGAAATCATTTATCTGTTGTGGATGAACAAAATCCTCTGCTGGAGTATCGAGGGGCGCAAAGAAAGAGATCTTCAGAGTGAATGTTATTATTAGCTCTATGACCATGAAGCTAAAAGATTTAAACTACTTCACGCTCTTCATTACTATTGGTCTAATATTGTTTACTTCTGTACGTATAAAAAGCTTATTTGTTTTAATAAGCAAAAACAATTTTTTTCCTTCTTACCAGCTCTCACCAGCCCCTGGTGCGCGCTTGATTAGTTTGCTTAGAGGAGTTGCTTATACTTTAACTACTAGACTTGACTTTCTTGAACTAAGAATAAGCACTACATTTTTTAGCTTCATTCTTCTTTTTGGTTATGGCAGCGCCTTCATAAGTGAAGTTGACGTTGGTTTTGAGGACTAGCTATGTCATCTAGGTAATATTTTTAGGTTACAGGACTAAAACAAGGGCTAAACGTTTAGAGGGTGTTTAAGTCATGGCCTATAAGATAACCAAGTTGTTTAAAGGACCAATTATTAGTTATCAAGTAATATTTAAAAATCTAAACAATAATATATTTTGGAAAGACAAAGCGAAGCATAATTATATAAAAACTATTCTGACAGCAAATACGGAAATACGCTCACTTAGTAGACTACTTAGCTAGCCAACTTAGAATTATTAGTAATGTTTTATTCTGTGCTAAAAGAGCGTTAAACTTTCATAACCAGCTGCTTCTATATATAAATGTTAAGATGTATACCTCGACATGCGCCTTCCGCTTGGATTGCCTCTTCTGAGCCTTTTAAATAGGCTACAAGCCCTACAATGTATTTTCTTCGACTGTGGACTAATGCCCCGTGGTTCATAAGAAACTTTTATTTGCACCGAGATGGTAAAGTTGAATCTATCACGGAAGTGATTAAAAAAACGCAGAAAATAATAATAATAAAGTGAAAGTAGTAATTATTAATATTGTTAATAAGAAAAGTAAATGCAACTAATATCTTCTCTATACTAGATGACTTAAAAGGTTAACTTTCCCTGCTTCTCGAGTTTACTTTGCGTTCCTTTACTACAAAGGGAAAAGGATTAAGCAGTAAGGAGTAAGGATATTTTTGACTAGCTCAGTAAAGTTACTTGTACAATGGAAATAACACTAATCAATATTATAATCAATTTAAATAGAGTACATCGACAAGAACGACGCTCTATTATAACAGCAAAAAACTGGACAAATCAAGATCAAATCAGAAGCATAATTAAAGGACAACAATAATATATCACCATAGTTTAATTTTAGCCTTTATAGTTTAGCATAATGAATTAGTTTTAATCTTAGTATCTTAGCAATATTTCCTATTTATAAATCTAAGTACTTTTTAGGCCGCGAGTTTTTGGTATACCAGCGAGAGTCATTCATAAGGGTTTATATTATTAAATCGTTAAAGTAATACTGGTTCTGGTAAGTCAGTACGTGAAATTTATCAAAATATGGTACGGAATACACTCAAAGTTATGCACTCTGTGAGACTAATTGTAACAAACCTAAATTGAACGCATTCTGTAGTATTTGCAAGTCGTTTCGTATGCTTTTTAGAGGATTAGACACAAACAATAAAGTCGCCAGCGGACGTATAGCTGATTTATAAAACAAAATTAGTATTATACTTTTCATTATAAGATTTTAATCTTTTTTTAGAATTTCAAAAAAAATTTACTTTCATTTTTATTTTCTATTTTATAATATGCTTAGTAAAATAATAATGTTTACCCTTTTTTTAGCGAAAACTTTATATATAACGATTTTTGTAATAACTTATGAATTTTGATAAGTTTTCTTTAAATATTAACGAAGGGTGACCTAACTAGTTTACTGCAAGGGATAGGAGTGTGGAGGAGGCCCCTTTCTTCGTGTTATTGTTAATAATAAGAAATTTTTAAATAAGCAAGATCTCACAATTCCCAAATTATAAACGAAGAGGGCAAGCCTCTACAGCAAGGGATTTAAACATTTCTTGCTCTGTACTTAAAATTGGAGACTGTAGCAGTGTTAGGAGACAGTCCAAGCACTGTGTAATATTAATTTTTATATTTAAATCATTTTATTCACCTTATTCTGTACTGGGTATTTTATTTATGCTATTACACACAATGATGCATCCAAGGAAAAACATAACGTTAAAGCTACATTTGGGCAATTTAATTAATAACTTTGATATTCAAAAAATACCTCAAGCACGCTAAAAACGAATTTTACACAGTCCTCGGCGTAATAGCAAAGTTTATTTTCAACGTATGAGGCATATCAGGCGGGTGTATGGAAAAAAGGTAAAGAAAATAATGAGGCCTTGGGATTACTAGTAAAGGTAAAGGTTTTGTTTGTAAGGTGAAAAATATACTACCGTAATTTAAGTAAGGAAAGCTAGCAGCAGTTAATTTTATTTACCAGACCATCAGGTCATATCCTATAAAAAGTCTTTAGGTAATTGAAAAGGTCACACTTTACTTTTCTTTAATAATGATAATAATAGTAACAATAATTGTTAAATTGGGCACTAGAAACAACGACTTGCGCCCTGGGAAGTAAACCCGTGGCTTAAAAGGTGTAAAGTGTGACATACTAGCTAAATTAAGCCTACATGTGGGCGCTATCTAAAATTTCCGAATGACAACCAATTGATAACCGTGAATCGAAACTCAGTGATAAATTAAATTATGAAGGATTACTAAAAAAAAGTCATTTTTATCAGTTGGTTACCCCTCTATATACTAAAATTTCGGAAACTGCCGACCAATGAACTTTGAGGTCTCGGCCAATGAGCTTCTTACTTTTGTAATTATTTTAATTGTTTTTTGGGTTTACAAGAATTAATTTTTCTCATCCAATAACCTAACTTTCTGTGGTCATTCTATATTTGGCAATTTTATATTTTATTTTTTTTGTTTTAGTGTGTTGTATCAGCTTAAATTTTTATTTTCTCACACAGGAAGCTTCATGAACAAACATTCGTGCTCCATCGAGTACTTAGAATTTTTTAAAATGAATAGAAAACTCTACATCCTTAGATTAATTTTACACGAAATTAACAACAAATTAACTAAAAAATTAATTTTCAAAAATAATTTAGTTACGAAAAAAGTATTTTAATGGTGGCGATGCCACTTTGATTAGTTCTTCCAATTTGTTTTAATAGTATAAAAAATATTACTATAAAAGGTAATCCTTTAAACTAAAGGATAGTTGATTGGCGGTGATACTAATATTGACTGGTACGAATCCGTTTTTTAAATATGTATACCAAGAAGCTTTACAACAAACTCAAGCTTTATTCTACTATTTATTGTCACACATTTTTTTTCATATTTTTTATTTACTATTATATTTTCTTCTGTTTTACATAAATAATAATAGAAATGACCCACTAATTCTACAGCAACAGAAAAATTCTCTCCCAAATGACTCATTAAACAAAAAAATCATTAGTAATAGAACCACACTCGAACATAACATCGCGAGTGGGATGACAGTTTTTTATTCATTTTGTGGCTCTAATAACTTCCTTTACCCAGGCGAAGTTCTACTCATACATCGCAAGAGTTAGTGGGGGCTATATAATGGGGTTTCTTATAAAGATTCTCCTAGCTCCTTAAAAAAAGTAATAGGTATCTTTATGGAGAAGTAGTAGTATTGAGCCTAAATTATTCTCTAGATGGAAAAATTAATTGTCATAATTCTTAGGTGTTGTGTTTAAACCGTAAGAAAAGCTAAATCGGATGAGCTAGTTCAAATCTACCCAACCAATTTTACTTTATCAGTTTGTTTATCTTAGAAACTTTAGAAAATAACATAATTTTACGCTCAAAAATTGCTTTTTTGGAGCATATAGCTTTCTAAATACCTGTTAGCGAGCTCAAACGCTTAGTCGTTGTTATGCCCTTTCTTTAGGGTTCAGCAACCTTATTAAGACCGTAACCATTCCGAGCAATCCTTAAAGATACATTTCGAGTCACCCTCTTGGTTATTACGCTATTAAGTAGAGAGAATATTGCCTTTTGTCTTTAGGCTACTAGTGTAAGGCGGTGGAAAAGATCGTTCACTATTAGTACCGGTGTATTCCCAGCGGCTTCCCGTGGGTGTCCATTTGAGATTGGCATTAAAGTGACCTCAGGTGGTGGAACGTTTTTGGCTTTGTTTATGTCACCCTCTATTATTCGATCGGCGCCAATGGTTTTATTACTCGGATGCAAGTGGTTAAAAATTTGGTTAACGGTGGCTTCCTTTATTATGCTTGCGTGATGGTTCCATCTACTTTAGTGACCGAAGTATAATAAAAATTAATCAGTAAAGAAACTAAATTTTATTCGGACGCTTAAACAGATGGGGTCAGTATACAAACATAACTATTTTACTATTCCACGGAGGCTACTTAACTCAAGAAGCGGGTAAAAAAAAAAAACCTGTGGCTAGCTTATACACTTAATTTGTATATTGGCCCTCACTAACTTTATAGCAGTCACTAGTTGTACTTAAGCGAGTACGTACTACCGCAAACTTTTGTATGCAAAAAGAAATACCTTTCTAAAGCAGAATAGCAAGTATATTAAGCAATTGTCACTCTCATAATAGTGAAGGCATAAAGCCATGTAGACTCTTTTTTTAAATTAAAAAGAGTTATAACCGTAAAGAATAATAATAAAGTTTATTCTTAGTTTATATTAGTTAATACTGTAAATACACATTTCTATTAAAAAAAAAATAGTGTAGGTGGTAGAGGTACCTTTTTTTTTTTGTATACTTTTACTGCTAAGTGGGCCTTAACTCACACAAGAAATTATGAAATAGCTCTAAAAGTGAAACTAGTTAATAGTAAAAAAACTTTTAATTGTGGTATGCTTGGAATTATGTTAAACAAGAAATAAAATAATTGTGCAACTCTTAAGATTTCAGTAATCCAATTTTTAAAAAACCTTCGCTAGAATATAATATTATATATACTCGCATGGCATCTCATTTTTTGAAGTCCTATATTATTTATAGTTTTTGTTATAGGAAAATTTGTTTATTAAGTTTATTTGTTAGCAAGTGTAACATAACCGTTTTAGAAAACCCTTGCGAGACAGGCATCAATGAAACCATTTACCTTCTTACATCATAAACCATTAATAAACACACAATAACAACATAAATGAAAATGTAAATAAGAACAACTAAGCAAGAAGAATACTTCAAACGACAATATTATAAATAAACAGGAAAAATTTAAAATTAAACAATAATTCCCTACATTTTTTTTAAAATTAAAATCGTACAAATTGGCAAAACAATTTTTTTAAACTATATTCTTATTACATAATTATCATTTCTATTAGATTCTAAGTTTATTTCGTAATTATTATTTCATGATTTTCCTTTTTTCTGTAATGTTTTTAAGCGCAATAAATTACAGATTCAGAAAATCTATACATGTGACAAAGGGCATTTGGAAAAGTTTTTCTGCACGAGGACCGCTTTAGCTGCATTGTAGAATAATTCTATTCTAGTATTTTTTGCTAGGCATTATTAAATATAAAGTTTTACTTTTGCTAATTTTTTAGTTTTAATGGAAGAGAATTCTGTTGAGGAAACTAATCAAAGTGATTCAATAAAAACTTCTGAGGTATCTGATGTTATTATGCATAATATTTCTAAAAGTTGATAATTATTTTATTCAATTTTTTTTTAGATTATGTTCTTAATAAATTTTTTTTTATTTTGTTATAGGAATTTTTTTTTTTGATTTTTGGATATTCATATTCTTTTTAATTATTTTTTCTATTTTAAATATTTATGGTTTTAATAATTTTTATTAATTATAATATTATCTACTGCCATATGTATTTTAGTAAATTATAATTTAAGTACTTTTTTTATTATACATTTTTACTTATTATTTTTATACTTTTTGGCTTTTAAATTATTTTAAAATTCTACTTGTTAACTTTTTACTTTCTTTTTAGGCAAAGTAGTTTTTAAATTATACTTCTCTTTGTTTATACATAAAACCAAATTAGAAATATTTATATAAATATGTTAGTACAATGTTTATTTATTTTTAATAACTCATTTTTTTAAATAGTGAACTCTTATTTATTGATTTAATTTCAATTTTTTTTTAAATTATTCATAATTATAATTTCATATAGTTATCCCTTTTTTGGTATCAACATATAACGTTTAGATTTTTTACAAACACATTTTTTTTATTGATAATAAAACTTATATCAAAAATTTTTACTTTTTTCTTTTACTTTTGTTCTATTTATGAGGCATCTACAATTTTCAAAGGGAAATTTTTATTACAATTTTTAAGTTTATTTTTCTTTTTTTCCACGTTCTTTTTTCCAAATTTTTTTTAAATTTAATGAAGTAATTCTGAAATAATATTTTTTAAAGAATTCTACAGTTCTTGAAGAAAAAACTATATTTGAAGATCCCTTAAACTATACTATAGCACATCCCCTTCAGTATTCTTGGGCTCTCTACGTGGACATTCCTAGCGGTACTTTTTTTTGTCTGATTTGTAAAATTTCATGATTATATTTTTTTGATGAAAAAAGGAGAAATAAATTACGAGAACTGGTTGGAAAATGCTAAAATAATACAGCCAATTGATACTATTGAAACTTTTTGGGGGTTTTTAAGATTTTGTTTTTGATTATTTTTTGGTGAAGTTGTGCAGTTTTAAGTTTATAATTCACGCAGTTTTTTTACTATTATTCAACTTGGCGCCAAGAGAGAAGGCATTTAATTTTATGAGAGACGCTTATTATAAACATTTTTAAATAATATTTAGTTAAATTTACTATTTTATATTATTATGAATTGAAATTTTTTTTTTGGTTTCACTACTTGGAGTTCATATTTTACGCGGTTATACTTATTATATGAGTTTTCGCCAAAAAGAGGCGACTCTTATTTTTCGGGGGGCGTTCCTTTTAAACATTTTTCGTAATATATATAGAAAAAATTTTCATTATTATATAAACCATAGTAAACTTTTTTCCGATTCATTATTTTAAGTTTATTTATTTCGGGTCTACTATTATTATTTAAATATGCTTTAAAAAGAGGTGACATTGATTTTTTTTTCATAATCTTTATAACGACTTTCTTTGTTAAATTTATAAATACATTTTTTAGTTCATAGATTTTTGTCAAAACTTTGGGCTTTTCTTTCTTTACATTTTTGGAATATTTTATCAACGACATATTATAAAAACTCATTTTTCCAACTTTTCGCTCTAGAAAATTTTTTTCTTATTTTTGATTGGCGCTTTTATCAGCCAATCAGGATTTTTTATTTTTACTCTTTAGCATTATATGGTACCAAAATATTTACTAATGGATGCATATAAAACTTTTAGGCACTAAAAATTTATTACTTTTTTAATAAATGCTAAATAAAAATATTTGAGTTTTAATGAAAACTTTTTTTCAATTTTTTATAGTTTTTTTTTATATTTTTATTAGTAAACCGAGAAAGAACAGTTCGAAGTAAGAAATATTAATAAATGTAAATAAAATTTATGAATAATAAATTATTAAATAATTGATTGAAGTATAATAATAATTATGATTAATAATTATAATAAATATAATAACTATAAATATAAAAGTAAATAAAAATAAGAGTAATAAATATAAATATGAAAGGTAAAGAAAAATAAAAATAATTAAAAATAGATATATGAAAAGTAAGTAAAAATAATAAAAAATAATAAATAATAAAATAATAACTATGAAAGGAACATACTTATAAAAATAAAATGCAAAGTAAATTAAATTCAATAGTAATAATCAAAACTAAAAATTAATCGTAAAAGCAAAAATAAATGAAATATATATAAAAAATTATAGTAAAATTAATTAAAAAATAAGATAATTATAGATATAAATTATAATAATAAATAAATAAATATAATAATAACAGATATAAATAATTAAGTAATTATGGGAATTTATAATTATAAATAGTTTTTTGATTAAAAAAAATAAATAAAAAAATAATTTTAATAATAGACTTATTATAAAAAATTAATAAATAATTATTATAAAAAATTAAAAGACTCTAAAAAAAATAATAAAAATAATTATACTAATAAGTAATTATAATAAAAAAATTAACAAATAAAATAATATTAATATAAATAATTATTAAAAAATAAGTGATTGTAATAAAACATAAATTAATAATATAATAATAATTATAATAAATCTAAATATATAATAAATATACAGAAATATATGTAAACCTAAATTTTATCTAATATTTAGCGATATCAAATATTTGTGATAGTGAGAAACGAAAATGTAAAAATAAATAAAGATAAATATGAAAAGTAACAAAAATTATATAATAGTAATGAATAAAACTAATAAAAAATAGGTAATAACATTAAAGAAAATAAATAAATAAAATAATTCCAGAAGTAAAGGAAACAAATAAATGTAATATTAATAAAAAATTAAATAAAAATAAAAATTTTTAAGTATTTTAGGAAATAAGAAAATAAAATTTAATAGTAAAAAATAAATAATAATAAAAAACGATTATCATAATAATTTAATAAACGAAATAATATTGGATTTTATAATTATACTCTTAATAAATATTAAATTAATTATAGAAATAAATTAAAAAAATAGTAATTAAAATAATAATTATAGTAAGAAATAAATACTTGTGATGAAAATAAATTATTATGATAAGAAATAAATAAAATACTTGTAGGAAATAATAATTATAATACAATAGAAATAATAAAAAATAACTGAAATAATAATCAAAAAAAATGATAACAGATTTAAATAATTAAAATAGAAAATAAAAAAACATAAATACAATAAAAATAAGTTATTATAATAAAATAAGAAAATATAATATTAGAGATAAGTAATCATAATTGAAAAAATACATAAAACGTAAACACATATTAAGAATACGTTATTATAATGAAATCATTGATTATAATAAATATAAATATAAATTAAAAAAATAAGTAAATAAAGTAATAATAGAAATAAGTAATTATTTTAGAAAATAAGTAAATAAAATATGGATAATAAAGGATGATAATAAATGATTATAATAATAAATAAGTAAACATAAGAATAATAGAATAAATAATTGCAATAAAATAAACGATCAAGGTAGATCAATAATAATAAGTATATTTAAAAATTTTAAAAATTATTATAATAATAGTAATAAACAATAATAATGGAATAAATAAATAAAATGAAAATAGAAATAATAATTATAATAATAAATAAGTGAACAAAATAATCATGGGTAAAAAATAAAATATTAATAAAAAATATTAAAAATATAATAAATTTATAGAATGATAATAATAAATCATTATAATAATAAGTAAATAAATAAAACATTAATAATAAATAATTATATTAAAAATAAATATATAATAAATAATTAAAAACAAAAAAACCAACATTTCTTCTTATTTAAAGCTAAATTAAATAATCGTTAAAGTGAAAAGCTTAATCGTTTCTGCTTTTTTGCTTTGCTATATAATAAATCTTATAAAAAATATTATTTATTACAATATAATAATTTTTAACGAAGTTTCGTAAAGTATTTTGCTATTTTTTTTTAATGAATTTGTATATCTTTCTTAGCCAATCGTTTTCTTTATAAGGCTTATAATACTTTATATCGATATTTCCAGATTTTTAACCAATCATTACTTATATTTTAGAGTCTTCACTAATTTTATATATTTGGGACCTTCACTTAAAATATTTTTATTAATAAACGCTCATTAATTTTATGTACATTTTTAAATTTTAAAGAATTCGTTATCCAATCAATACCTGCATAATTTGGAGTATTCAATTTTTTTCTGAATTTTTTAAAAATTCGTTGCATGATTTAAAAATATTTTTGGGTCAATCTCTTCACTGTTTTTACGTAAATTTTATAACAATTTTATTTAAAATAATATAAACAATCAGTATTTTTTCATTTTTATAGGACTTTTATTATCCAATCAACATTTGTATAATTTAGAGTTTGCACTTGCCTCAAATAATCGTTGTATTTTTATATTTAAGACTTTCATTATTATTCAAGAGTTATAACAACTGCTTTGGTTTACCTCTTCACCCATTTTACGTGAAACCTCGACCAATCATTTTATTTCACTTTATGGAGCTTTTGTTACCCAATCAATATTTGTATATTTTAGAGCCTCCACTTTCTTTAGTATTTTTAGTATAATTGTCATCAGGAATTTTTACTTTTATATTTTAAGACTTCTTTATTATTATTATTAAATAGTTATTAAAACGCTTTGGCCAATCGCTTCACCTTTTATATAAAACATAATAATTTTTAAAAATGTTTCGACCATCTAGTTTCGTTTTATTTTAAAAAGATAATTCTTTATTCAATCAATACTTATATATTTAGAGTCGTACTTCTATATTTTTGGAACTTCAACTATTTTTAATATTATATAAATGGCCCCGACCAATCAGCACTTTTTAATGGGCATTCGCTATTTAATATATTCTTTTTTCCCTTTTTTTAAGAAAAAAGTGTTTATATTTTTGGCATTTCCAATATTATTTATATTTTATATTAATAATTTTTATAAAAATGTTTAGACCAATCAGTTTTTTAATACTTTTATCGATTTCTTATTACTTTTTTAATATTTTTTTCAGTGTCATGAATAACTTAATGTTTGCCTCTGACTTACCCGATAAAGGAAGCTTCCATTTTTTTCGTTGCGGTTCGTATTATTATTTATTTACATATCATTACTTCTATTTTTTTTTTCGTTAAAAAAAGTTGCTAAACATTAAAATATTTTTATTACTGTTTCATTCTTTAATTTTGTGGGCTTAATTTTAATCATTATATAAAGTTGATTTTTCCAGTTTTGTCACGTGTTATCCCCTTTTTTGGTATTGCCGCAACAGCGCCCACGTACAGACCCGCATATTTTTGTCCAATTAGTTTTGTTTCCTATAAAACTGTGGAACAAATAACTATTTGTCGCATTTAAATTTCAATTTAGATTATTTAATTAATTCGGTTCCTTTTAGTGTTAATTTATAGTGACAGTTTGTTTTTTCTTGGTATGTCAGTTTTTTTTACAGATTTTCATGTCAAATTCATTTTAGACGGTATTCATTATATTTGTGGCATTGAATTTATTTTATCCTTTTACTTCCTTTTTATTATTTTATGAATAAACTTTTTATCGTTTTCAAGTTATTATTATAATTAATTTTTCATTATAATTGTTAAAATTAATTTTATAAATTATTATGGATTCAATAATTATTTATTACAAATTCTAATTTTTTTTATATATACTTATTAATAAAAAGTAATTTTTCATTGTAAATGTTGAATTATAAATTATTATGAATGTAATAAAAGTTTTTTAAAAACTTAACTATTTTTTAGATATAACAAGTAAACAAATAATGAATAATATTTAATAATAAAAAATAAAGCAGATAAATGGAAATAATATTAATTTTGAAAAAAACAACATCAGTTAAGTGATAATATTTAATAATTTTTTTGTATTTTTCACATTTTTTTGGGAGTAATATTTCATTATTTTATATGCATTTTATACTTGTACTAATAGTTTTGATAAGTTATAGTTTTTAAAATTATTCATTTTTTTATATGAGTTTAGATAATAAATTTTTTTAAAATTAGTTTTTTTTGTGGTTCGTATATTAATATATATATTTCAATTTTTTTTGTTGATTTATATATTTTTTAAATGTTTATTATTTTTATGAATGGTATTTAATTAACCTTTATGGTTCATCTCAATAAGTATTTTTCATTATTTTCGTTGAAATATATTTTTTCAAATTTAATTTTTTTATATAATTTTATCGAATTTAATTTTTAAATTTTAGTTTTTTCTGTGATTCTTTTAATAAATATTACTTTTTTTATGTGGTTATATTATATCATTATATTTTATGAAGTGCATTTTTTTAAGTATATTCATTATTTTTCATGAAATTTTTATTTAATTAATTTTTTTAAATTATATTTTTTTTTATGTGGTTAATTCCATTATATATTACACTATTTTTGTTGAATGTATATTTCCAAATATATTCATTATTTTAATGGATTATAGCCATTACAAAAGAAAATTAATATTCTTAGCTAAAGTGAAGTCTTTTTACTGTATTTTCATATTTTTGAATTTCTTTTCCCCCTGTTTTTTTAAATTTTCTTAGATATTAAATATCTATTTTTTTATTTATATCATTTTTATCATTTTTATATATAATTTATACTAAAATTTTTAAGCCACTATTTCATTTTTATTGAAGTATACGCAACATTTATTTTTTTATCCTTTTTAGTTTAATTTATTCGTTAATCTTAATGTCATATATTTTTTCTATAAAAATATTAAGCCAATAATTTTATAATTAATTTTCTTTTCCTTTTTAATATATATTCACTATTTTTGAATATAATTTTTTTTGTTATTTTAGTTGATAATCCATATTTTTGTGTAAATGTATTAAATATTACGTTTTTAACAATAATTTTCTTTATTTTTGTTGAATACACTCTACGTTTAACTTTCTTTTCCTTTTTAATTAATATTCATTCTTTCATTGGAAGTTTCTTTATTTTATTATATTCTTAACCCACTAATTAATTATATTTATAAAGATGTCCTAATTTTTTCCCTTTATATCTCATTATTAATATTGAAATATATGTAAATTTATTTTTTTTCCCCTTTTTAGTTAATATTTCATTATTTTATTTCATTATATATAATTAGTTTGTAAATATTCAAGTATTTTGTTATCCTCATTGAAATCCTTATTTTTGTATTAATAATTCATTATTTTTTCTGAATTTTGTTGAATTTCTTTTTTTAATGAATTTTTATAAGAAAAGTTATAATATTCTATTATTTTTTGTAAAATTACACTTCATTATTCCTTTTTCCTATTCATTTTTTTTTTCCATGTTATTTATTGACCCAATTCTTCATTATTTTCTTTGCATTTTACTCAATATTAAATTTATTTCCCCTTTTAATGAATTTTTTGTTTTAATGAGCTCCAATCAAGGGTTATTTTTACATTTATGTTTAATAATTCATTGTTGTTGAATTTTATATCGTTTTTTAATGAATATTTTATTATATAATTTGAATTTTTTAGTATTTTTAATATTTTATTTAATGTTTTATTATTTTTCTTAAATGGTTTTTATAATTACTTATTAATTTAATATTTTATTATTATAATCATTTATTTTTTTATGTAAATATTTTTTAAGGATAATTTACTATTACATATTTATTATATACTTCTACTTCATAATAATGTACTGTATTACTTTAAATTATTTTTATATGTTATTATTATTTCTTTTAAAAAAGTTATTACTATTATTAAAGGCGTTGAGCCCAAATGGGAAGACCCCGAAAATGCGGGTGGGGGGAGGTGGGCTCTTACTTGTGACAAAAGAAACGTTGACTATCTTTGGATGCACACAGTTTACTATAAATAATAATAACAATAAATAATAAATAATGATGGTAATAATAAAGAGTAAAGATAATAATAAATAACAAATAATGACATAATAAGAATGATAATAATAATGATAATAATTATGAGTAAAAACATTGATACTAATAAATAATAAACAATGATAATAGTGACAAGTAAAAATAATAATAATGCTTATAATTATTAATTCTAATAAAAATAAAAAGATTAATAATCATAATAATAAGTAAAAAAAATATTCATAATAAATAACTACTAATGATAATAATAAGTAAAATAATAATGATTATAAGTTAAAATAAAATACTAACAATAAATAATAAATAAGATAATAATAACAGGTAAAAATTATAATAATAAATAATAATAACGAATAATGATAATAAAAAGAATAAATTATTATAATAAAATACTTATAAATAATAAGTAATGATAATAGTAATATGAAAAACAACGAAATAACAATATCAATAATAAGTAATAATAATATTATAAAAAAAGTAATAAATGATGATAATTATAAGAATAACAACGAATTAAAAAATATATAAAAATAAAGAAGATTTTAATTTTATATTATATAAAAATTTTTATTTACATAATAATAATATAATGGATATCGAAACAATTTATAGTAAATTTTGAACGTTTATAAAAAATTTAAACTACTTATAAATAATAATAAAATTTGTATTATCGAACTTAATAATTATAAATAATATTTATAATGAATATCGACACAATTCTCAATAAAAATATAAAATGTTTGATTACAAATTTATGCTACATAATAAATATAAGAAAAAAAAACTAAATTTCTTATTAAAATAATAATAATATAAGAAAAATATAGAAACGAAATACAATAAAAGTCTAATGTTTATTAAAAATTTAAACTACATTTTAGAAAATTATAATAGTTTATTAATAAATATAACAATATAAACTATAACGATAAATGTATATAAAAATATTTTAATTTAAACAATATTAACTTTTTATAAGAAAGTAATAATAATGAGTAAAAGAAACTATACGTACTGATAAGAATATAATGTAAAACATATATATATATATATATATATATATAAATAAGAAATATTCAGTAATTTATATTTATAATAAAAATATTATAACTAAAATTTTTTTATTAGTTATACAAATTATAATAATAATATTTATAAACTATAAAAAAGTTTTATTATATTAATAAAGAAATTAATATTTTTTTAAATGTTATACAAAAATAAAAAACAACTACTTTTATTAATATCGTTTGAAAGAAATACTAAAATACAAACTTTTTTATAAATAAAAATAAAATATTAACAAAAATTTATAGGAAAATAGAAGTTTGTTCATTATAATAATACCAAAGCAGTAAATACTCACTATAAAATATTTTAGTGAAGAATGTATGATTTTTGTTATAATAATAATAATAATAAAACAGAAGCTTTCGTCATAAATAAATAAATAAAAAATAAAAAAAATAAAAGTTTAATTATATTAATTATAATTATATAAAATTATAAAAATATTATATGAAAGTTTGAAATTAATTCATTATTTTTATTACTAACTTAAAGAAAAATAAAACACCAGCTATTTTAGTGAAAAAATTCTGAAATAATATAACTTTTATAATAACAATTTAAATAATAATATTTTTAAAAATTTATATGAAAGAGAAAATTATTTTTTTATTATTAATATCAAATGAAATACTGAAATACCAAATATTTTAGTGAAAAATATAAAATATAATTTTTATAATAATAATATTAATATCAAAAAAAAAATTTAAAAAAATTTGTATGGAAAAAGAAAATTATTCATTATTATTGTTAATTTTAAGAACTACTACAACACAAAATATTTAGGGAAATATATAAAATAATATATTTTTAATAACCATAATAATAAAAATATTATAAGTATTTTCGACAAATCTTCATTATTATTTATATTCCGATATTATAGTGAAAATATAAAACAAAAGCTTCCGGGTATAAAAAAGTATAAAAAAAATGTTTAATTGTAATGATTTAAATATTTTTTAAAATTAATACAAAAACATTAATTTTTTTAAAATAAGAATATAATTATTAATATTTTTAAGGGATTATAGAAAATATAAAAGCAAATAAAAAAGTTTCATATAAAAATTTATATTAAAAAAACAATAATATTAGCTTATCAGCTTATCAATATTTATATTATAAAAATGCGATAATTTTTTAATAATATTCATGAAAATATGTTAAAAATATTTGGAAAAATTACTGGAAAAAAAAAATAAAAAAAAATATAAAAAGTATTTATTATATAAATAATAATAACTAAAAGTTATCACAAATATTACATAATGAAAAAAATAATCTAATATATAATTAATATTATTTTTATTTATACGAAACACATAAGAATTATCTTTAAAATATATTTAAAAAAATAATATTTCAAAATTTTATATAAAAATAAAAAGTATTATCTTATTTTTAATGTTTAGTCAAAAATGTTACACTACTAAATTTATATTGTAAAAAAAAGAAAGTTTTAAAAAAATAGTAATAAAAATATATATTTTTTATAAAAAAAGTATTTCAAAAATTTTTGACTTTAAAAATAATATTAAATTTTTTATATTTATTCCAAAATGCGATACTTAAAATTTTATATTAAGAATTAAAATAAAATTAAGTTTTTTTTAAATAATCATAAAATGTATTTAGAAATATATTTCAAAAGTTTATATGAAAATAAAAAATTTTACATATCAATTTCAAAAAGGTTATACTATAAAATTATATATTGAAAAATATTATTAAGTTTTTTGAGAATAATAATAAAGTTTACATTTTATAAAAATGAAGAAAACTATAAATATAAAAAAATAAACAATACAAAAAAGTTTTATTATTAAGTTAAGTTTTTTTTATCAATAACCATAGGAATATTTAATAACAAAACTTTGAAGAACTTATAAAAAGTAATAAAAAATATAAAAAAGTTTGATTTTACTAATAAGAAAGATTAGAAAATAATTTGATATTATTAATAAAAAATACTTAATAATTAAATTTTTTATTAAAAATGTAAAATAATATAATTTTTATAATCATAATCGTAAAGGAATATAAAATAGTAAAAATTGTAATGAAATAAAAAATAATTCATTATTATTAAATTAATATAAAAAAATAGAAATCTCAGTACTTTATATGACAAAAAAATATATATTAATATTATTATTTTTAAAAAAATACTAAAATACAGAAAAATATGGAATAATATAATTTTTATCATTAATAATAAATAACGATAAATAATAAATCACGTATAGTAATTATAAATGGTGAATAATAATAAGAAATAATAAAAATATAAAACAGATGCTTTCTTGTATTTCTGGGCAATTTTTAGAAAATTCCGAGTTTGTGAATGGCTGTATCTTAACTATGCGAAAGCTCAGCAGAGTTGCGTTGTGGACTAAAAACACTAACAATGAAACGCTTCAGAAGCAGATTGGTGCACGCTGGAAGCAGGTAATAAGTGATTAGCGGATTTTTATAAATTAACAGGATTGTTATTTTTGGTAGTTTCTGGTATTTATTTGTCACGATTTAATTTAATGCTGCATAATTAAAGTATTTGGTTTCCCTTTTACTTACATTCAATTTTTAATAAATATTATTATTATAATATTATTACTAATTATTATTGCTCATTAATTATCAGTTATTTTTATTATTAAGATTATTATTTCTATTATTATAATCATTATATCAACAGTTAATGAACTATCAATCTCCTGTTTCTTTTTCTCCACATGAAACGACACAGAAATTTTCTGGCGCTCGAGGCCCCCGAAAAATAACTGTTTGATTTGTTTTGAAGAAAAAAATTTTATTGAAAGTTATTATATTCAGGCTCTATAACCTGCGTGGATCTAAAATATAAATAAATAAAGTTTCTTTAATTTTATATATATATATATAATTTGTATGATAGCAGAATGTTCCGAATATTCGTAATGCACCTTAGCATGTGCCTCAACTTTAGGTATAAATAGCTCCTGCAAAGGACCTCCAAAAGGTGTGTTTTTTTTTTTGGTGTGGCGTTGGATTCTGTGCGTGCTCGTTTGTATATCAGCGGGCATTTCAATAAATCTACTAATAAATAAGTTTTTATTATTCTTCGCTATCTTTTATAGGCGCTAGACACTAAGCTAGAAGAGTGTGAATTTTAAGAATTTATCTTTATTTTGTGTAAAATTATGACTCGAGAATATTTTATTATAATATATTAAATTATTATGGTTTCTGCGATACTAGAAGTTAACAACGAAAATATTGATTTTATTCTAAATAGGAAATATAGTTAAAAAGTTTTTAAACTTTTATAATTGGTCACAATTTTATTATTAGTTAAGAAACAATTAGAAATATAAAAAACATTTTTACTTGTTAATTTTTTTCTATATTTTTTAGACTATAATTTTCGGTTACAACTGTACTAAAATTCAATAAACTTTTTTAGCTTTTTATTAAATTTGAAAGTTTCATTTTTAGTTTAGTTTTTGATAACCAAAGTTCTCAGATTTCTAAACTTTAATTTTTGTGCCAATTAGGAATTTATAACTCTTTAAATAGTAGCAGTTACAACTTTCTTTTTCGTGTTAAAATTTTTAAAATTTTTGTTAATCTTTAATTAATTATTTATAGTTACTAATTTTTAATAGGATCTAAATTTTTGGTAATTCACCCGCCTTTTAAAAATTTCCTTTTTAAAAATTTCCTTTTTGAGTTATTCATTATCCTTTTTATCTCTTAAAATAATGATTTATAAGTTTCTTTTACTTACTTTTTACTATTTTGTGTTAAGTAAAGCGAAACCTGTCTTCATATTTTTTTAATGATTTTACTTCTAACTACTTACTTTTGCTGGATGTAAAAAGATAAAGGCACACTTCATTAAAGATTATTTAAAAATAAACAATTTACTTTAATTCTTTTTTTTTTAAAATTTATCGGCTTTAGCCTCCGAAAAACTTTTACTTGCTATGACTTTAGCTACTGAATTCCAGTAAAGGAGGTCTTGTTATTAATAATTTCTGTAAAGAAATTTGTGAAGAAAGTATATTTATCTAATAGCTTGATAAGATAAAAATAAAAGTTTAGCGCGAAATTAATATAATATAATAGCTAAATACAAGTTGAAAAAAAATCGATCGATTTTTTTTAACAATTATTAATTGAGTATAAAGTTAAGTTATTATTAAAGACCCCTTAGAATAAAATTTCTTTATTTTTTTAATAAGTACTGATTTTTTCAGGTTTTTATCAATAACAAAAATTAGTTACCATTTTTATTATAGTGTCTTGGTTATAAGCGTTTATTTTATTTAAGTAATTTTGTTAACTACTAAGATTTATTTATCCATGCAATTTACGAACTTTTGTCAATTGATGGTAACTTTAAATTTGTACGTGTAGAGCAAAAAAATAACTTTTGGTAGTATACTTCTTATATAGATTAGCTAAATGATGGTATAAAATATTATAATCGACCCACAAGGGATCTATTAAAAAGTAACAAACCGATTATATTACTAATATATACGTTTTCGCTTAGTGGTTTCTTCAAAACTTACTCTAGTATAAACTTTAATCTTCATATATATATATATATATATATATATATATATATATCTTTTATACCACTGATTCCCCTTTGAAGGTTTTTATGAAAATATTAGACAATACATTGATGCAAACTATTTGTTATAAAATTTATAGAATAGCTTACCTTAAAAACAATATATATTTCGTAAATTTAGTTCATAATCATTACTTATAAAATGTAACGTTCTCTTCACTTTTTGTCGAAATATTTTTGTTTTGTTTTACCGTTATTCCTTGGTCTAACTTTTTTAACACATCTTAAAAGTTAATTCGTTATAACGTAAAAAGCTTATCTTATCTGCAAAATCTATTTTTACGTAAGTTTGGTACGTATTATTAACTAGGAGACGTAACGTTCTTTCACTCCTTATCGTAATATTACGTTTTAACAATATTTTTGGTTTTTTTTTATCGTCAATCTGAATATTTTAACACAGTATAATAGTTAACTTATCTTAACGATCGGCTAATATTTTTAATTTATAATAATTAAGGTAGGTGAAAATACCTTTATCACGTGAAAAAAAAGCTAATTAAATCCAGAACAGTTTTTTCTGTTCCAATTTTGTTGAGTTTTATTCTTTCATCATAATGGTGAATCTAACAAGATCTACTTCACGCACGCTATAACACATTTTAGCCCGGCCAAAACGTAGTACAGAAACAAAGCACTTAAATATTTGTTTTGTTTATAAACGGGCCCATTTCGGTGCCCGATCGAATTAACAATTTCGAATACTCAAGCTCTCGAATATAGTCGCAAAGTATAAATTGTTTTTATATTTGCTGATATTGCTAGTTTTAATCCTTGAAACTGGTTTATTATAAACTATATGATACGATATAGTAGATTGTATAGCATAGACAATGATATAATATAAAGCTATTAAAGACTCAAAACACGGAAATAATTATATAATAAATTTAAAGACTCCTGAGGAGCACAAATATAGCGGAAACCACTATTCAAAGAAAAAAGAACGCAGTGAGTGTCCCACTTCACATATATATGACAAGTTGCACTCAAAGGAGGACTCGTGTATACATAGAAATTTACGTGCTCTTCGCGTTTAGTTAAATCTTCCAACTGAAAAATGTAATAAGTTAATATTGCGAACGCCGTTTTATGACTCGTGAGTAGTTTTTCAATATAAAACGATTAACATGATCAGGATGTCCCTTTCGCAAAAAGTGGTAATATTACTTCTAATAATTAGTCAGCGGGATGCATTTGTTCCGCATAGTAGATATGTCGCCTCTTATTTAAGTTCTGATATATATATATATATATATATATTATAAAAAGTTTTTTGTTTAATTTTAATATACGTATATCAATAATAATGGAGATAATAAAAAAGTAAGAGTTTTCATTTTTTAGCGCTTGGAGCGGGAATGTTGTTTCCAGTGAATTGTAGACCGATGGCAAAGTGGGCTGAAGTACAAAACAGTCGGCCTTCGCTTACTGCACCGTAAAAGCTTGTTCTGTTAGATAATAGGCAATATAGCGCCTGCGTTCGCTGCTTTAACCCTTTGCCTTGCAATTCACGTGAAATAGATATTTTTTAAAAACTCTTAATTATAAAAAGGTAAAACTAGAAAAAAAGTTTACAAATACTTAATAATAACAATAAAGAAGAGCATTTAAATAAATATAATAATTTATGAAATTAATTAAAATCACTAGGCGTTTCACTTAAAAACTTCGAGAAATTTTAGTGCCGTTGGAACTCCACGGCAAGCGCTTTGCTCTTTGTCACGTTAGTAGAGAGGACCTTTACTAATAATAAAGTACAAATAAAATTGTAACTATTATAATTTATTAATTATTACATTTGATACATATACTTTTCTTCCGTGTAATAAACATGTAGTTGTCCTAATAAAATTTTAAACGTAAATATACCAAATATTTACTTTATTATAGGTTAAGAACGTTGTCTTCCATTGTCTGTGATGAATAAGTGGTTGTTTACAACAAAATTTTAGTTAAACTTTGAACAAATATATGTTTATCAATCATTTTATTACATTAGATAATTTTTTTTATTGCCTACAATGGTTTCAAACGATTTTACAACAATAATTTCTTATTCACTTATATTTTCAAACTAATTTATGACGCTGAATCAATTTAAGTAAATTTAGTTATTTTTATTGTCTACAATTAATTCAAACATAAAATTGGATGATCTGTAATAAACACGTGGTTGTTTACCAAATCAAAATAAAATTATTAATTCAGCTTTGTACTTTTATTTTTAGGTCTCTAATGAACTTCAATCAAATTTACAACGTTAATATATCAATACTACACTAGATATATATTTTTATTGCCTATAATAAGTTTCAAGCTAATTTACACATTAAAAATTTTTTTCTGTAATAATTTTCAAACTAAATTATATTATAATTCAATTTTAAGTTTAATTATTTTTGTCTATTACAAAATTTAAATTTATAACTTTTATTTGTCTGTTAATAAGCACGTGATTGTTTACCAATAATATATATTTTTTGAGCCAATTTAAATATAATAGTTCAATTTTGTATTTAATATTTTAGGTCCCTAACAAACCAAATTTTTAACGTTTATAAATCTTTATTACATCCGATAAATTTTTTTAATATTATTATTTTCAAACTATTTTATAAAATATATTATTCAATTAAATTACGTGTGTAAATTTTTTTAATTTTCTATAATAATTTTAAACTATTTTATAACATTTAAAAATTTATTAAAAAAGGTAAGTTTTTTTGTTGGCTGTATTAATGATAAACAACTTTATGACATATAAATTACTTTTATGTAAAATAATGTTTTTTGTCCGTAATAAATTTCATATTATTTTACAACTTCTATAATTCATTTTTTATTATTTGTCAATTTTTTTTGTTTATAATGAACTCGTAGTTTTTTAGTTATTAAAATTTAAACCTTTGTAATAACTAAAATTTAGTTTATTATTCTTGAAAAAAAAATATTGTTTGTAGGTTATTTACTTACAAAATTTCAATCGAATTTATAGCATTTATAATTTTTTTTTTGTATTTAAAAATAATTTTTTGTCTTTAGTAAATTAAATTGTTTAATTGTAACATTTTAAACGTATTTAAATTATTTATAATTCTTTTTTATTTTTTGTTTGTAATGAATTAAAAGTTTACTTATTATGTTTTAATTGAATTCATAGCAGTCAGAATTTTTTTATGTTAAATCATATTTTGTCTGAAATAAATTTCAAAATAAATTTTTTTTAACAAGTTAATAATTTTTTAATGTAATAAATTTCATACAATAATTTTAAACCATTATAATTCATTTTTATTAAAACAATAAATTTTCTTTATTGTTTGTATTTTTGTTTCCCCGTTTCACTTATAACGCAGATGTGGTCCAAATCTCGAAACGTGTCATTATAATCAAGACAATAACCAACAACAAATTCGTTCGGAATTTCAAAGCCGACGTCTAAATTTATTAAAAACATTCTCGTAAATAAAAATGTCAACCAATTAAATTAATAAACAACCATTATAGCCACTCACGAATAGAGTTTAATAAAAAATAGACAACAGGCTTCTTTATTAATTGAGTTCAGTCAGTATGATTACAATTAATAAAATCAACCGTTTAAAAACAAAAAAGGGGTCAAAGTTAAACTAATATGACGCCAAAATATTTAAACTGGTAGAAATTAGGCGCCCCAAGGCCGCATAACCGATAATAAAGGAGTAAAATGAAATAGTAGCAGATCAAAATAATCGGATGCAATGAGGAGAATAAAGTAGTACAGTCAGGCCGGTATCCGCAGCTAAGTGGGGCTCTTTTAACCAATAGGCTAAAAGTTTTTAAGGTTGCCGGATTGTATTGGCTGAGCGTTTGAATAAGTGATTGAATGGAACGTCCAGTATCAACAATATCCTTTAAAAGTATATATTAAAATAATAATAAGAATAAGAATAATAATAATATACCTCGACGATCAATACATGCTGAAACAGAAAAAGTTTATAGTATTCATAAATAATATAAAAAAAATCATTAGCAAAACACAATAATTATAAAAAGAAAAATATAATAATAATAAAAGCAGATCCCTACCAATAGCTTTTAATAGATAAAAAAATTAAGTTTTTATTAACTCTTTACTTTACTGCGGACTTCCTCCATATCCAAACCGCGAATCAAAACAGAACCTGAGGACGAGTCGTTTTCATAGCTTTTTACTTTAATAAATTCAAACCGAAGGGGCAACGGCGTGGCTAAGCAAATTTATAATTTAATAAGTACTTTAAAAGGATAATCATAATATAGAAATTGTCCCAAACAAAAGTAATAAAGAAATAAAAATGGATATTAAGAAAATATAATAATAAATTTCCTGAATAAATATATCAATATTATTATCAAAAAATAGAATAATATAAAAATTTTTCACAAAAATAATAATCAATCAAAATTGATATAAAAAATATATAATGATAATTTTCATAAATAATAAAAAAATAATATATCAAAATTGTTATAAGTAAAATATAATAAAAACAAAAATTTTCATAAATAATAATAATTAATAAAAATTATTATAAAAAATATATAATGATAATATAAAATTTTCATAACTAATAATATGATAATAAAAATAGTCATAAATGATAAAAATGAAATATCAAAATTTTTATAAAAAAATATAATAATACAAAAATTTTCATAAATAATAATAATAAATCAAAATAACTGTCAAAAAAAATAGTAATAATATAATTTCCATAAATAATAATAACTAATAATCAAAATTATTATAAAAAATAATATGAAAAATTTCACAAATAAATATAATAAATCAAAAATTCTTAAAAAAAGATAATATAAAAATTTCCAATCATAATAATAAATCTAAATCAATGCTAAAAATAAGTTTCTCAAATAAATAATAACTATTGATAAATTTACAAAAATGATAAAAATAACTAAAAATATGATTAAATAAAAGTTATAATAAAAATAAAACAAAAATTAATCAAAAAATTTAATTATTAATAAATAAAATTAAATAATATTTATCTTTTTTCTTCTAAAATAAATATTTAATTATAAATTTTATATATGAAAAAGTACAGCTGTTCGTGTTGATTTTTTTAATGTAATTTGACAAATCCGAAAAAACTTGATGGCCACCTTTTAACACGCAAAGCAAAACTAATGGGCCTAAAAAGTTTTAAAAAAGTAAAAAATAGTATAAAAAGTTCTGAATTAAAAAAGTAAAATTAAAAAAATGAATTAACATAAAAATTTAATAAAAATTTAAAAAAATAATTAATTATAAATCAGTAAATTTGGTGGAATAAATTTTATCAAAAAGATTTATAGAAAAGAAACAAAAATAATATGGAGAAAAAATATTGTGAAAATCTATTGAAAATAATTTTAATTTTAACCTAAAAATCTTAAATGAAGAATAATATTTAATAAAATTATTTGAAATTTAATAACTATAAAAGTAAATTAAACAAAAAGAATTATATATATAATAAAAATAAACAAACTTGTAACAAAAATATTTATAAAAATATTAAAAGTATAAATATACAATTGCTTATAATAAGTTATAGCAGCAAAAAAATATATTTTTCGAATAGAAAAACACCCTTTTTATACTTTTTTTTGTTTTTAAAAAAAAGATTTTTTATTTAAAAGGATAATAATTTATTTTTATTAAATAAATTCGAAAAAATTAAAAAAAATAAATTAAATATAAATTTTCAATAACTCTATAAAGTACTTAGTGATTATAAGACTTTTAGCCATATAAATAAAATATTATTAAATATCTAAAAAGATGTTAAAAAAATAAATAAAGAATAATAATAAAAAAATGTATAGAAATTAAAGTAACCTGAAAGTTTAATACTTTTTATAAATTGAAGGTACATAGATAAGAATTTTATACGAAAAAATTAATACTATAATTAATAATAAAAATTTCACCATCAATATCTTCAACAACCTGCTGAGCTAATTTTTCGATTCGATTTAATATTAAACCATTTGGAATTAAAATGTGATCAAGATCGTTCATATAATATTTTGGAACGGCAAAGTGCTCCAAATTGTAATAATCATATTTGTCTTTTATCTATTAAAAAAAAAATTTATCAAATATAATTATATTTAAATAAAAAGGTATCACAAGAAAGAATTATTTTAAGTAAACCTTAAACGTAAAAAAAGATGGAAGGTACATTATTATATATAATAAAATAGTACAACTATGCAATCAGATTTTGATTCCCTTTTATTCATTTTAGTATCAAAAAAAGTTTAATATTTCTACAGATAAATTTTATAAACCAGAATAAGCCATAAAAGAAAGTGATATGTTATTAAAAAAAAAGAAAAGCGTAAAACAAAACCAGAAAGTACAATTTAATTAGTATTAACTGAAAGTATGACCAATCAAAATTGTTAAGATGCGTTTTTCTTCAAACGGTTTGTCACGTGGCCAAAAATTTTATCACGCAGCTCCTTTAAAAGAGTAAAATTACAGTGACACTTTTATTATGAGAATTTTTTATAAACAAAAAATAGTTCATGTTTGTTATGCATCTAAGTTTACTATTTATTTTTTTAAGAAAAGGACTAATTATTTATTTTATTTAATAATATTGTCTCCTTTTTTGAGTTCTGCTGGTTATTTAAAAGATCATGATACATATATATTTTACTGGTATTTTCGTATTTAATTTCAAGAATTCACATTTTAAGTACATTCGATATAATTTGAATTGCTTTTATTTGTTTCCAGTTGTGCTTTTTCGTAAAAGAGGTGGCTATTTTGGAGAAATAGATGGATTTCCAGTCAAAAATCTATTTTTTTATGGCTTTATTAATTTAATTTTTTATATTTCAAACTTAAGAATCTTTTTTTACTGTTCTTTTTTGCTAATTTACTAACTTTTTATGTATGAAATGTTCTCAAGTATAACTTGGTACTTTAATACCGAAAACTCTTCTAGCTTCAATTAACAACTTTAAAGAGGTCACCGAGATAAAACATTTTTAACAGAAGAATACTAGTACAAAGCAAATTATTAGAAAGTACTTTTTAATTTACTTGAAGATAGTAGTGATTTATCCTTATTTTATTTAAAAGTTAGAGACTAGATCTTGGTTCATTATCCTCTCTCAACTTCTGTTGATATTTTAGAGCTATTAAAGGCTCGTTAATTATAATTTTTCGCCTTTGATTCAGAGAACTCTTTAGTAATGCCTATATGTTCTTTAGAATAAGTTCTGCAAGTACTCTAATAATTCAAGTTTAGTTTAATGCTTGCATAATGAGTAATATTAACACTCTTACAGTGTCAGTATTAATGGTAACGCATTTTAAACTTATCTAATTTTTTATTTTAATAGTTGTACTACTGTATTATTTCCTATAGGTTTTCCTAATGTTTCCATGTATTACTAATTCTATTATTCAACAAGTCTTAGTTATATATGTATTTATATAAAATTCGACATGTCATGCACAATTCAGTAACGAACTTTAAATTAAGCTAAAAATAGTATATCGTATAATTTTTAAAAATACAATGGTATACCGCTCCATACCTAATAGAAATATAGAAGAGAAAAAGAAGAGGTTTATGTTTAATATGACCCTTTGTAAAGTACTCTAAATTATGTTATCATTTTTAAAGGAATGCTACTGTGTTTAGCTACAAAAAATATCTTACTGATATCTAGAGTAGGTTTAAGGGATATTAAGTACTTTGTAAAAAATAAACAGACTTAGTTCAAGACAGGGTTTATAAATCTTTAAGCAGAAAACGTTCTTGTTCATTTTTATGTATTCTCGGGAGAGCATGAAAATAGTCATGATTTTTCAAGATTTAAGGATAAAAGTTAAAGTTAAGTTGAGCATAAGCCGTAAGCTGAGTTTTTTTAATTCTAAGTGGCGATATGTACTAAAGAACCTCGTTATTTAGAATATATTTATTAACTAATAACATAATTATAAGAATTTCGAAGATTAGTCTTCCTTAATACTTATTTAAATAGGCATATAATTCTAACTACGTGCATGAATTTTATTCTTCCTAAAAAATAAATTTGGTTTCCCAACTTTATATTATTATATAAAATGTTTTTGTAAATTAAATAAAAACTTCACTTTATTATATATATTAACAAGGAAATGTTCGAATTTAGATAGAATTAGGACAGAAACAGATGTTATATTCACTATTAAGGGGAGAATATGTCCCTGCGAAAGTAGTTTTAAAAAGTTAAATTTTCTTTTTTATAATAATGTTAACAGTTAATTTTCTAAAAATAAGAAAGAATTATATACTAAACACTTTTATCTTTAGTCTCTATATAGTTATTGGTTAATAATGAGATTATGATTAATTAGTTTAGGAGTAACGTTAGCCTTAGCAAAAAGCAAAAGACGGGATGTTAACAATGCTATCCTTAATATGGGCTCCTTTTTAATTCTCAGTTTTTATACTGACCTTTAAATGATCTTTTCTTCGCTAAAAAAAAATAATTATTTGTGGTCAGTATTGATAAAAGGTAAAGGTCTTAATTTATTAAATTTTAAAAAGAAAGATACATTGATCCTAACGCTACGAGAGTAATCTTTTCCTTTTCGATTGCCACATTTTTTCTTTCTTTACTTAAACTTTTTAATCTTTGATGATGAAGTGGCCTAAAGGCTGATGCGTTAAATCAAAAAATGTGCTTAATATTTAAATTTCCACAGAAAATTTTCTGTTGTATTGCTTTCTCAAATCTCTTTAATATTTTTTTTAAGATTCTTTAAATCTTCTTTGAGTTCAAGTTAGAAGGAGAAATAAGGTTAATTGAACTCTGCCTTTTTATTTACTACTAGTTGACTTGACTAGTTAATCGTTGCACACTAATACTAGTTGACTTACACAGCCTATTGAAGAAAAGTTTTTAATAAACTTCCTATTATTATTAACGTAACCCCTCCTTTTGAGAAGGTTAATATTTATTATAAAGTTAATCTTTTTTTAAAACTTTTTCTTTTAGAAATGGGCGAAGTAGTCTCTATTAATAAATTGTTTCTGGTTGAAAATTATTTATTTTTTTCGCTCCCCTTACTGCTACTTAAAAGAGTATAGTAGCAATTTTTTTGTCAGTAAATCCTTTGAATTTAATAAGGACATAACCGTTTTGAAGTGAGCAGTATTACACGTAGCTTTTTTCTTTTTGTTTAAAAGATTTACAACAAAACTTTGAGTATTTACTAAAATTTTCCTTAGAAAAGAACCTGTAAATATTACTTCATGTCTCTCATATTTTAGTATAATAGTAAGTATTTTTGAAATTATATTTTAATAAAATTGTGAAATGCCTACCATACTAAAAAAAAAAACTTTGAAAACTTCCATTTTTTTTGGTCTCGCCTTAAAAAAAATTACTTTCTCTTTGCCCAACCAACTTTACAATGCTTATCTTAGTTTGGATTTCTTTATAAAAAGATTATTTAGGCATCTATGTTTTAGAAAAAGGTACTTTCCAATAAAAAACTATTAGATTCCCCCCCACCCCTTCCCCAAAAAAAAAAGTGAACGTCCACCTTCAAAGTTCAGGGAATCCATTACTAAATCTAGCCCCTCACACATTCATTAACTTTGATGATTTTTCTTTATATACAGCTCTTTATCTGTGATATCCACTTTTACCTAACTTTAGTAAATATTTAATTAGCCTTATTTTGGAGGATACAACTCGCCTATATCCGAATGTACCACTCTAAGACGGTCATCTGATTTTATTATTCTAGTTAATAAATTGCTATAGATATCAGATTGTTTAAGGGTAGCTTTCTATCCAGAGAATACAAAAGTTTAACATAATTTTAAAAGCTGATTATGATCCCACTTATTGTGCACAAAGAAATTTCAGTTTCAAAAGTTTCTGTTCATCTTTTACACACTCTTCTAGGAGTTAAAAAGTCTAATTGTTTCTTCAACTCTTTATTGCTGGTGTATTATATAGCGGTCAACGTTGCAAGTTTTTGAAATATCTTAGCAATCTAAAGGGATTTATAAGCATAGCACAAAAAAAACACTTTAGCAAAAGGTTATAGGAAATTGTAGTTTTTTAGAAAGCGTTGACAACGAGGTTCCGTAGATTAAGAAATTAAAGTTTTAAAGATAAAAGTCGATGGACTAAAAATTATTTACTCTCAAAAGTTTCGCTCTCCTCCAGTTAATATAATTATTCAAGTTATACTCGTCGTAAAGTAATCAAAATTATTTGTTTATCATAAAAGAGTTGCTAAGCAGTATAAAAGATTTAATTACAAAAATCTATGTAAGAAATTCTAACACTAATTCAGAGATATTAGTATAAAAAATGTATTCATTCCCAACAATAGAGAGTTGTATTGTAAGCTAGCATTGATATTTTCAAATTCACAGAATTTCTTAAATTATATTACATTTTTGGTACTAGTTCTATTTTTTTAAGGTATAATTTATTATTATTTTTTTTAAGCATTAATAATTTATAAAAATTAGAAAAGATTATATTATTTTTTAATTTTTTTATTACTTATTTAATATCATTTAAAACTTTATTGAAAAAATAAAGAAGCTCAAGGGTAATTATTCTCTCTTAACTCTCTCTTGTTCTTTTTATAATAGTTTATCTTTTCTCTTCTTCACATACTAATATTTTTATTTACTCAGTTAACTTACATTTTTTATTTATTCGAACTTTTTCTTTAAAGAATAGTTCATCTTTTCTGTTCTTAATAATTTAATACTTTTTGTTTATTTTATTTTTTGTAATTACTTAAACTTTTTTGTTCTGCCATAAAAATAACATTAAACAAGAAACCCGGTCAACTAATGGATAACTAGCGTATGAGTAACAGTGCGACTTTATTAGAGTGATTACTTGGCATACGCCTAGGTCGTTATTGAAAAAGAGTGTTTGAATTTTAAGAAACTCGCAGTACTCGCAGATCTTTGAACAGTAAAAAGAAAAGTAAGCGTTGATGCCTGACTTAAAAAAATAAAAATGAAATTTCATATTTGAATACTTGCCAAGAGTTAGTTGCAAAACCTCCACGGTCTTTTCCAAGCCTACTTATGATGTATCTGAAATATAACAAGTAAAAAGAAAAGTTCTTTTTAGTAAATTATTGGAGGAACGAGATAGATGTTGCTTTTCGGCAGATGAAAATTAGAAATAAATACTTGGTAATATGCCTCAGGATAGTCAGGAAACTACCTCTTAGCATTGATTGGAATTATTAATTATTGCGAAGTAAAAAATTGACTTGCATAAAATTCTAGGCCAACTAAATACGTTATAAAAGTTTTTGTGAAAAAGACATTAAATGCTGGCAAGCGTCTTAACTAACGTAAGTAAAGAGAACGTTTACAGAAAAATAAATCATTTTACTGGTTTTATGAAACCAATTTGACGTTGAATCTAATAACGCTTATGTTTTTAACGATATAATAATGGGTCCATTCTTTTTATAAACGCTACTGAAACTCCGAAGAATTCCAAGAGGGCCAACTTTATTAAAAAAGAATCATTTTATATAAACGATTACAATACTTATAAGAAATAATTAAGGCCTAGAACGTGAGGACTGTGAACTACTAAATATACAATATGATCAGTAAGAGAAAAAAAAAAAAGTTAAGGGTTTAATAAAGTCACAAATCTACTATAAATTTATTAAACCTGGAGAGATCAACTACAGAAGTGTGATTTATAATTGTCGTAGATCTTCACTGTCGACTAACACAACTTCTATTCGACTTAAAATATATAAGCACAGATTAAAAAATGGATTTAAGTTGTTAATTAAAATAATAAAATGTTATTTTTTAATATTTAAGGCATAGTAAAATGGAATGGTGTATCCTTCAACAAAGTATTATGCAATAAAAGCAAGAATAAAAGATTTAGTGTTTTAAATTAAACGCAATAAAACTTATTGAACAAATTAAAACCTTAAAGTTTTACTCAGAAGAGAAGAATTTAGATATATAATCGCGCTATGCGTAGGTGACTAGAAAAAAAACGCCGAGAACTAGTTACAATAAAATCTGAAAAAATCACTAATTTCTAGTTAGACAGGTATAAAATATCACTGACTAATAAGTGATAAGAAACAACGCTTAAGTAGTTATAAAAAGTTTTTTTTTATTTGTTTAAAATAAAATTCATCTGTTAAACAAAATTCAAGGTTATAATAAAATTTTTCAAATTTTTCAATTTTTAATTATATTTGATATATAGTTTTCTTTTGTTTTTTAACTAATATCGAAATTATTTTTTATATAACATTACTGCTCTAAAAAAATCGTTATATAATAAATTTTGGATTTGTTTCTAAAATTTTTTATATAATATTTTAATATTATTTAACTTTCGAAAAAAACAATTTTAAAGTTTCAAAAAAATTGATATATATATATATATTTCGTATTTTTTTTTAAATTCTTAACTAATATTGTAATTCTTAAACTTTTTTAATAGATTGTTAAAAAAACAAATATAAAACTTTTTAACTATATAGAAATCAATTTCTAAGTTTAAAAAAAAAAGTTATGAAAAAAAAATTAATTTTTTTTTTTTTTAATTTATAAATTTTGTATTTGTCTGTTAAATATTTATAGGCTTTTAGTTTATTTTTAAATAAAATGTTTTCGGCTAGCTACTTACTATCTAAAGTAGCAGAAGTTGCTCGAGTGGACAGTACTTAACAGAAAATGCTACAAAAAAAAATTTTTTATATAGAAAAGCACATTTAGCAGTTTCAGGGCATTACAAGCTTGTGCCTGTTATAAATTCCCACGCGAGTTCGGCAAACTTCCTTCTTTGTTTAGAACATCGAGCAAAATATGTACGCTAATTTTTTTTTACAACTTCTAGAAAGATTTTTATTGTTATACTTGGATGTTTCATTAGTTTTAAAATTATAATTCTAAAATCTTTAATTTTTTAATTAAATTTTTTTATTATTTTTAAGTTGGTGTTTATTATTACCTTAATGCTTATTATTTGCTATTATGGCGTATATACTTTTTTTTTATCATATCAAAAAATAAGCTTTAATTATTAAATAATTTACTGCGAATCCAGTATCTTTTATAAAGTTATATTACAAGTTATTACAATTCAATCAATTTATTTTTTAATTTAGGGTCTCCTTAGTACTTCAGAAGCGACTTGCTGCCTCCGTTTTAAAATGCGGGAAGCGTAAAGTTTGGTTAGATCCCAATGAAACTACTTCAATTGGTCTTGCAGCTTCAAGTATAATATTTTCACTTGTGTTTACTTTCTGTTTTTCTTTGAAGTTATAAAAAAAGTATTGAAAGCAAACCTCTTTTACCTCCTAGCTGTATATCAATTATTATAAAATATATATTAAATTTTATCAGCTTTAGTATAAAATCAACGTAAATTTTTTTTAAGGAGCTAAAATTCGAAAGCTTGTAAGAAATGGTCTCATCTATCGGAAACCTAATGCCATGCATTCCAGGAGCCGCGTGCTCCGTCGCCGGGACGCTGTCCGGCGGGGGCGGCACACCGGCCCTGGGAAGAGGCATGGTACACGCGAAGCTCGGATGCCCTCAAAAGTTTTGTGGATTCGACGAATGCGAGTCTTGCGAAGGCTACTTCGGAAGTATCGAGAAACTAAAAAGATCGACAAACATCTTTATCGCGAGCTTTACTTGAAGTCGAAAGGAAATCAATTTAAAAATAAAAGAAATTTGATGGAGCATATTCACCATCAAAAGCAAGTAGCCACACGTGCTAAACTTTTAGCGGATCAAGCAGAGGCTCGCAGGCTTAAAGATAAGACTCGGCGTGCTCGTCGTCAGGAAGTCGCTGCGGATTTGACTCAGAAAATGTTGTAGTGTTGCTTTTTTCCTAGGGGTTTACAAAATTAAAATAAAATGTTTCATTCTTTTATATATATTTAGTTTAATACTAGTAAAGCGCGTTATAAAAAAATTGTTTTTATATTTCATCTTATAAAAGATTATATATTTAGTAGGAACAACTTTTTGGCTTAAGCTAAGCCGTTTAAGATTCTGCCATTGACTTATTTTTTTTTCTAACGACTTGTTATAGATTTGCAAAGTAATAAAAAAATTGGTTCTTTACTCCTTTCTACTTTTTAGTTAAGTTCTAATAAGCGCGTTAAAAACTTTTTTTTTTAAATAAATCTTTAAAAATTGATTATTTTTTTATTAGAAACAATTTTTTGACTTATGCTGAGATAGTTAAAATTTTGTCTTTGATCTAAGTTTTTATAACACCTTGACTTTATTATAATAACATACTTTAAGAGCTCTATTTAGCTTACTTTTTATAAGAATTTTCAATTTAAATTATAAAATTTGGTTTGAAAATATATTTAGTACTTTTTAGTTAATTCTGGTAAGGCGGGCAATAAACTTTTTATTTTAATTTTATAATGGGTATATATTTTTCCTTAAGAATTACAGCTAAGGTAATTAGAATTAATCTTTGATATAAATGTAACTGTAACAACTTGTATTTTTTATTTATAACACTTTAATAGCATTACCTTTTGTTAATGTTAAATTCATCTCTTAACTTTACATTGTTATACTAATACATTTCTTTTTACTTTATTATGGCAGAAACCCCCGTTGGCGTGGGTGTTATGAGTATTATTTCTCTTTAAGTTTTAACCCGAAAAATTACTTATTTTAAATAATTAAAATGGCAATTTACATACCATATGAGTCTGTTACGAATAGTGATACAACGTTGGAAGGTTTCTAGAATATTGTGGTAGCGATAAAAATTCTTGAAATATTTAAAATTTAGCAGTAACTTTAAATATGGTTAAAGGTATATATTTATTACGCTCCACAATAAGAATAATGATATATCAAGTTGTTGTTACCTTAATTAAATTAATCTAAATGTTGTAGCTGGAATTAATTAGAAACATTTCTTGTTAGCTAATTAAATGTTGTAGCTGGAATTAATTAGAAACATTTCTTGTTAGCTAATTGTTAAAGTAATTAATTTATAAAGTAATATTGTTTGAATTACTTTTGGTTAAAGGGTTATGCAATTGCCGTCATCATTTTCAACACAGTTTGTGCTTATTTCTATAAAAGATATTTGGAATTATTTAATAGTGGGGTGCAACAGTTAAGGTGTTATTTTTCTTTAATTTTAAAACTATGGCACCTCTATAATAATCATTAAGGGAAAAATTAATAATAGTATTTTTTTGTTGTAAAAGTAGCGCAGCCTTCTTAATTCTAGTGATTGTAAGTATTATATACGTAAATAACTGAATTAAGGCAAGAATTTTTCACGGGAAAAAAGAAGTTAAAAAAGCCGGAAAAGTAGTAATTGAAGAAAAATTTAGTTTGAAATAATTGTGATAGTGAAATTATAGGGCATTTTTAACAAAAGTCAAAAATTTTACACATTTTATATTAGAAAAAACTCAAACTCAAAATTTTGCCAGCAAGTAACTTTTAAATCATTCTGGAATAAGCTAAATTATTTCGAGTTTTCTCATATCTAATAATAATTATAAAATACACTCCTTTTATGTTTCCTTTGTAGTGAAATCACGGTCTTTATTGGAACATAGAATCTTTTTTTATTCAATATTTCAATTTTTATTAAAAAATTTGTTTAGCTTGCTCTATATCTCTTAAGAGTACTCAAATATCAGTAAGTTTAATAAAGAATTTAACATTACATAAGTGTATAACTTCTGACAAAGGAACCACATAAGTATGTCGCCTACTAGGGGTTAAGAGTGATGTAACCTGTTTTTTGTTTGGTAAACTTAACTTCTATTTCTACGATTGCCAAAGTGTGTATTTTTTATAAATCGTTGAGTCATTAATATAGCAATCCCTTTTCTCTATTAAAATTCAAAAAGATCAAATTTGGTTAAAGTAAATTTTTTAAATTCTAATTTTGTAGTTTGTTGTACCTTAACTTTAACAAATGGAAATCTACCATAAAAGTTTTATTTAAGGTTTCAGATGAAAAGTATTTGTTGAAGGATCTCCCATACCTTCCCAAAATGCGTGGGCAGTAGTCATCTTTATGTACTAATTTTTTAAATAAAAAGATTAGATGAAAGTTATTATATATTACGTTCAAACAACAGAAAAGTAGAAGGGGCCAGAAATCAAAACTTTCTTTTATAATGAAAACAAAATCATTTTATTTTATTTTATTTAACAGTAAGGATACTAATAGTACTAATACATATATATATATATATATACAATTTTAACGAAAAAAAAAAAGTAAGCATCAAAAACTTCTCTACGCTAACTAGGTAGATCGGTCCGAGAGCATTCGAACCACAAGGTTTTATTTTGAAATAATAATATTAAAAACACCGTTTTTATAATAAATTTGCATTTACAATAGCTTTGCCAAAAATATATTTAGGGGGTAGAAGAACACTTTCTTTTTTAAAAAGTAGATCTTTATATAAAGTTGTGCTCCGACGCGTTCAATCTATTTTTTGTTCCGAGAAAGATGACCAAGCAATCTACTCCGTTGACATAATAATGGGAAATAAATAGTACTAAAATAAAACAGTTAGCACTGCTACTATACTAACCGAATTTCTTTCGACAACGGACATATATAAAAATTAATTGAAAATTTAAACAGTTTGAAATAACATGAAGTTTACAATTAGATTTAAATTAAGTTTTACATGGCAGACTTATTCCTCAATTATTACAAAACTAATAGAAATTGGCTAGTAAATATTAAACTTACGCATCGTGACTATTAATTACACGAGAAGTAGATTTACGAAATTAATTAATATTTATTTCATTTCGAATTTAGAAATACTCAACGTTAAAAACTAAAGCAAGATTGCTTCTGATATATAAAACGAGCAAACCGTTTTTAGCTTCTTTAAGTTTTGTTAAGTAGAATCAAATATCTTATAAAAAATTAGCTGAAATAGCAAAATTACAAAGTGTCTGCTTTTTAGCAATAGGTTAAAGTAAATACGTTTGGCTATGTTGTCTGAAAAGAATGCTAAAGTAGTTTTTTAAACTACAAAAACACTTCTTTTCCATTCTTAAATCAGAATTTTAAGAATAACGAAACAGCAATTATTTAAAATAATTTGCATTTTTTCTACAACTTATTATTAAAACTTTGGTTGTTTTTCTACCCTTTCTAATAAAAACAACTCCTCATAAATTTTACAAGAATTATGTAGATTGAGATTTTTTTATTAACTTTGCGAAAATTTGAATTTGTAAAATTTACAAATAACTGTATATGTGCTTATATAGTTTTAGTTTTATTATGTAGCTTGCAGAGTTTTTTAATATATTGCTCATGAAAAACTATCGATTAGTTTCTTTGTGTCTTTTAATTAGTATTAAATTTCGAAAATTTATGCAAAGTCAAATATCTGTGTGCGGGTTGCTACCCATTTAAAATAAATAAAGTACTTAGTTTTTTTTTACTTAAAATATTATTATAAAGTCACAAAGCTTTTAAAAAGGAAATATTACCCCTATTAATGCTATTGTTAAACTCTTTTGCAGCTGTACTAGCCATTCCATATATTTTACTAAAGCGCGATAAGAAAAGGGCAAGCCGGTTTTCACGTTCTTTTTTATTACAGAAGCCACTCTCTTCACTTTTCTGTATATTCATCGCTATAGAGAAAAAACTTATAACTACATCATAATTTAGTTTAGTGGTCTTCTATTTTCTTTTTAGGTTTTTTATATAAAATTGAAAATAATTCTTATTTAAATCCTTTTTTTATATATATTTCTGGATATTGAGTTTTTCATAGTTATTATAATATTACCAACCTTTTTTCTAGCTAAAAGTACATGCCGGATATTCCTTGTTAGTCATTTTAAACTTTTTGCTATAGAAATCAAATTATTATTTAATTTTGCTTAGCAACTCCGAATAGACCTCGTTCCTTTGTAGGACCATCAAGTTCTACTTCTCAAAATAATTCTATTTCTTCTCAAGTTAGAAATATTTTTAATACGAAATTATTGTTCCTCTTACTAATTATATTTTTTTAAATATAGCACGAAATAGGCACTTCTCGGTTAGGAAGTGAGTTAGCTGGCCTTCCTAGCACTCCTGTTCCTCGATCTAACTTATCTGGTTACGGAAATCGCATATTTAGCACAGGAAGAGCTAATCCATCTTCGACATCTAACGAATTTTCTGAGGATTTGGTTACTAATTTCATTACGTTTGTCTCAATTTTTTAAAATTATATTTTATTATAAGGTTGTACGAACTACTGAAGGGCAGCATAATGTTGTCCAAAGAGATTATTTATGGGGGACTAATGTTTCTGTGGTCGACTTAGAAAACGATGTTAGAAATTTTTTTGAAAATTTTAGAGTAAATGAAGATGACGAACTGCCTTACTATAAAAAATTGATGATAAATGTATTTTTATATATAAAATTTCAGTAAATATATTTTCTGAAGTTCTTATTATTTTCTATAAAAACTTTTTAATTATAAATTATAACTTTTTTTGTGAAGTTAATATTTTTTCTTTGTTTTCGAGTGCTCCTTAAAAAATTATAAATTATATTTTGCTTAAAAAAAATTATGTACTTAATTGAATTTTATTAATTTAATGTAAGGCTTTACTATATCTTCTAAACTTAGTTTAAATTAATGTAAAATTAATATAAATATAAAAATTATATGGATTTTTACTTATTACTATTGCAGCTTTCAGAATCTGAAAGGGATTTGAACTTCATTAATGTAGATTGTCAGCACATTCTGGCGTACAGCCGGCGGTTATATGAAACTTTGCGGGATTACGTTGAGAGTAATTTTACAATTAAATTTTTAATTATAAATTACAAAATTCCATAACTTTTATTATATATTTTAATTAGAATCTTAAAAAGTTTTATTTTTTTTTAAGTTTTTATTGTAAATTTTTATTATAATTGAAGTTTTTTTTGAAGTTTTTTTTTACGATTTAAATTTTTTTTATTGTAATTTTAAAAATTGATTTTTTTAGTTTATAATTATTTTTTATAATCTTGTAAATTGATTAATTTTTTAGTTTTAGTATTTTATATATTTTTCCTTAACTGAAATTTTATTGTTATTTTTCAAGTTAATTTCTTTAGTAAAAGTTTTTTTTAAAGTTTTTACTTTTTTTTAATAAATTTTTATTATTTATTTTTGAATCGATTTATAGTTTTAGTTTTTCTAAAAAAAATTATTTTTAAATTAAATTTTATTATAAATTTTTAAATTAATTTTCATTTTTTTTAATTCTATTTCTTAAATTATATTTTATAGTTTAAGACTTTTTTTAAATGAAATTTTATTTATTTTTAAGGGTTTTATGTAATTCTTTAAATAAAATTTGAGATTTTTATAAAAGTTTTATTTTTACGTTCAAATAATTTTATTATAAATTTTAAAATAATTTTAAAAGTTCGTTTATTTTAATGGTTTTTTAGATAAAATTTACAGTTTAAGATTTTTTTTAAAGTTTTATTTTCATTTTTATAGATAAAATTTTATTGTAATTTTTATTTGTTCTTTAAAATGCTTTTTTTTAATGTAATTTTTTAATTAAATTTTATAGTTTAAGAATTATTTTAAAAGTTTCATTTTTACTTTTCAAGTGAAATTTTGTAAATTTTTCAAAATTAATTTTTTTATTTTTGTTTTTTGATTAAATCTTATAGTTTAAGATTTTTTTTTTAAAAAAGTTTTATTTTACATGTTTTAAATAAAATTTCTATTAAATTTTTATAATAATTTTGTTGTTTTTAAATATAATTTTTCAATTAATTTTAATTTCCAATAAAATTTGATTAAAAATTTTAATTTAATTTTTAGTTTTTTTAATTGTCATTTTTTAATTAAATTTTATTGTTTAGGATTTTTTTAAATAAATTATATTTAAATTTTTAATTCAATTTTTAAATTTTTTTTTCAGAAATTTTTAAATTAAACAATTTGTTTAAGAATATTATATAAGTTTTATTTTTAATTTTTTAATTTAATTTTATAGTTTAAGTTTTTTTTAAAAAAAAAATTATTTTTACTTTCTTTCAAATAAAACTTATAAATTTTTACATTCAATTTTATAGTTTTAAATAATTTTTTTAAAATTTTATAATTTTTACTTTTTTAATGTAAATTCATTGAAATTCTTTATTTAATTTTAATTAAGTTTTTGTAGATTATAATAAAAATTAACTAATTAATTTCTTTAAAAAATAAAATTTTGAATAATTTCTTTTTAATTTATTAAAATTAATTATTTTAAAAAAATTTAAAAATTTCTAAAAATATTAATTATTAATTAAATTAAATTAATTTTTAATCGTAATTCGCATTTATTTTTATTATTATTATTACTATTTAAAAATTTTTTATAGAATATTAAATTCAATAATAAATAATATTTAAGATTTTATATAAAATATTTTTTTAGTAATAAATAAATAGAACGAATATATTTTTTATTTTATATTTTTTTTATTATTAAAATTTATTTTTTATTTGACTTATTAATATTTTAATTTTATTTATTTTTTTATTTTTATTATTAAAATTTTTATTTTTATAGAAGTTTTATTAATAGAAATAATATTAAAGTTTTTATTAATTTTTTTACTTTTTTAATTTATAATAAAATATTTTTTATTGTTTTTTACTATTTTTTATTATTTTCTTTTATTTTATTATTTTATGTATATAAAAGTTTAATCATAAAAATAATATTAAAGTTTTATATTATTTTTAAAAAATAAATTTATAAAATAAATATATTTTATTTTTTGTATTATTACTTTTTATTGTTTTTATTATATTTTATTTTATTATTTTATTATTTATTTATTATTAATACACTTTTTATTTATAGAAAAGTTTTTTAATAAAAATGACATTAAAGTTTTTTATTATAATATTGAATACTTTTTATTATCTTTATTTTATTTATTATTATGAAAACAAATTTATTTTTATAAAAGTTTTAAAAAATATTATTAAATTTAAAATTAAAAAGAAGTTTTATATAAAATATTTCTTTATAAGCAATAAATAAAAGTAATTTTTGTAGTTTTTTATAATTTTTTAATACTTTTTAAGATTTTTTTAATTTTTGTTATTTATCATTTTTTATTGTTATTATTTATTTTTTCTTATTATTATTACGTATTTTATTCATTAAAATGAAACTTTAAAAAAATATAAACTCCATCAATATAATAATATAAAAATTTTACTTTTTATAATTTTTTAAATTACACTCTTTACTTTTTATTATTTTAGATTATTATTATTTTATATTATTTTATTATTATCTTTATTTTTATTAAAACTTTTTACATTTTATTATTTTAAGTTATTAATATTATTATAATAACTCTTTACTTTTTACTATCTTATCTTATTTTATTATTTTATATATTATTATCAAAATATTATCTCTTTACTTTTTAGTATTTATATTATTATTATTTTAACGCTTTACTTTTATTATTTTTTAAATTCATTATTACTATAACCTTTTCCTTACCATTTTTTTGTGATCTTCATTATTATTATAAACTTCTTTAAAAATAATGAATACTTTTTAGACGCCATTCAAATATTTGACTTTATTGCCAGCGAAAAGTATGAGAATTGGTGCGGCGTTCCCAACCAACTGCAGGTGTTTATTCAGTCACGTGAAAAAAATACTGAACTATTTTATTCATTACTTATTTTGAATATTATTTTTTATACTTTTTTCTGTTGAAAAAATAATATTTTTTAATGAACTAATATTTATTTATATTTCCTTTTTTAGTTAAGAGCAGTACAAAATTTTTTGATATATATTTTCTATTGATTGGTTGATATGGGGGATGCCGATTATCTTTGATATTATTGGTGCTTTTCTCTATATGTGTGTTTTTATTGGTTAACGAAACTGTATTCCTATTTTTCCCTTTTTTATTGGTGCGGAATTATTGGTCCTTATTAACGTAACTACTGGGCAATGCTGCTATAATATATACTTAAAGCTTTTATACTATATTTCATTTATAAAGAAAATATAAATAAAATAATAAAGTAAATCGAATTTTTTATATGATATTTATAAATACATTCGTTATTTTGTTATCGTTAGTTCACTATATTTTATGTAAAATAAGGTACGGCCCTATAATTTAGGCGAGGAGGTGGCCATGCGCGACTTGGACCCTTCAGGAATTTTTTACGTGCCTTTTTCATCATGCGTTAGTCACGTGTCTTTCATGTGGATATTACAGATATTAACAAGCTCGTGGCGATCAAGGGGATGGTCATCCGCGTGTCTCCCATCCTTCCGGACTTGAATTTTGGTGTGTCTTTCTCCTTCATTAATATTAGTACTAGTAATTCATTATATTTTTTGAGCTTTTTTTGAGTGCTCGGTGTGCCATTTTTCATTGGAAGTTCTTCCCGTTCGTGGACGCATCGTCGAGCCGAGCCACTGCGAAAACTGCGGGACAAACTTTTCGTTGGACATTATACATAACAGGTGACTAACTCTTTACTTTGCTGGCATGTTGGGGGCAACTAACACGTGGGCAGATGCAAATTTCTTAACAAGCAGCACATCAAACTGCAGGAAGCGCCAGAGACCATCCCCGCTGGGCAGACCCCCCACGCAGTCGTCCTCGTGTGCTTGGATGAGTTTAAAGATGCCGTGCAGCCCGGTGATAGGTTCATTAATTTTAAAAAATATTCATCACGTGACTTGCCACGTGCCTTTTTAGGATTACTGTGACGGGCATGTTCCAGGCCTCGTCCATTCGTCCTAATAAGAACCAGCGGATTATTAAGGCTGTCTTTAAGACGCACATGGAAGTTTTTCATATTAAGAAGGCGGAGGCCCACCGCGTGGCAAGAGAGAGGCTTGCAGGCCCTGAAGAATTTTTTCACGAGTATATATTTTTTTGGGTATTCTTGCTAACTATTGGCAATACCACGCGATCTTTCATGGCCCCAGCGTCGCTGATGTTCACGAGATGCCTGACGCACGTGACTCTCTACATGCGCGTTTCCACGAATTTGCAGCGTCACCGAACATTTATCAAATTCTCATCAGTTCTTTTGGTTTTTATTTTTCAATATTTTTAATGATCAATTTTGATTATATATTTTGATTGCAGCCCCGGGCATCTGGCAGCACGAGGACATCAAAAAAGGCATACTTTGCCAGCTGTTTGGCGGAGTTAATAAAGACCTGAGGGACAGAGGCTTGGGAAAGTCGAGGTATTAACCCCACTTGACTTTCCACGAGGAATCACGTGCTCTTTGCTGCTCTTTCTGATTAGAGGAGACATCAATATACTTCTCTGCGGCGATCCGGGAACGAGCAAATCACAATTTTTAACGGTGTCCTACATATATGGCATTGTCCTTTTGATTGACTGTTTGATGTCGAGTGATTGGGTAGCACGTAAATAAGGTGACTCCTCGCGGAATTTATACTTCGGGAAAAGGCTCTTCTTCAGGTTACTAATAATAATAATAAAAATAATAATAATAAATAATAAATAATCGTAAACAGTGGGGCTTACTGCTTACGTTTCGAAGGATCCGGTCACTAAGGAACTTGTACTGGAAAGGTAAGCCATCCTATTGGCTCTCTGCACGGCCGGCATATTTCACGTGTGCTCACGTGGATTAATGGCAGCGGCGCGCTGGTTCTAAGCGATGGAGGGATTTGCTGCATAGACGAGTTTGACAAAATGAGCGAAGGCACGCGGTCGGTGTTGCACGAGGCCATGGTAGTCTGGCTAAATGGTGGGTTTTTTCCAAGGCTGCTCATCAATTTTCCGACAGGAGCAGCAGACAATCTCCATTGCAAAGGCGGGAATTATCTGCACTTTGAATGCACGCGCGTCTGTTCTCGCAGCCGCTAATCCTATTGGTTTAGAAATATTAGTCACCTGAGCGCCCAATTCTTTGCTAGTCAATCTGCTCTCCTTGCAGGGTCCTCGTGGAATCCGAAACTACCAATAGTAGACAACATAAATCTTCCACCAACGCTGCTCTCCCGATTTGACCTCATTTACTTGATTCTGGACAACCCCGATCCAATGAACGATCGCCAACTTGCCCGCCACATCACAGCGATGTACGCTACTGGCCCGGAGGCGCTTTCTGCGGAGATTATGGTACAATTACTTTAATAGCCAATTGTGATTGGTACTTATCATTACGCCCGGCTTTAGCCGCCAGAGCTACTTGCACGTTATATTTCGTACGCTCGCGAGCACATCCACCCGGTTATTACGGACACTGCCGCCGAGGCTCTTGTTCATGCTTACATGGGTGAAATGCTAAGAAAAATAATAAAAATCGAAATAAAAATAAAATAATAACAATAATAGTAGTTATAACAACAACAACAATAATAATAATAATAAACAAATAACAAAAGTAGTTACAGCAGTAGTAGTTTCAATTTTAACAACAGTAATAACTATAATTATAGATCTAAAAAATAACATTAATAGTACTTACACCAGCAATAATAATAATAGGAATAATAATAATAGTGATAATTATAATAAGAATAACAATAACAATAATAGGAATAATAATAGTAATAATTATTATAATAATTGTAATAACAGAGATAGTAATATTGGTATTAACATTATTAATAATTTTAATAATACTAGTAATAACAATAACCATAATGATAATAATAAATCTTGTAGAACTCCGTCAGTTTGGTGGTAGCAGAAAGACTATTGCCGCTACGCCCCGTCAACTGGAATCCTTGATTCGCATTTCCGAAGCCCTCGCACGAATGAGGTTTTTTTTTTGTCTTCTTTATCTCTATATTTTTTTTTAATGAAAAAAAAAAACTTTTTCTGTGCAGATTTTCTTCGGAAGTCGCGCTCGGCGACGTTGCTGAGGCGCTTCGGCTAATAAAAACGGCATTGTGCCAATCAGTGACAGATCCCGTCACGGGAATGGTGGACATGAGCATCATCACTACTGGCCTGAGCGAGAGTAGCCGTCAACGGCTCAACCAATCGGTGGTCAGCTTGAGGGATTATCTCTCGCATCGACGTATTGGCGCTCCGCTGCGACTTCGAGCTCTTCTGGAAGAATACAACCAGCAGAACAATGTTCACTTCATTTAATTTTTATTAAATTTATTTTTTTAATTATTTTTTATTAACTGATTTAGGCGAACTTGCAAATGCACCAGTTGAGGGATATCTGTAGGTCGCTAGTCGAAGAAGGCTTTATTTCATACAACTCTCGCCAGGATGCTATCTCCTTGATTTACTAAAATTCAATAAATCATATTTATAAATTCATAAAAAGTTTATTATTTCAGTTATAAATTTTCTGCTAATAAAGCGAATGAGTTTTAACTTCAAAGCTGACGCGCGGAAGTAAACGTTTCTGTATAAAAAAAGACTTGAATTTTAAAAAAAATTAAAAATTATTTTTTTGAGGATTATTGAAAACGTTATGAGCTTACGAATTTGTTAAAAGTACTTTTTTGCAAGGCATTTTTAAAATTGACACAGACTTATACCCCTTTTTTGACAAAGATTTTATTAAATATACATTCTTTAGCGAGTCGTGCTTATTTAAATAAAGTATTTTCGCAAAGCTATTTATATTACTGTTTCATTTTTACCATCCTTATTATAAGATTTGTAAAATTAATATTCTTAAGCAACTCGTTACTTATTTTTTAATAACCGCCTTTTTTGAAAGTTTCCACTAATAAAGTTTTATAAGAATTATATTCTTGAGCGACTTTTTTTGTCTGCTGTAACAATTGAGTATATACGAGTGAGGTGATGGACGAAAAGTAATAGAGAAAGTAGTTGATTTCCGCTCCTAAAGTGTTTTATGTGCGCACAGCCTCTACGTTTATCGTTAATTCAAAGCCCAATCTTATTTTAAGGTAGCAAAAAAGTTTTTTATATTTAACAAGCTATGATAATCAGGCATACGCACGGTATGTGAAGGCTATAAAAATTATTATAATTTCGGTCTAAATGGAGTGGAGCACAGAAAAAGCAGTGCTTATTCGTAACTTTTTCAAAACGCGGTTCGTACAGAATTCATAATTTAATATCTATAACTTTTTTTAAAACATTCCCTTATATATACTATATATACCTTCATAACTATATAGAATTTGAGATTGTAAATTAACGGAGGCTATTCCACTTTATAATAAAAGTATTAATTACCAATGTACAAGCCCAAATTTAATAAAGCCTTTAAATTTTATTTTATAAAACTTGCTAAAGATATTGCTTAAAGTTATAACCGTTGAAATATAAAATACTAAACATTCTTTGTTAGGCATACGAAGTAACGTTCGTACTTCCCTTTTAATAACTTTTTGCTAAACTTAAAAAAAGAAAATCGCACGCACTCCATTGAAGCCGGGCTGGCGGCTGCCATAGAAAAAAAAGTTCTTAAATTGAGGCGTTTTTAAAAAGAAAAAAATAAACAACTCTAGTCCAAGCTTTTTATTAAGTTCTCATGATCCAGACCGACGCAAACGCTTTTTTTAATAATATTCCGCCTATAACAAGGTAACTCTGTTATAAATTTTATATATTCTTTTATTAAAAATAATACATATCACTACAAGATATTTAATAGTGGCGATCCTTTGTTTTAGTCTGGCTTGCAATTTTAATGTTATTCCCACTTATAGTTTTTTGTTAATATGGAAACATATACGTTATGACTTCGAGGTAAGTCACGAAGTAAATCAATTTTTTTATTAATCTATTTTTTTATTAGCTTTGGCGACTCTTTACTTCTCTGCTTTACTCCGGGCCTTTAGGATTTCCTTTCCTTACTAATCTCTACTTAATATATCAATACTCTTCATGGTTAGAAAAAGAAGAATTTTCCGGAAGAAAAGCTGATTTTGTTTTTATGTTAATAATAATAGCTGTTGCTTTAATGGTTATTATTCTTACAATTACATCTCTTTTGATAATTTTTTATACTTCGTTAAATTTTTTAATCATTTTAGTTGTTATTAAAGCTTTTTTAAAGGTGTTAGGGTTAAATCCTTATTATCCTGCTTATTACTTGGCAACGTCTTTGTCGATGGCGTTAACATATATCTGTTGCCAGCTTAATAAAGATGCCGTTGTTACATTTTACTTTTCCATTGCGTTGAAAGCCGTTTATCTTCCTTGGGCACTTCTGTTGTTTTACACTTTACTTGGAGGCATCATATATAAATAAAATTTATTTTAAAAATATCATTAAATTTAAATAATTAGTTACTTAGTTATTAGTTCTTGACTTTAGGCTTTTTAAATTTAATTATCTATTATGTTTTTAATCATTGGATTCATACATTATTTTAAAGATTTATAAATTTTGAATACAATTCTTTAATTAACTCTAAATTTTTTTAAATTATTTTTTTTATAAATCATATTTTTATGTAGATTTAAAAAATTCAATTAATTAGTTTTCTTTACTTGAACGTTATAAAATTTTTTTAATAAGTAATTCAAATTATTTATAATTTTATATAGAGATTGATAAGATCCAATTACATAGTTATTAAATTCTTTACTTAAGCTTTTTAAATTTTTTTTTAAAGTAATTCTATTTACTTTACATAAAGGTTTATAAAATCTAATTAATTAGTTACTAAGTTATTAATTCTTTACTTAAGCATAATTTATTTTTAAAAAGCGATTTTAATTAAGCATAATATTTTTTTAAAGATTTATCCTTAAAATTTATAAAAATAGTTTGTTATAAGTGTTTTCAAATAATTTTTTTTAAGATTAGTAAAATTTAATAAATTTAATCTTATAAGCGATTTCATTTAGTATGGGCTTTTAAAAGATTTGTAAAATCTAATTTTTAAGTTGTAAATTATTAATTTTTTACTTAAACTTTTCACTTTTACTTTTTATAACTAAATCTCAAAAGATTTATAAAAAGTTAAAATATTAATTTTTTATATTTTTAGCCCACTAATTCTAGTTTTCAAAAGAGATTTTATTTAAATAAATAATTTAAAAAAAGATCCAATTCGCCTTGAAATAATCGGGATGATTTCTGGGCATTGCTACTATTTTTTACAGTATATTTATCCTCAACATAGCGGGACTGTTTTACTTACTACTCCAAAATTTCTGTACTATTTTCGAGCAAAATTTTAATATTAAAATTCAGATTTTCACTCAATTTTTTTATATAGTAAGAAATATTTTTCTGATTCGCGCATTTCACGCGTGCAGGTATGATTTTTTATTTTCTTTCAATTTATATATAAAAAATTAATATATGAAGGGGGTTGGAGTCATCTTCCGATCTCGAACTTCTTCTGCCGGAGAGAGCAAATCCAGCGCTCCTCAAAGATGGGAAGGAGAAGGCCGAGTCCTTGGAAGCAAATAATAAAATTGAGTTTTTTTTTTAAATTTTAAAAAAAAATAAAAAAAATTTATTACTACTTCTTTAATTCTAAATCCAAAGAGTTTTAACTCTTTTACTATAGTTGAAATTTGGTAAAAATCCGAACAATTTTATTATTTGAAATCAAACTTTTAACGATATTAAATTTCTATTAAATTGAAAGCGTTATAATTAAATTAATTTTTAATTTAAAAAAAGTTATTTATATAACTTAGAACAGTGGTTTATTACTATTTTTCTTCATTCTGACTGCAGGTTTTAGAAAAATACATAATTTTTCATAATTATAATTTAGTGTATCAATTTTTTTACTTCTTACAATCTCAAGGTACACAACCAAAATAAATATTTGTTCCTCATTTCCCTATTAAATTAAGAAAAAGACAAGGAAGATGTCTTCTAAATTCACGCAGTGATTGTTTTTTCTTTTATTTGGACTTGTGTACTTAACGCTCTATCTAACTAGAAAAAGCGTATTAAAAAAAGAATCTGAACAGCTAAATTGCTTAACGCTCCCATTGAATTTAAGCTAAGATCAGTGCGTCTTGAATACAATTTAAGTGATAGATATATTGTCTATAATAAAACTGGCATACTCAAAAAAAGTATCTATAGTTACCATAGTTAATATTATAAGCTTTGGATAATTACTTTTTACATAGCCTGCATCATTGCTTATTCTTTTTTATTATCAACAGAATCACTTGCAAATATAAAATATTAAGAACGCGTCAAAATAAATTTCAATTGTCACGACTAGCATATTTGTTAAGAACCTATAGTGATTCGCATAGGTAAAGAGGTTTTAAGTAAAGCCAAAACTAAAAATATAATTTTTTAAAAAATGTTTATGACTTTAATGGGATTAAACGATATGCGGTATATAAATAAAAAGGAATTCTTAGTCAAGCCTTATAATAGCATATAAAAGAAATTGTTAACACAGAGTATTAATATTATACAACTGCTTTATCTTATAAACGATAAAGCTAAATATGCCTTTAGTCGTATCAACCGAGATAACACTAAAATCAAGGGGCGCATTATAGACAGTTGAGAAGGTAGGCGATGAACGTTAAATAGCAAGATGATCAGTAAAGTCGCTTTTTCGGCTACGGTACACCATCGTTGCGAAGAGGTTACCGAGATGTAGGCCCGCATTCCTGACTCGTTTGACTAATTTTCAGGAGGCGAGAACGATGAACCAGCCTCCGACACTTCATCCAAATGGTTATCTCCTTTTACTCTTTAGGTGCACCATACACTTTTTTATGAGGTGCCGGGGAGGGCGGAGTTAAAAAGTCATGATTTCTCGAATGAGGCGCCGATGCTCGAATGTTAGCTTCTCAGGAAAGCAGTTAGGGCAGTACATAACTTCGGGTGTCGTCGTTATGTTGATGTGAGCATCTTGTACAGCAAGCTTAGAGTCGGCATTAACATTGTTTAGTAAAGCGAGTTTCTGTAGTGTCGGGAAAAACAAGGGCACCTTCTCGAGCAATTCGGAAAACCAATTAATATGAAACTGGGAGAATATCTTTAATGCCTCCATTTTGTCGCCCAAATCGAGCAGCACAGATAACTGATTCAGAATAGTTTCTTTAGCGCTTCAATAGCCTTTTAAAGGCGGATGCCCTCTAAGACGGTAACAACACTCCCTCGCCACGTGTGTAGGCAGTTTGGTCCTTAAAATTTTCAAGTTGCGTTCTCCTGCGTAGGCCACAAGGATGTAGTCGTTCCGGTTTACTACATGGCTCTAGTACGCAGTATCTCCGCTTAGAATGACTGAAGAGTTATGGACATGAAGAGCGTCAAGATCGAACGACGTGATTAAATGCTGGAGACTTTCAAATAACGTCACAGCTACGGGCCCTTGCCTAATCAAGTTGGGGTATTTCCAACTGCTCAACCTCTTGCAGAGCTGGTAAAGCAATTGGGTTGTGTTAATGGCTCCCTTTATCAATATAGCAAGCCCTTTCAGGTCCTGACCATACGATAAGTTACAGAAATTAAAATGACCCATCAAGGGGATTGCGTTTTGCTGACGATGCTGATAGCTGTTCTATCGCATTTTTAACTCCAGCACCTCATGTTTTATATTATTGACGCCCTCCGCATTTCAAAAAAGAAAAGGAAAAAAACGGATATGATTACTCTTCTAAGGTTTAGAAGTCACTTCAAACGGGTTCTAAGCTCTTTACGGTTTCGGGCATGGTCATGAGATGCGTCGTCTGTTAGTTGCTTGTGGTCGTTGTTCTTGCTGTTCTTGCAGTTGCTGAGTAGCTGAGTTTGCATGATTATCGTAAGTGGCATTAGTTGCAGGGGGGAGTCTTGCTCTTAGGCGCGAAGCATTAAAACTAGTCGAATGATGGTAAATGCTGTAGAAATTTACGGAAGCCCTGGTGGCATAGATTCATCGGCTATTCTAGTATTCGTAGACCCGGCAGTGGGCGGAGTGTGCCTAGCCACCACCGCTAGTTTAGCAAGCGAGTCTTTGGCCCTTCGTAGTCAAGTGACCTGTAACGCATAGAGATAGGGCAGTGCTTAAGCTTGCAATGTGCCTGAAGATCTGTCAACGAGGGCACAGGATAAAGCAATTACTTTTTCGTAGTTTTCCTATTAAGTTTGAAGATATGGGACACTCTTTAATTCTAACAGCTTTTTCGTTCTTTCTAGGTATAGGCACCAACACAAAGGTAGCGGAACCTCGCGTCCCTGTGTGCAGTTTTGTTACTCGGAGAATCGTGATGCCTTCTGCGCGTAGGCCCGGCTCGATGAAAAAATAAACTTTACAGAAAAAGAACTTAAATGACTTGTTCTCAAGTAATTGATAAGTAGAATGCTGTAACTTCAAATTACGCGTATCGTAGAGATAGCGCGGTATTCAATAGCAAGTGGTTTGTTAAAGTTGTATAAAAAAAGGGCCGCTTTTGTTTTTCACAAAGAGTAAGGGGTTATAACTTTTTATTAATTTTAATGCTTTGATAAAACACTTAACAGTAATCTCTCTACCAACACCAATCTGATCTTAATAATAACGCCTGACTTGTACGGCAGAATATTTCTAAGCCGCCAGTTAAAAATTTAAGCAAGTCGTAGATTGCGGGTTACAATTCGAAAGTGCTATTTATTAAATAGCTATTGTGTTTTGTGAACCTCGGATGAACAAGCTTTTTTGCTGAAGCAACGCTACCGGTAACCTGACTTATGTAGCACTCACTGTGCAATTGTCTGCCACAATACTGCGCTATGTACATTTGCACAAATTGCTAAACAAGCCCCACTTTAAATAACAAATAAATATTAAACTTAATAAATTTTTTATGTGCAAAGAAACAGGGTTAATCAAATATTTTTAACTACTTTTTAGTATAAGGTTGGTAGATAAAGGGAGCTTAAAACAAACTGATAATATTTCTTAAAGAAACAATAACCCAAACTACTGCTTTTAATAAGATGTAAATAAGGTACACTTGTAAACTAAGATTTGGAAAGAGGTAATAAATATAATTTCTCAAGTATTTAAGTACCTTGAAATGATAAGCGGCTAAGACGGGAACCCTTTTAAAGCAAACAAATCTTTTGGTAAAACAAACCACTAACAAATGCACGTTGAATAAGTTTATTTTTTGTGACGTTTAGCCATTTCCTCACCCTGAGGATAAGTAGTATTTGCTTATGGAAGGGCGAATTCCAACTCACCTAGTATAAATTGTTTAATTTACTTATTAATTAAAAGTATTCACGCTATTCCACGCCTTAGAGGCACAAAATTCTTTGCTTTACTACAAAATGCCTTCTTTACTTTTGTTCATAACTCGAAATATTATTATAATTTACTTCCAGATATAAGGCGTATATGACGTTTTGAGAGTGCAACCAACTTTTCTCATTAGAAATTTCTAAATATACAGAACCAGAGCTACGACATCTTTGCGATCCTTTTACTTCCATAGGAGTTACACTTAAATTACTTTCACGTGTACTGCTTTCATTCTCCTCTGGACTGACAGAATATGTTAACCAAAATGGCAAGTTTGCGCTATTCTCATAAATTTCCCAGCAAAGCAAATCACCTTTTTGACATTGAATTTTTTTGGACGAATATAGAGTTCCGGCTGGTATGCACACCTCAAGAAGGCTTTTATCTATATAATGAGTACAAAGGGAGCACGTGCAAGATCCATTAAGGCGTGAAGGAAGAAGAGAAGGGACGACGTTCAATTTTTTTAAAAAGGAAAGGTAGTCAGCAGTAAACAGCTTCATCTTAGATTCCGTTTGCTTCGGTAGCCAGCCTTTTACCATATTCCAAATCTGAAGCCCAACTTTAGAAACATTGCAAGTGATAGTCGCTCCTATCATTTCAGGGTACTGCTGGGAAAGTGCTCCCATTTTTTTTAACAGTGATATAGTTTTAAAGCCAAAGTGCTTTATTTTGAGACCGGTAACATCTACAATATCGAGGCGTGAACATGGAGTGTTATGCTTTACAGAGATCCTGTGCAAGACAAGGTCAAAGTAAACATCGCAATAAAGAACTAACTCTAGCCACAACTCTTCAAGATTTTTGCTAGTAATTTCACTAAAGAAATAGTTCGCTAATATTGTAAAAGTCACACAATGATATTCACTGGAACATTGATGATGAAAAGCAGGAGGTATATTTTTCCAAACAGTTTCAAGCTGTGTATAAGCAAAATTTTTCATATAATTAGAAAGAAATTTTAAAAAAGGAGCTAATTAAAAAAGTGAAGCAAAATTCAGCTTTTTAACTAAAAAAAGAAAAATGAGTTTAGTACTATGATCTTAAACTTTTCCATAAAGTAGGGCCATTTCAGCTGGCCTTGCTTTTTTTCTTCTTCAAGAATCTCGTTTCTTACTTTATCAATATTATATTCCTGGCGAAAAAGTAGATGTCGTTCAAAAGCTGAAAGAGCGTTAGCACCATGTCCCTTAATAAAGCGAGCAAGTTTAAAATCTGACACTAATTCTTCTGGCACTTCTCCCTTTGAAAGCAATCGTCAGTGCACCACTAAAAACATTAAGAAGAGAACAAAATGAACATTTTTTTACCTTATAATCACGAAGTATTATATTTATAGAGTTTCTCAAAGCAACAATATCTTCTTCCTTTATGGAAATTAAGAAAACTTGATTATTTGACATAATTTTAGTGACTCTTAACGGTCGTACAAAAAACTTCTGTTAACCCTGACAAAAACAAGAAACAATACTTTAAAACGTTATTAATAGTTTTCTAGATTGGTTTTTAATAAAATATACAGAGGTTACTAAATAGTTAATATTTAACATGTTTACAATTTTGGGAAAAAGAGTAAAATGAACATTTAAATACTGCCTACTAATGACTACAGATATAATCAGGGGGTTACATAGTAGTAATGCGTAAGATTTTTCGAACCAATACAACACGAAAAAAAATTTTTTTTATAATAAAAACAATGATCTTTGCTCAAGCTTTAATAAAAAAAAATTTCGTTCATGCTGCCAAATAATTATTAAAAACTTTACCGAAGTAAAGCTTATTCAAGCCAAATTCTTAAGGTGCAGTCATATTTGATATAAAAAATACAGGTAAAAAATCAAGTTTTTAGTATAAAAAAAAATAAAGTTATGACACACAAGTAAGATTTAAAATTAGTATTGCTCTTAAAATGATTGATCTTATAAACTTTACTATTTCTTTGCTTCTTATTCGGCATTTTATAATAAAAGCCCACTATTGGATTATATCTAAATATTTTCTTTTCAAAGTAGTAAAGTTTTTCTACTATCATTCAAAGAAGCAGATTTTAAGTCTGAAAGCTTTCACATTATTTTGGTGAAAGGTTTTACTATAATTCAAGTGTGCCTAAAAATTTTAGAATATTTTTAATTAATGTTTTAAGAGGCAAACATACTTATAAAAAATTTTTTGTTTTATAAAGAAATATTTGTCAAAGTTTTTGTGGGCTTGCTTGGTTTTACCTATAAGAAATTATTTCGCCTTAATAATGGTTTAAAAATATATCTTTACTTTTTTTTAAACATTGTGGTTAATTTGTTAAAAATTAACATATCTGGTAGTTGCTATAAAATTACTAAATGAAGTTTCCGTAAAAGTTATTTTATAGTCAAAACTTCATAAATTCTTTTTATGATAAAATTAAAACTAACATGAGAATGGCAAAGCTTATTTTCATATTACTGGAAAATAACGCTTTCGCGAGGCTGGCTAACCACTTTCTTCTATTAATAATCTTCTTTCGCTACTATTAACAAGATTGTTGAAAAATATTAAAACAAAATTAATTGAAGGTCAACTATAATATGTATTTAATTACTATAATCTTTCTATTAATAAATATGTTATTCATGTTTATTTTCCTTTCTCGTCCTTTTTAAAAAAATTACCATTACTTTTCTAAATTAATTAAACCTTTGAAAAAGTGAGCTGATAAAGTTATAATGTTATAACTAACAAAAACTTTCTCATACTGCACTAAAAATCTAGTAAAGATAATCCAATAAAATCTTTTTATCTCCATAAAATTTACCAAATGCATTAAAAAAATAAAAAGATAATCTGACCCGACCCAATCTCATTTTATTCGTCATATATAAGTGAGTTTCTAGTTTAAGGTTTTTAACATAAAGTATATAAAAAAAATTGTTATATTTGTATTAATTCTATAGTGTTATAATGATTAATTTCTTAGCCAAAGAAAATTTATTCTTTCTCTTCCCCGTTTTACCGGAACTAAAATAAGGAAAAGCTTGACTACTGAAGGTAGGGAGTTGAGATACTGTAAACAAAAACTACCGTTAGTCACATCTTATCGTACGAAGAGACTGTTAAAAGAATTGTCTGTGTAACTTTTCTACGGTAGGCTTATAATAATTTATACATTAAGATAAAATGAGATTTAGAAACGTTCATTAGAAAACGCTAATTACGACTTTAATAAAGTTTCAACAATGTTTTTTTAAAAGTAAAAGTAATAAGGAAGTGAATTCTAGTGCCTTTTTCCAGAAACTTAACATCGGAAAACGAGCATTCAAAGGTATCTTCAGAAGACTATTGAAAGTCTTGAGGAAAAGATCCCAGTTCATAAGTTTTAACGCAAATTACCATTTTTAGGCAATTTATGATTATTATTGATTATTTTATTGCTTGGTAGTTAGTATGTAATGAAGGTTCACGAAAAGTAAACTGGCAGTTGTGTTAATTTTTAGTGGTTTTTTTGTTTTAGTCACATCTGTACATCTCTCTCTCTCTCTCTCTATATATATACATTTGTTTACAATTAATTTCAAAGGACTTAAAGTTTTAGACACCGGTCAGTAAAGGTTTAAATGCCCTAACAACAAGATTTAGAGTCGGGCTCTACCGATTAAGCAAACGTCATAGTTTCAGCGTACATGAAAAACTAGAAACGGTTGGTGACTATCCCAACTGGAAAATTCAGGTTGAGTCATATCTCAGAAGAAAGAAAACTCTAATTGCTCTATACGATCCACATTAATTGATGAAGAAATCTATAGCATGGGATGCAATCATAAGCTCTATCGACATGGGCCTTTTTCCAATAGTAAGACTCGTTGAAGTTATCAAAAAGAATACTCCAAAGCTAAATGTAGTAAAATTGTTATGGGTAGAACTCGAAAAAAGTTCAAATATAAGATTAATTAGCCACTAGAGTGACCCTTGAAAAGGAATTGATGGAATTGAAACAAGGGTTAAACGAATCTATAGTTTCGCTTTATGATAGGATATATAACATTGTTGAGCGTATAAACCCACACAACTATGGCTTTGAAATCTCCAAGCACATGAAAATAGACCGATTTTAATGTGCTCTCCCGGATGAACCTAATTGGGAAATATTTAGAAATGACAACTTCTTGAAAACCGGAGATTCCAACACAGACATATCATACCTCGAGCTGGTTAAAATGGAAGAGGCATGGCAAGTTACCTGCAGTCGTTCCCAGTACAAGGGAGAACAGGAAGTAGTCTTTAGGGTTGGTAAGGAAAAAGATATTAATTTTACCAGCAAACAGTTCAGTCCAAGCCTGGGATGCACGATTTGCAAGAGAAACAATCATTTAGAAGAAGGTTGCTATTTCAGGAACAAATGCCAAAGATGCGGTAATCATAGTCTAAATGAAAAGGAATGACCTTTTTGGGACAAGAAGTGCTATAAATGTAATAAAATTGGGCACACAGCCCCCGCTGCAGAACAAAAACACACTTGGAATCAGCTTTTAAGGCAACTAAAGGGCATTCTAAATTTATTCTTGACTCTGGTGCAAGTGGTCATGTGGTTAACGATGTCCCATTCTAAAAGATTTTATGGATATCAGAGAATATGTACGTGGAGTATCTGAAAACGTTTTAGCAGGCAGCCGGAGGTCTCTACCAAGGGGTGCGCTATTTATCCCTGAGAGTGAAAGTAATTTACTTAGCGTGGGAAGATTGTGTGATAAAGGAAAAATTGTGGTTTTTGACAAAGAAAAAAGCAGTCGTCATTAAAGAACACCCTTTAATTCAAGACGTGCTCACTATAATCCCACACAGGGTCTTAGCTACGAGGAACAGCGAATGAATTTACGAGATGACTAAAGAGATCGCTAGCGTGGCCGTGGAGCAATGTTTTGGCATGAAATCTCCTCGGTCACGGCGGTAACAAACAGATTAAAAAGTCTTTAAAAGGGAATGGCATTGATTAAAACTTTGAGGCAGCAATTTAAACTGCGATGTATGTGCAGAAGACAATACTAAGAAAAGCAAAGTTAATCGAAGGCTAGTAAATAATTATTCCTGTCTTAATACTTGCTAAAAAATAGATGTAGATTTACACGGCTCCTATCCATAGTCTATTGGCGGGCGTATCTGGGCCATCACAAGGGTTTGCAAAAAAAACTAAATTTATATGGGTTAACTTCTGCAGAAACAAGAGAAATGTTTATTTGGTAGTCGAAAACTTTTTAGACAAAACCTTGGGGAATAGTTATGACATCAAAAAAATTCACAATGATAATGGGTCTGAGTTCACCTCGGATAATTGGATATGTGTAAATCTATAGGCATTACCTCCACTTATACAGCATCAGACACTCCATCTCACAACCCGATAGCGGAAAGGTACAATGGCACACTGAAATCCATGACTAAAGCAATGTTATTAGGTGCCAAGTTATCAAAAGCCTTTTGGGCAGAGGCAATGATTCAAGCGCTGCCCTAATAGTTAACCAGACACCTCGTGCTTGGGAACCTTTTTATGGGATCAAACCTGATTTAACTAAACTAATTATGTTTGGCGGAGGATCATGTTTCACGATGTCAAACCCGGAAAACTAGAGAACAACGGGTCCAAGGGTATATTACTTGGCTTAGCAGCTGACTCATGTGGACGTTATTATAAGATTTACAACTTACAGACCGGCGGAGTAATTAAAAACCGCTTTTTCTTGCCATTATGCGAACATAATAAAGACTATGATGGAGAAAATAACCCCAACGTGAGCGATGCATTAGATTTTAAAGACAAAGAGAGCGACACAAGTTCCGATTCTGAAACAGACAATGGGGTGAATGGTCATAAAAACAGAGCATCTCCGCTACAAAAGGAAAGCCCTAGCATAAATCAAAGGGTCCAAGTCGAATTCTTTAAAAATGGAAATCGAAAAGCCTTTTCTGGCGGAATAATTGGCATAAAAGAAACCATTATGTCGTTGGATTTAATGACGGCGAAATCCTCAACAACATAAGATTGGACGAGATGAGATTGACGCATGCAAAGTAACCACCTACCTCCCTAAGAGCGCGAGTGAAGCACATGAGGGTCCCGAGTGGATCAGTTCTCTGCTAAAGGAGCTAAAATACTTAGATGACAATACTTGGGGTATTTAAGACCTATACCATGAGGACAGTGAGCATGTGAGGGATACAATATGGTCATTTAGAGTAAAAGATGATGGTTCCAAAAAACAAGGATATGCTACAGAGGATTCCCTCAAATACATGAGGGGGCTCTATGAAAGCATGAATCGGATGATATCGCTAGAGACGGCAAGATTATTAATGTTTATTGCTCATCACTATCGTTTAACTCAACGTCAGTTCGACTTCAAGTATGCATACATGAATGCTAATATGGACGTCAAGTTACTAATTAAAATATCAGAGGGATTTCACTTAATTTATCAGGGTGATTCAAAAGGAAAATGTTTATCATTAAATAGAGCATTGTACGGAGCAAAGAAAGCAGGGCTATTGTGGTACAAATTAATAACAAAAAAATTTCTAGAACTAGGTTTTAAACAATCTCTTATAGAACCCTGCGTGTTTTACTCAAAAGAGAAGAACTTTCGGTGTATAATCGCGTTATACATAGATGATTTGAGAATAGTTACCGACTTCTAATGAGTTTATATGGAATTATTGCCGTGTGGTAGTTAAAAAACCATTTTCAAATACGTCAGGAAACAGGTTATTTTCTACTTTAAACAGTGCTAAAGCTTTTTATCAGCGACTTAATCATAGAGAATCTAATAAATATTCCTCGTTCACTTTACCGGAAGGAAAAACAGTACAACGTACGGTCCTTCCATTAGGGTACGTAAACCTTCCGTATGAATAGGATCACAAGATAAGTAGAATTTTAGGGTGTAGGACGCTTGGGAAAGAAATTTAAGTAGCTCATTTACTTACTTGTCCCAAAGTATATTGCCTAACCAGATAGCTTCTCTCACGGACGAGTGGATAGAAAAGAAAGAAATTAGCCCCTTTCGAAATTTCTACAGGTGAAGAGGTGATGCAGTTTAGGTTTATACAACAAGATTAATAAGAACGAACTTTTACATTCAAAAAAAAAAATCTCGCAGAATTACTTCCTAACTTTTAAATCATACACTGTTTGGGGTAGCACTCGGAGAAAGACTTAAAGAGCGATGTATACAATTATATGTTATCTTAAATGACTTTTGCATTTTCTCGGTAAGTCGAGCGCAGATCGCTTAGTCTTGTCGAGTGCAAATAGGTGCCCGTATATCTTTGGGGGTATCATGTTCCGATTATCTTAAAAAAAAAAGCGCGATACATGGTGTGCCTCCTCGCCACCCACCGCAGTACTAACCTAGTTCCTGGGAGATTATACTTCCCGCCAGTGATGTATATTATAGTAAATGGGGGGGATGTAGAGAGTGAAAGTTAAGGGCCCAGGTAAATATATAAAAGTCACATGGAGGGCGCAGATTACCTCTCTCTCTTGGTTTAGTTGCCCGTTGTGTGCCAGATTGGCTGTTTCCTGTGTTTAGTTATATACCGAGATAGCTTAATAAATAGTTATATTTTTTCTTAGTGTTCAGTAATTCTAATTATACGTAAAAATTAATTTAGAGTGTTATCATTAGGAACAAATGTTATAAATCATGTTGTACATTCATTTAGTTAATACGTCATGAAATAATGACGGAGGAATTTTAATTGTATGCATTAAACAAGAGCAAGATCTAAAGAAATAAGTAGGATTATTGAGCTCCAATCTGATAAGTTTATAATAAAATTAAAGGAAAATTAATTTTGTAATGTGAAAAGAATTCTTTTTTTAAAACTTCACTTTATTTTTTTAAAAAAGAAAAGTGAAAACAATATTAGATCTGATCCAAATGGCAAGGCTCATGGATAGATTTTTCTTTTTAACTATTTTTTTGCATCTTTTTTGTCTAAATTAAAACCATTAACGGAATTCATGTTTTTGCAAATAAAGCACTTCAATATTTTTCATTAAAAGTGAAGGAAAAGTAAAATATAAGTAAATTAAAAAAGTAAGATTACTAAATTTATATTTACCCACGTAGATAAACGCGCTTCATACTGTCAATGATTTAGGGCCCAAAAAATATATACTTTTCTCAGTAAAAACTTCGTTCGCATTACAAATTTGTAGCCCTTGAATTTTCTTGTGTAAATCATTTCTATAAGCCACTTACACGTAATATAAAGATCCAAATATGAGAAATCCTTAATTCAACAAGCGTTTTAATTCAAGCAAGACCACACTACCTTTTTTTTTTCAAATAATGCAGATAAAAAGATGATTTATAAAGAAAAATAGTTATTTAATTAATAGTAGTTGATTGGACTTCAGAAATAATGCTTTTTGCAAACTAAATAAATCAATGCGAACTGCATATTACTACTCGCTTTACTTTTCTCTGCATTAGGGGTATTCCTTACTGCCGCCATCAGTTGGCATGAGTATTCAAGTAACGTTGTAAGTATCGCCGTATAATGAGCGGCTCTTTGAGGATGCATAGACTGTATTGTCGTTAGCGTAAAATAGGATGCGAATATGAAGGTTTCCCAGAAAGTGGAATTGTCCCGCATATACAGTTCGAAAAGCAGGAATGAGAGCAGAGAGCTCTGCGGAACAATATTTATCAGTTGACGGTGTGGCGACAGAGTAGTGTCAAACCTCATATGAGAAATGCGCCCGCGTAGGAAACGGTATTAGAATCTTGTAATAGGTTAATGGAATGCTTAATACACGTAGTTTGCTTAGGAAGACCTCTAATCATACGCTGTCAAAGGTCTTTTTCAAAGCGGGGAAGACAACGCCGAATAATATTTTAAAAATAAAGTGACGAGTTGTCCACTTAACAAAGCGCAAAAGTTGCTCTGTCGTCGATAGCTTTTTCGATACCCAAACTGAAGTTCTGGGAGCGATTCCAAAGTAGTAGCTGAGCCTCCGCGGTTCTGTCCACCGCTGAAAGTAGGCTAATGAGGCGATATTTGCTGGGGTCTGGTGAAGTTCGCGAAATGTTGGGTAACACCACAACAGTGGCTGTTTTACATCGTGTTAGGAAGGAGCTAAGCGGCCTTGTTGAAATTGCTAAACAGGAAAGGTGGTTAATCACCACCCACGGCAACTAGCCTAACATAGCGTGGGTAATGTCGTTAAGACCGATGCTTTCCGTTGCGAAACTACCGGGGCTAGAGAAGTGATTATACCAGTTATGCTCAGTTTGATAAGTCCGTAGTTAAGAGTTGACAAAATCTCGTGGTGTCCTGCCTTCGTCCATAGGATAGATCAAAATTAGAAGCACACACTGAGCAGTGAGATAATCAACAAAAAGCATCACCTTAGCTTCCTCGCTTTTAGCCACTATTATGCATTTGGTGTGATGGCAGCAGTGTCAAATAGATGACCGTCCTACGCCTGCCTTCACGGTCCCAGCCACCAAGTTTCGCCTCCCAAAGATTAGCGTGGAAAGTTGCTAGTTTTTTCTAAGGCCTGTGAAAACCTTTTAGCATTAGTTTGTCGACGGGACTTTAGTAAAAGCCATTGAATAATCTGATAGACAACCAGTGCGATATACAACTTCCCAGCAGCAGCGCGGCCCGTCAGTGAGCTCCTCAAAACTATTAACTGATACTTCTAAAAGGGATGAAGCCACCTGCCAGTGAAGAAATAATGCTAATGGGTCCTTCTTCTTTTTTAAAAAAAATAAAAGTAAAGCTGCTAGTATTATTATTACGCGAAACACCACTTCCACTTTGATTGATGAATTTTGTTAATTTTCTGTTTGTTTATATAATAGTTTTAATTATTTGGACTTTTTATAAAAGGTATCTGCTTGATAATTTATTTTCTTTTAGCGTAATTTTAATAAAGTTATTATTTATATTTTTTTAAAACATAAATAATGCACTTTTAGGTATTTTTCTAGTTCTGAATTTCAAGTTAAAAATAAGCATGTTTTAATTACGGGAGGCTCTAGCGGTCTCGGTTTTTCGTTTGCAAAATTATGTGTTAAAAATGGTTTTACTCTTATCGAAACTTAACAGAACTCACCACTTACACATAAAAAATTTAGGTGCTAATGTTACAATCGTTTCTCGTTCTCAGGAAAAACTTGATGTAGCTGTTAAGCAACTTAGAGGGTTCTCAAGTAGAGAAAAATATCTGAAATATATAATTTTTGTTTTGGGATTGTAACTTTTGTTAATCATATAATATTATATTGTTATGGTTTTTTTATTTTTTTTTATTTTTTATATGCAAATCTCTGGATAATAAGCTGTTAGTTCCTTGTGCATACTTGTTTCGCTGAATGCTACCTCGATTTACAAAATTTGTTATTGTAATAGTAGTTTTAATTTAGTGCTGTGTAGTTATAAGAAAGGGCCATTAAAACACTGTACTTATAAATTATATAAGCTTTTTTTAGTAGAAGCCATTGTAGGGAGTAAAACTTTTTTAGAGAATGTCAAAGGAGGCATACGGCCCTTGTTTTGCGATTGAGTACTGGCACTCTTTACTTGGAAACTTTTAAAACTCTTTTTTTATAAAAAATCTTTCATTGTACTCCAGTTAAACTTAATGGTATATGCTTGGCTTACTAGATTTAAAAATTAACTAAATTTAATATTTTTCTTAAAATTACGAATTGTTACCGTTGTTAATGGATTAATATTTTAATTACTCCACATATAACTTTCTTTATTAAAACACCCTTTTTTAAATTAATTTACTCAGCTATTAAAATCAGTGTAGTATATTTAAAGGCGAGATAAGTTATATTCAACTCTAAAGCAGTTAATTATTAAGTATCAAAAATTTTAATTTTCATGATTTATGATAATTTTTTTTAATTGGATAAATAATGATAACTTTTTTGTATAAAGCAAAAAAGGATTCTCAGAAGATTGAATCGTTTGCCTGCGATGTAACTTGCGTTAGTGAAGTTGAACAATTATTTTGTTCTCTAATTGTTCCTGTCGATATTATTGTTCTCTGTGCTGGTATTTAATAATAAGAAGGATAACTTAATTTAGCTACTAAATTTTTAAATTAGCATCACTCGTTAGTAATACATTTTTTTCAAGGATGTAGTTCATATTGTTTTTGGCGATAAAAATTATTTTCAGTTGCTTTTTTTATTTCAGTCATAAAGCTAAAAGTAGAGAATAAAAACTCAATTATGATAATAATTTTTTTTTAAACTAACGATGCTATTTTTAAAATTGTTAATAAATAGTATGCTACCCTTATAAAGCTCTAAACTTGAACTTTACTCAATAAATTTTACCTAAATAAAAAACAATTATAATTACCTAGTAAGGCCACCTATAGAGGTTTTATATGAGAAATTAATAAATTTTAAGTTTAAAAATTGAATTATACGAGAGTAACAGTTTTGCTACTTATGATTATTTTTAAGCTTGTTAATTATTTGCAGGAGCTTCAAAACCAGGATTTTTCCATCAGCAATCTCCAGTTCTCTTTAAAGATGTATACAACAGCCATTATTATAACTTTTTTGGATAAACAAATAATATATTAGAAAAAATTTTCCGTTTTTTATGAGATCTCTTAAATTTGCTTTAACTTTTAATATATACTGAAGTGTTCAATTAATTATTTATTAATCATTTTTTCTTTGATAAGCAAGTGGAATTAAATTATTTAGGAAGTGTTTATGCAGCCACATACTGTTTTCAAAAAATGCTCCGCGATGGAGTTTGCGGTGCAAAATTTATATTTATAAGTTCTGCTTGCGGTCTTCTATCATTTCCGGGATACTCTCAAGTAACATAATAGTCACTCGCATTAAGAATGATTGTTTACACTAAAAAAGTATGCAGCTACAAAGTTTGCTTTAAGAGGATTTTGTGATGCTTTTAGAGGTTCACTAAATTGATCAACTTAGAAACTTATTTTTTCGTGTATTTTTAACATTAAATAAAGTTTTTAAGAAAATTAATAAAGTTGAATTTATATATTTTTCTAAAATAGTAAAGATGGCACTATAGAGCTAGCAAAATTTAATTGTTAAAAATTTTTATAAAAACTAGTTAACTGTATATTTAAAAATTTAAAACTACTAAGTAAGCTTATTAAAGCTGAAGTCCAATAAATATAAATTTTAAATTTCATGTAAACTTTACTTTCAAAATTTGTTTAAATTTTTGTATTAAAAAGGTTTATATATAATACTTTGTTATTTTTTTTATTTATTAATTTCTTTTGAAAGGAGAACTATTGCTATTTCAGTATACAAGCCACATCTTCTTTGCATCTAGTATAGATTCTCCGGGATTTGCAGAAGAGCAGAAGTTAAAACCGGAACTTACTAAGAAAATTGAAGGTTTTTATTATTATATAATAATAAATGTAATTATTTTTAAATCTTCGTAATGCTTGAGTTTAAGAAAATCGTAATTCCCCCAAGTTTTTAAGTTATGAAATAAAAAATTAATAATTTTTTTTATTTGCAGTCAATTTTGAATAGAAATTTCTTAAAAAAATTAATCGTAACTGTATTCAATTATTTTTTTATTTAATTTTTTATTAATAAGGCTTTAAATTCAATTGTTTTTAAATGTTTTAAGATTACCTTTGAATTTTTTTTTAGTTCTTATACTTAAATGTTTTTTGCTGTTACTTTAGGCACGTGCGTTCTACAAACTAGTGACCAAGCGGCAGCTTCTTTATGGACTGGAATTTCCCGCGGCCATTACCAGATCACTAGTGATTTTGCTGTTGAACTTCTTCGAATTTCAAACAACTCTACCAATCCCAGAAATAATTTTCTTCTTGAACTTCTGCTTTTGCCTTTTGCTTGTATTATGCAACATCTGTTTCACATTTATATGGAATTTATAGTAAAAAGAAGTTCAATTCCTAATAAACGAATTTAATGCTAATTTTCTCATTGTAGTTATTGGATTGTTCTGTGTGATAAAATCTTTTTTAACAGGAATTTAAAGCATTATTTTTTTTAACTATAAGTTAATTAAGTTTTTTAAAGAGAGGTCCTAATTTATAGGTGTTTTAAGCGATACTTTTCTAACGTTAAAAAAGTTTAATATTATTATTTATAATTAAAGAAAATAAAAATAAAGTTAAAAATTATTTTTAAAAAAGTTTTATTTAAAATTATATAATTCTAATAAATTTAAAAAATTTTATTTTTAATATTTTTACTATTCGCCACTTCTGCACTTCAATTACGGGAATAAAATTTTTACAACGCCTTTTTATTTAGAATTGAAAAAACCTTTAAAAATAAAAAATTTAGTTTGGTTTTTTTTGAGTACTCGCCACATAACTTTTTTTACTAATAAAAAAATTTATATAAATTTTTGTAATCGATCTTTAATGAGCCACGCGTTAGGCATTGTTAGAAAGGGGTTTACCTTTGATTTGTTATAAGCTCCATAAATAATAATTCAATTTTAAAAAAGATGTATACAAATACAAACTTTCACAACACAATTATGCATGCGAACTTCCTAGCAGCCCGCACTTGATTAATAGATTTAAACTTGGTTAAAGTCCTTTATAAAACTTTATAGATGTCTCTTTTTCTTAAAATTTATTTATCTGTATAAAAATACTTCCATTAAAGCGTTAGAAATTTTTAAAGTGAATATCTTTTTGATTTGCTAAAATTTAATATCTTACTTTTATTTCGTTCTACTTTGGTAGAATGATCTAATTATCATTTCTAGAGTGGTAGTTAGTTTTGTTCTACTTCAGTAGAACAGGCTAGTTAGATATCATTTCTAGAGGGGCAGTTAATTAGTTTTGTTCTACTAAAAAGGAACTTTTTATAATAATAGAAATATAAAATAAAGAAATAAATAAACAAATTAACAGAATATAATAAATGATAATATAAAGTAACACGAAGACTTACAAACTTTCAGCTTTCTGATTAACAAAATACCTTAGTTTTTTTTTTTACTGAAAAACTAAACGATTATGCTAGATAATTATCAATTTTAGTGCTGTGACATTAGAAAAATAAAAAAAAACTTAAAGCTATGTTAACTAGGACCTGTAACTTTCACTCTCACAGGCAATCAAACAATTAAACGCTAAATTAAACCTAATGGGTGAAATATTATTACGCCATTCATAAACAGTATACCTAACAATGAATAAAAAATAACTTAATTATACTTATTTACACTTTGCCTAAACTCCTAATCGGACTTTATTCTAGCTGATCAAACTGTAAAGTACTGCTTATTATATCTTTATACAGTAAACAAGACTTTCGGATGGTTGATACACCTGGTACATACCCTCTTTTACACTCTAAAGAGGTTATTTGATAAATAAAAACAAGCAACAGATTAACTTGTTGGCTAACCTAGGGGACCTTTAATTTTAAGCACGTTTTAGCTAACCTTAGTTGGTTTTAAGCTAAGTGTACTCTAAAGTTTTAACTAGTCAGAAATTAGTCTTTAAAGGCACCATTATCTAATTTGGAATTTTTTAGCAAGGTACCCTAAGCAAGTTATGCTATGGTTCGGGTTCCGCTAGCCTTGATGATATAAGATCCTTACTGGAGCTTTTTATTATTATTTTTATGCTATTCGATGTTGTGGTTTAACTTTTAAAAACCTTCTTAACGAAGAATCTAGTTCAAACCTAGCCAACACTTTATTATTAATTTTAGTACTTTTACCAAGATAAATTACAAAAGTTGTTCCCATATTTTATCATTTTCTTGGTAGAATATTGGCCTTTCTTAAGGTCATGTATGAAAATTTTCATGGCTTAGTGCTATTTCCTATAATAATTAAGCACCTGCCTTATCATGTATAAGAGATAAGCTTTTAGTTTGTCTGGTGCCTGTGCTTGTCCCTGCATGCAACTTATACTTTGTGCGGGGGCCCGTAAGCAACCTTTGCGATGCGGAAATGGCAGCAAGTTAGTTCTTCCGACCCGATTCGATTTGGCAATTACGTAGGTAGGTGCCTGCAGTGGAGGTATTTTGCCGAACGATTGGTTCTGACTTTGACCGTTGGATCGAACCTTTTGATTTTCGTACCGCGTTGTACACTTTTAATGAACATAAGGATTCCTTTTCCATCCCCAGGTTCCTCTTCATAAAAGCGCACGAAAAAGAGCGTGCCTGTATATTCAAATTCACTCCTTGCTTCGGAGTTAGTGTTCGCGGGCATCCGTTGGTTAAGGTCTAAGGTGCTCAACAGGTCACCAGCCCAAGGCGTAGCAAAGTGCGAACGGAGACATAAACAATTCACTGGCCATATGACCCTCTACTCCGCAAAGCCGTCGTCGTTACGGTTAGGCCTAGTTATCTATAGTACTAGTAGCTAGCACTATTCTACAATACCATTCAGATCGGAAATGTAAGAAGATAACCCCAATGATTTAGTTAATAGTACTAATTCAATCCTTGATTTAGCCAAATTTTATGCTAATTTAATGATTGCTTTAGTAGCTCCGGAATTGAGCAATGGTGTTAACTGCCATCCCCCATTATATAGTTCTTGCTTCTATGGTTCTTAGCGGGCCTTACTCACTCGAATGTGAAGTAGTGTACTACATAACTTAGTATGTATGCACCGATGTTTTACCAATGGCTTTCCATGATCTTCCTAGTCAAAACACACAATAAAGTTAAATCTCCTACCAAGACACTCTAGTTAATGAACAAAAAGGCATCAAAACAAGACATTAATAACCATCATGTTTGCCCGAATGTTTACAGGTAAGCTGGAAACCTACCGAAGGACTTCATTCTACAGACGAATTTTTGTCAATTTTAAAAGCAGTTCTTTCGAACCGGGCGTTTTACCGCTCTGGCAATTTTCGCCGACCCGTCTACCCTGAGCTCATTTTGTCCAAAGGAAAATTCCATAATCACAACTTTAAGGTGGTTTAATCATTACAGGAATCTTGGTGTAGCTGCATGAGCTAACGATTAAAGTAAGACTTTCCAAGTCGTAGAGGGTGACATGACCAAGGGGGAATGAGCCTACATTAAGCATTCTTTCCAACAACGGATGATAACCTTTCACCTTCCCTAGCTCGTAACCATCGGAAAGCTTAGGGGGCTAAAGCGTCTGTAGACGCGAAGTTGAATATATAGGCACGATCTTTTTCGTGAGCTTTACGGTAACGTCCCGGTGGTAAAAAGCAATCATTTCTCCGTTAAAGATGTACATAGAAATCGCGAACGCTCATAAGTTAGTTTCAAACCAAAGGTCAAATGTAAAATAAACAACTAGATTACATAATGCTACCCGTCATAGCACCAACCTGCATAGCTGCCTAATCTGAATCTTTAAATGATGACCGAAGCCTATGTCTTGGTGGTCTCAGCGATAACAGAGGAGTTGCCTATGCGCATCCCGCACCGAAGTTAAGATAAGATGTTAAAGTAAGTATTAAAGTAGCGCATAGGACAAGCGCAAGCAATGAAATAAAAGAATAAGTCACCTATCTCTTATACGGGTCAATCGTGGTGCTTAATTATTATAGTTAAAAGTACTGTTTTTAATTAAATATAAAAAAAGGTTAAAAGTTTTGAATTTTTTATGAGGCAACAGCATTAAATTGAGATGATGTTGATGCTGAGGTTTAACTTAGTTTTTTTCTTCATTGTTATGTTTATTATGTTATTATTATATTTTAATTTAACTTTAGTTAAATGTTATTTATTTTCTTAATTAAATTATTATCATTATTCTAGTTCTTCAATAAGATTGTTCCTAGTTTGCTTTGTTGGCTTGATAACGAGTTAAACATATAAATAAGTACTAGTAAATAATTCTATTAGTAACAGCGCATAATACCGCCTATCCTGTTAGATACATAGCTGCGTACATTATTTCCCATTAGCACGAGAGCCACATGTTAGCTTTAGTTTAACTATGTTAAATTTGTTGGGTACTTAGCCAAACTATTGACTATTATTACAACTAAGAGCTAACATTTTTGCTAACTCGCACCAACGCTTCCTGACCAGAAGATAGTGTTATTCCCGTTATGTATTCAAGGAGCCGCTTTGAGCGAGAGCATTCATACGTACTTAGTAGCTAGAAGTCAAAGTACTCCAAGAACTTAGACAGTCTTACAAATGTTTAACTAAAAGCTTAACTGGATCTGTTTGGTTGCCATAAGAATAGACAACTGCAACAGGCAACGCTATTATACACCGCGCAAGTTTGTACTTTAGCAAAGTTATTTTACCTGGCATTTTTTTAAACTTCAAAGTCGTTCCTCAAAGATTACTTTAACATTGTTCTATACGTCGGAGTCCGGAAACCACTCTCTAAAAACACAGGTAAGATAGAACCTGCCTCTAGGCTTTCCTTTATACCAAGTTTTTGCAACTTTTAATAGAATATCTTTCGACCCTTGATTAATGAAATCATAGTAGACCTTAATTAGAACTTTCCGGGGTGCATGCCCACATTTACTTTATTGCCGACGGAAGGTACCAGAATCCCAACGTTACAGTTTGTTAATTATTCCTTTTTTCCATTTAGCGACATTAGCCGCGAATAAATTGGAAGCTGTTTCGTTGTAGATGATGACATGACCAAAGATATAGCCGACATTGAACGTGAGGTCCTTCTCCGGATGGCAGCCTATTGTCAACCACCGATATCTCTACCTGCCGGGAGCCGCGAGAACTATCGCAGTATGAAGCGCATATATATTATATTAAATTAAACTTTATTTTATATTATTTCATATTTTATTTTATTATAGTGACAATACTGGACGAAAGCCGCAAGATAGGGCTAACGATCGAGTTCGATGCTACCTCTAAAAGACCAACCTATCGCACACGCCTGTTTAGACACCCTAAATGAATCCCAAAAAGGGCTTAAACTTCGCTGTCACAGCCCAGCTCAGGAGGCCCGCTCCCAGGCAAGTGTAACTGATAAGATTAGAGTATCTAAAAGGTGAGATACACAGCGCTAGCACAGGCGCCAACCTCGAGCAAAGAAAATTAGGTTCCATTCTCCTTATAGTTCCACTATGGTAGAACAAAACTAATTAACTACCGTTTCAGAAAGAATAGCTAACTAGCTTGTTCTACCAAGGTAGAACGAAAAAAGTAAGATAAGTCAGATTAATTTTATCTAACGCCCTTGGTCCTTTGGATGGGTTAAAATATAGACCCAACTCAGAGGGCTAGCCCGGGTGTTTAAAATGATGAAAAAATTCTACTTTAGTAGAAAAAAATAACTAACTAAAAGTCCAGAAATGTTAACTAATTAAATGTTCCACTAAAGTAGAACGAAAAAGTAATAAATTAAATTAAATCCCATTTACGCTGTTAGTTCCGTTGGATGGGTTCAAATCCTGTTACTGAGGCCAAAGCGATTTAAGGATTTAATTTAATTTATTATTTTTTCGTTCTACTTTAGTGGAACATTTAATTAGTTAACATTTCTGGACTTTTAGTTAGTTATTTTTTTCTACTAAAGTAGAAATTTTCACCATTTTAACCATAGTTAACATCTAGACTCTGCTACTCTTTTTAGTAACCCCCTTAGCCTTTTGTAATACTCGTGCCTCTTTCCTAGCATTAACGAGTGGTCTAAAAATCTGGACGATGCTCTCTAACTTTATTCAAGTTCATTGAGGTAGGTCACCATTTAGCTTTCTATTTGTATATCTCATTATTTATCGCTACCTCTTAACAGATCTATTTTCATCAATTTAACAATTTAGTTTACCTAAATAACAATTGAGTCATTTCTAGTACCTTGATTTTAACTTTATAATAAAATAAATAAATACAGAAGTAAATTACAAAATAATAGAATAATAAATAAAACTAGGTAACTTTGTGTGGAAATTAAGCAGGAAAACGTAAGCTAGCTATATCTGAAAAATAAAAAGTAGATAAAATGCTAAAAACCTAACTAGAAACTGATGTAATATGTATCTTCCAATAAGACCATTAGGAGACCTTTACTATCAAGCGACAGGTCGAATCGACTTTAGATAAGCTTGACACTGGTTTAAAATAGTAATGCTCTTCTTAAAGTAAGCAAACTAAAGTAGCAGGATCACCGCTGTTATGTTGGTGAGGATACTATCCTCTCTAGCTAAATCCTTGTCCTTATTGACACTTAGTGTGCTACTGTATAATTAAAACCTTTCCCTTCGATCCGTGAGTAAGTAACATTCAGTGATTAAAACTAGCTTTAGACCCGTGCGGAAACAACCAAACTATCTTGATCTAGCCGAAAATTTTACACTAAAATAAGTAATTTCAGTTCTTTACCTAGTCCTAACTAAAAAGCATCAGGTATTCTTATATGACTAACCTTTGTATCTTTAACTTGTAAAATTAATTAGATGATTTTTTTTGAGCTCTCCTTAGTTGGTTTGAAGCATAATGAAATCCCAAGGATCTAGTTTAATTAAGTAACTATTATTAATAGCTTTTTCTGGGAAGGATACCTGAATCAAATTTAGCATTTTCAGAAAGTTGCCTTTTTTTTTAGCAAGATATCACTCAATTAATTCTAAAATACTACTTTTTAACCAGGAGATAAACATACTAACTTTTACCAGTTCCTGACATTCTAATGTTATATAATTATCTCATTTAGTGCTTTTACCTTAAAAAATGAAAAAACCTTAACGGAAATAAAGTATACAATTGAATACGGTTATTTTCTAGTATCTTATTTTAATCGTTAACGAATAAATTTACGTGAGACGATCTTATTGAATAATTTTATTTAATTTATTATATATTTTAGTGCTTTTTACCCAGAAAAATGCAAAACCTTGTCTAAATCTATCTTAATTCAATGGGTAAAAGAACTATGATCGTTATTTCTTAATTTTTTCATGATTTAGTGCAACTACTATAATTTAGCACCTAGAATCACTCGTATGAGAAATACCCAACCAGCATGTCTTGATGTTTTTTCGCACGTCCTGTGCGAGCATTTTTTGCACCTTTAACTTAATTTTTTGGCGCAGGAGTTGCGAAGGAATCCTTAATTTTTACTGTAACTGCAGCAAATAAGACCTCGGTAGTTAAAGCGCCTTGGCAACTGCCATAGGCCAGACTTTTTGCGGGAGTGTTTTGTAGAATGCTTGGTTTCTACTTTAACCGTTGGATTAAAACTTGTGATTCTTCGCCAAGTTTTGTACTCACTTTAACGACGTAAGGATTTCTGTATCGCCCCGAGTTTCGTTATCGTACAAGCGCGCGAAAAAGATCGTGCCTATATATTCAAATTCTCGTCCTGCTTCGGCGTTAGGGGCTTTCTAATGGTTTCGGTCTAGGTTAGCCACAGGTGGCCATCCGAAGGTGGAATACTGTTACAAGTAAA